AGAGCTGGAGCCGTAAGGCGAGGCTCTCGATTTACCAGTTGATCTACATTTCAACCATCAACTATGATCAAGAAACTTTGGTTAGTGACTCAAAGAATGAGATACAAGCGGCTGAAATGAATTTTATCCACAGGGTGGCTGGGCTTTTCCTTAGAGAGAGGGTGAGAAGCTCAGTCATCCGACGAGTTTGGAGTAGTCACTGTTCCTCCACATCAAGAGGAGCCAGTTGAGGTGGCTCTGACATCTGGTTAGGATGCCTCCTGGATGCCTCTCTGGTGAGATTTTCTGGGCACGTCCAAACGGAAGGAGGTCTAAAGGAAATCCCAGGACATGCTGGAGGGACTATGTCTCTCAGCTGGCCTGGGAACGCCTTGGGATTCCTCCAGAAGAGCTGGTCCAAGTAGCTGGAGAGAGGGAAGCCTGGATCTCTCTGCTAAGGCTGCAGTCATTGCGATCTGACCCCACATAAATAGAGGGAAGTGAATGGATAGGATCATATTTTCCGATAGTGTTCCAAATTGCTGTCTTTACTAATGATAAAACTTTACTGAGGCTGAACCAAAGGTTGGAGAGATCGGTGCTGTCTCTGTATAGATGCATTGTTTATCACCCTGCTTCAATCATGATAGTAATGCAGAAGCCGTAGCCTGCAGAGCTCGTTTGTGGGGCACCATTTATGTTATTGACAGTCTGTGAAAGTGCTTTGGGGGCTTAATTAGTTTTCACTCACCCTCTTGCAATCCATTTCTGTTATGTGTCCACCATATTTTGCTATGTTGAAGTACCACATTAAAATGGGATTCGAAACTTTTAAGAAACATTTAGACTTGGAGTAGAAAACTTTTAGAGAAGCCTTAATTAACTTTTTTTGTAAACATAGCAAAGGTTGCATAACATTGGTTTATATGTGGAGGAATTCAAGAAAACAAGACGCAAAAAAATTGTTACAGACTAGTTTTAGTTTGTAATCTCACTCATACAAGGATGCACACATGCCCAGACTTGTTTGAATATGATTCCATGTTGTAGTGTAGCGACATGAATGGCCTCATTTGTGACCCAAAGGTCACACTTCCCCAGCTGGGTCGAGCTGTCCTGGCTGACCAAGCCAGTTGGTGTATGAACTTCTATCGATTATATAAATATCCGTGGGTATCTATGTAAGTATAAGTTCATAACCCAAATTGTTTGATCTTTCTCAGGATTTAGCAGAGCTGAATAGCAAACAGCGTTAAGTCCTAGTTATGTAGATTACTACGCTACAATTCCTTGTTGTAGTTTGCAGATTAGGCACATTGTGGGTTCGATGAGACTTCTGACCCCTCAGACTGCTCATATAAGCAGCTTTTCTAACTGATAGTTCCCTGCTGTTTGCTCAGTCATTGGCCCCAGGATTGTTTTGTTTGAGGCTTTCTGAAGCTCTTCAATTCTGGTTATTTAAAAGCCGTACTACTCGGATGATGTGCTCTCTCATGTTTTAATTATTCTCATTTCATAACACAGCTGGGCGTTTATCCCAAACATCACATTGTTATTTTTTCTGTGTTTGGATGATTCTGTTTTTGGAAGAATCTTCTGATTTTGTTTGCTTAAATATGTAAATAGGCTGAACACTGCATGAGTATTAATATTTTCTTTGGATTTATTTTTTACCTTTTCCATGTTCCATTAGAATCGCTGACCAAGAGCAAACAAAGCGTATTACAAACAGCTTATCATGCATGTGCAGTGTCCGGTGTGGTGGACAACAGGAACTGGGGTCGAACAGAAACCAGTGGAAAGCTCAACCCAGAATCTAAATACGATGGCTTTGCTTTTGGTTTCTATTTTCGATAGCAGTGAGATAAATGGATAAAGGCTTGTTTATAGCTTTGTGTCTCTGCAGAGGTTATTGTTATTTCATCAGTTGCTTTAGGGCTTTCCTCTGATTATGTCCATTTCATCAAAAAGACCTTCTGAGCTCCCGGAGCATTTCTGAAGATTCAACATCATTCCAGGTTAGCAGCAACTGAAACCGGTTGTTTGTTTGAGAACCAAATATACACCCGTGTTTCTCTAGATCTAGTTTCTTGGGTTTCACAAACAACATTTGCTGGTGCTTTTAATAGGTGCAGACTGGTTCAGTAATCATTCTTTGAATTTGACATGCCCCCCTCCCCCATCAACTATAATAAGACCTGGAATGGCTGGAAGCTTTAGCTTGCAATGGGAAGGTGAAACAAAAACCACCAAAAGATAGGCTGTTCGCTTGACCTTTAGTCACCTATATATTGTCATGCATTATCTATTCTTCGTGACAATGCTTTTGATGTGCGATTGGTGCAGATTTATAAAAAGATTTAAGGAAACCATGTGTAACTTTGATTGTATTTAATCTGTTTAATGGGGATTATTTTCAATGTTCTCATTAAGATTTGTCATCTATCTTAAAAGCCCACCAGTTGGGTTTTAAACAGAGATCATCTTATGTTGATAGATTTGAGTTTCAGTTGCCCTTTGTCAACATTGTATGTGATTTCATGTACTCTTGCAAGATTTTGTGAGGTCTTTAAACACTCAAAATATATTGTCAAAGGTAGTGATGCACCGATATGAAATCTTTGGGCCAAAACCGATATCACTATCACTGTTATGGCCGATGACTGATATTTGCTGATACCGATATGCTGACATCAATGCTTCTAAAATCAACAGATTTTGTATAGAATGAAACCCCATACATAATACAATATATATGCCACCATTACATTGTTGCCAGCAGAAATGAAATGTTATTAGCATTTGTAGTAGCTTACTACTGAACATGTTAATGAATAATAAAATTCTACTGATCATATGTGAATATATTTAGATATATTATTTTGACTAAGATGAGTGATATTAACTCATTCGCTGCTAGCCGTTTCCTGATCGGTAAAGCCCTTCGCTGCCAGCGTTTCTCACCGTTTTTACTATTTTTTTAAAAGTCACAGAACGTTGCGAGCTAGGATGATATCGACGCCAAAACAAAGCGATGACTCTCCTCTTACATCAGGAAGAATCCGCGTGTTTCAAGCTTTATCCGTTCTTTCATAATCCGTTGTTGAATTGTTATCGGCAGAAGCTTTTCCGGTTCGCGCCTCACTTTTTTTACAGCAGCGGCCCAAAACGATCTCCTAACACATGGATTTTCTGCTTCCTGGTCACGTGACATGCGACATATGCGGATGAAGACCGGCTTTAGAACTGAGATGTTTGTTCTCACGATGCGGGGGCTTGTTCCGATGCCCACACAGTAAAAAAAATGCAAATGACGACTTTAGTCGTCATTGGCAGTGAATAAGTTAATACAGACCTAAAATGTTAATGATATATAAGTCAAGTTTTGTTCCATAAATATCAAGTGGAAAGAGGGAACTAGACAGCACCAATTTAATACATATTGTTGAGCCTTTTATACTTTTGTTGTTTTATTTTCATATATTTAGCCGCAGACCAGTCTTGTTTCACGTAAAATGTTGTCTAATAGAAAATTTGATTAATCAATGGAGGATTAGATAGAATATTCAAATACTAAAATATTCAATAGCTACAGTCCTAGACTCCACCACTGACTTGTAACATGGATGTTTTGTCTACACAAATATCACAAGCCGTGTGGTGAAGATGCTGATGCTAAAGGTTAGCTTCTACTAGCAAAGACATTCTCTGCTGTTTCCTGAACGCTAAACCAGCAACAGCCTTCCTCATCATGAATCACGATGGATGAATCCATGAATGTTAAGTGACAGCGTGACTTAGATCTGTCAGGCTTTTCAAATCCTAGAGTTTCAACATTTATTTTCTATCAGAATCTGTCAGATTGGTGTAGGATGTGCATGTTCAGCTTGCATTTTAAACTCAGTGACCGATTATAATTAGAAATAGGATTTTAACCATTGTTTTTCAGTGGTCCGCACCTTTATTGCTACTCTTGTGGCTAGCTACTGCCCCGTACAATTGTAGCTCTAGAGATCTACTAAAATGACTTAAAGCTACTTTTGTGTCAGTTGGTAGGGACGCATTATGTCTGCATCAGCATCGGTATTTGGGATCGACCGATATTGGTTTTTCTATTGCCGATGCCGATATCTAGGTAACATGGTCAGCCGATGGCCAATATGTACTGCTGATTTTTATGGGCCGATAGTCAAAACCATAATCTAGATATTGTCACCTTATTTTCAGGCTAAAATGTCAATAACATCAGTTGATGTACAAAATTTCTGAAGTTGAATCAATTTTTGAACCCTTTATTCAACTGTCTGTTAAATCTAAACTTTGTGCACTGCTCAGTGTTAAAGTAAACACCTAAATAAAGTTCATTTAGAGTATTTATTATGCTGATGTTATCAGTGAACGTAAAAATACATTTAAATTAAATTCTGCAACAGCATTGAGCTGCCTACGGATGGGCCTGACATTAAATTGGCTTTACTAAAGACAAATATTGGCCGATGCCGCCATCTAAAACAGTAAATATCGGCCCGATATATCGCTCTACCTCTAAACTGTATCGGACAATTTGTAGTCGTTGTTGAATCTTATTAAATTGGTCCAGTAAGTACAACTGAGCTGATATTTACAATTTTTATTTCTGAGATTCATGGTTGGCAGGGGGTATTTGTTACAGTGATGCAAGATTGTGGGAGTGTTTTAAACTGAAGCAGAGAAGCAATGTAGGTGATGAGGTTGCTTTTGCACAGTGTCAAAAGTGTGGTGAAGTAAAATAATATTGATAATAAATACTGCTGTCAGCCATAACAGTAGTATTAAATAGCTATATCGGCCAAAAATTTCTGAACGATGCACCCCTATTGATCTGCTATGTGGAGGTTGACTCTAAAAGTGAATGAATTGTGGACCATCACCCAGCAATTACTTTCTGTGGTTCTAAAGGTACTTTGTTAACGAACAGACGCAGGCAAAACTGCTATAGCATCATTTGGTTATGTTTCCCGGAAGTCTGTGGTATTTTTATAAGAATATAATGTTCTTGTATCGAAGTGCATCATTTGATTAAACTTTGATTGCTTCAAGCAGAAACTAGTTTGTGTCTCTACATAACCTTCCACGAGCAGAGAGGAATGCAAACTAGAAAGGGCAGATCATAGCTCACACCCCTCCCATCTGACACAGAGTGAGTCCCACACAGTTGCACCGTCACTCCTTATCTATCCGACAGCTTTGATGCAAGGCTCCCTGACCCCTCCGTGTGTGTGTGTGCGTGTGCGTGCGTGTGCGTGCGTGTGTGTGCGTGTGTGTGCGTGTGTGTGTGTGTGTGTGTGTGTGTGTGTGTGTGTGTGTGTGTGTGTGTGTGTGTGTGTGTGTGTGTGTGTGTGTGTGTACACATACACGTACACGTACACGTGCCTGTTAGGTAGAGACAGGGGCAGAGCAGCAGACAGAGCTGAGACTTTGCGACCAGATCTGGAATTGGAGGGAATGTCACAGCAGCTGCTGCTGCCTTGCGTTAACAGGCTATTACTCTTGACAGAGGACAATAACATTGACTCACTCACAGAGGACCTCCATTGCTTCCACAGTTTTTTTGTTTGTTTGTTTTTGTTTTTTTAATGTGTCAACTGCAACATTCAAGTGGATAATACTGGATTGAGAGTTGTTTTTGGGTATATGAGTGCCCCATCTTGTCTGGAGCGAGGATGAGGATGAGGGAGCGGTGTTTGCATCAGGATCCTGACCTTAGGAAGGAGTTGGCTCTCCTGGCTCGTGGATGTGATTTTGTTCTGCCCTCTCGGTTCAAGAAGAGGCTCCGAGCCTTCCAACAAGGACAGGCAGGTGTTTGTAGGAGTATACTTCTTACTGATCATGCTTTACTGGCCCGTCTTATTACAATCCTTTGGTGGCAAGATATTCTTAATGTTCAACGATAAATGTTTACTTGTCTAGGTTACATTTGATCTGATGCATTGTACGCAGCTGCTGTTTGGTCTTCTCTCAGACCCCATCAGTATGAATGCGTAAAATGTCATGTGGCTTAGCAGTTGTGCTCGAGGGCTCACAGCGCAGGGCAACAGGAGATGTTTATGTCCTTTTATAGCCATGGCTGATTCCAACACACAGCACTGACGAGATAGATTCACTTTGTGGAACAAACAAACCCCAAGATGCTCATTTGTGAGTTCTTTTCAGTTTTCAAATCAACAAAAAAATGATTCAGTTGGCTGGTTTTTGAGTCATGTAAGTGGTCTTTGGGTGTGAGGGAATGATTGACAGATGTTCTCTTCAGGCTGTTTTATTAAGCAATATAAAATAACATTTGGCTCCAAGACCAGAGGTTTTTTGGTTTGTATTTAAAATCACATATTCATTAATTTCAGGTTCTGTGTTGGATGAAATTTAGAAAATTAGACTTTAAAAGTGAAAATGATCCCTTCCTATCAAAATCATTGTGTCTAAACACTGGTATGTTTCATATCAGAAAGGTGTTGTACTTTGCTTTGACATCCATTAGAATTGGTGACAACAAAGATAAATCTAAACATTTTGCATTTTAGCAACAACAATTTCAACATATCTTAAATGTGGATTCAAAAGGAACGGTAAACAAATCATCATAGATTAACTAAATGTTGCAATCACAAAAGCCAACATATAAAATGTTCAAAAAGGCATTTTGGTCTGAATTTAGGCATCTTAACCAGAATTAAATTGAACTGATTAATAAATGTTTCTATTAGCCTTGTTAAGTTGAGGAGTCCTGCATATTTCACTTGATGATAGCTATTTAAATTTAGTAGCCAGGTTATGATTTCAAAATCAAGAGGCAATCTTGTTGGCCAGTCTTGAATGGTATTGAAGGGAAATTCTGGCTTTTGTGTGTTTCTGTGTAAAAGTGATAATGACACCTTATCTATTGTAGATAAGTGCCTCTGTTTTGAGAGACATCCAACAGGACTGACGAGCTAATGGATTGGCACAGCCAAAATTCATGTTATAAGTCTTTACACTGCTGTCAGGTTTGAATCCCACTGATATTTACTTGGAATTGTATATTTACAAGCTTTAATACCACCAGCATCTGGAATATTTAGCACTTCCAGAGCATCAATTTGTCAGGTTTGTCAGGAAATACCCGCACTTAAATGTTACCATGTAGTATTACAATCATCTAGAGGAAACATGGGCTTGATTTGTACATCCAAAATAAACAAATAGATGTGAATATTCTAGTGTATGAACTAACATTTAGAACAGTTTCAGCACTAATAAAACAGCACTTGCTTTAATGGCTTTAGCATTTTTCAGATTTGAGTCATTTTAGGTGGAGGAAAATTGCCCTTAGACTTAACTTGGCTCAACGCCTGAGCATTTCTTCCTCATTTTCTAAAGTGACATTGTTCTGATGCTGTTCAATGCAGGTAAGACACTGAATACTGCAAATCGGAGCTATCACTTTAAGTATAAGTAACTGTCTTTTCTTTAACATCTTCTAGTTTCTGTCATTACATCTCGTGCGAGAACGCATGTTTAGTTTTTATAATGGTGACCAGCAAAATAAATTTGCTTGTCTGGGCATTTCTTAGTTACCCCATGCCTTTCAATATTTGTAGCACAACTGCACTACTCATGTAACGGAATATTTTGACTTAGATTATTTGTATAATAGTCGGAGTGAAGAATTAAACCCGTGGCAGAACTCAGAGTTTTACTCATCTTCATTAATTAGACTGATCGTGAGAACACAACCATTCTGGTTAAACAAGGAAGCTGCTGAAACATTTAAACAACTTGAGCGATTCTAGTTTGTCAGGTTGTCTCTGATTGAAAGAAATGAAACTAAAATTCCTTTAAAGAAGGAATTTAATTCTGTTTTGATTAATAGTTCACTAGTCTGGATGAGCAGCTTTCTAAGAATTATTACACCTGAAACTACATCTGAAATGGGAGGTAAAAGTGAGTAGCAATAGGCACTTCACTGTTGATCTGATTTTTATCTTGAGATGCGCTTTATAAAATAGTTTGTTCTTTTTTTACATAATGTCTTAATTCCAGTTATTAGCTATGCCTTCACAATTTTTGTTGCATTCCTGTTCCCAATTATTTCTTGGTTTCGTTGGATTTAATATATTTCTGTGGTTCGTTCATTTTTTTCACACCGAAAAAACTGCAAACAAAACGCAGTGACAGTTTCTCAATTCCCAAGTACACTAGTACGTTCTTGTGTATTTGACAAGTATGTTCTTGGCAAGTACAGTAGAAAGTCTGACCTACAGAGTATGGGAGTACAAGGGCGGCATAGGGAGCCTAAATCTCCTCCCTTTCCAGTCCGCTCATGGTTTTCCGTAACAATGAAAACGTGAATGCAAGTCAATGGGCTGTAAGTGCTATTCTCTAATTCGCTTTGCATTACACCCTGGATCGCACATGTGTGGTACTTCAACTTAAATGAAGTGTAACTATGTGTTTCGACCATGTCAGTTGCGTACTTTGAGACTTTTCAGCTTGTAAAAGTTCATAATACCTCTGACTACAAATCAGACATCAGCACGTCGCATATGTGACGTCACCACTAAATCTCTACCCTAGCATAGCTTCTATGACCAGATTTATGCGGTTCTTTCCTCCTGAAGGAAGGATTTGAATTTTGTTGATCTTACACCCATTTTTCCTCTGCTCTTCTTGTCTGGTTCGATGACATCACTTTGGTGATGCGCATTTGTAGTCCTGGACGTATTTTCACACAAAACCTAAAATAAGCATGTTCTTGGCATCAAAATGCGTCTTTAAAATTCACGGACATCATATGTGAAATCCATGGCACATCATAAACACAATTAGAAAATAGCGATTTTAGCCCTATTGACTTTCATTTTTTGTTCTTTCCTCGTGGGCCCGTGGTCCAGAAGTAAATGGGCGTCACTTAGGCTCCCTATTTGGAACAGAATCATACTCCGTTGAGTCATGGCGGTTAAAAAAATGACCTGACATAAAATAAGCTTAGTTTGTCTCTTAAATAACAAAATAACAATGAAAAAATATTATTTGTATAATATTTGATCCACTTTTGATCAAAATTGATCAAATACCACTATTTCCCACAGTGAATAAACATTTTTTTCTTCATCAATAAAGCTATTTATGGCAAAGTTGCTTTTATTTTGATAGTTGATTAGCTAATTAGCTAATATGAAGGGATCGTGATGAGGCTTGGCCTGTTTAGCCCTAACGCACCCCCAATTGGGGGCCTCTACAGTTTCATGTCCCAAATATCAACAACTGCCCTCATTCTCCAAACACAACTGAAACCACAATCAAACAGCCCAGATGGGAAACAAGTCCATTTTAAATGGTAATAAATTAAGATACAATGATATTTGAACTTTATTTTAGAAGAGCATCTGACCTTCACTGGTGTCTGCTAGGGAAAAAAAAACTTGAACAAATTTAGTTGAGGACCCCTGGAATAAATAAAACAATTGACTAAATTTCCTAAATGGAATTTGAACTCACAACCTCCATCCTGTCTGCACTTTCACACTGGGCAGCTCTTCTAAAATAAAGTTCAAGTATTGTTTTATCTTAATGTATCAAAAACCAAAAATTGCTTTGTTTACAATCTAAACTCTTTTGATTGTAGCTGTAGCTGTGCTCAGGGAATGCAAACAATCACCGACACTTGGGACATGAAACTCCAAAGGCCCCCAATTAGGAGGCGCCAGGGCCCAAAAAAAAGGCCTTGGGTCTAAAGGTTAAAAAACAAATACTCACAGCACAATTTACAGGTTACACTTAATTATTTACAATAGTAGAAAACTTTATATTTCTTTGTATTTCTGATATAAAACACTACAGTTATTAGCTTTCTCTTCTGCTGTTCGAAGTACAACAGTTTGCAATGCAATACTTTCTGGTATTCTTTGCTGTCCCAAGTCCAGAGAAGTATGCATTAATGCATCCTCATACAATGGGTGGAGCAATAACACATCCAGGAACTTTGAGCAAACTTGCCATGACACATACTTGGGATTGGAACAGTACTTGGGCATGCGTTGATAACATTTCACAGTGATATGAGTACAAAAGTTCAGACAAGTATGCATATTGAGAAATGGTCAATGTGTCACAATGTCACAGAAAAATTACTAACCTCTTGATTGGTCAGATTTTCTGGGGGTGGGGCTACCAAAAGTAAATACAGGAATCTTGAGTTATGACCCCCTCACCCTGAGCTGTTCGTAAACTCTTCAGTGTTTTTCATGAGTCAGAGCTGGTAAATCTGGCCATCAGCCCAAATATCAGTGAGATATCATATCGTGTTGTTTCATTTTCAGCTAGCTAGAGGCTACTTCAGTATCTACCCACATTTGTGTTCCCGTCAGAGTCCCAGAATGCAACACAAACTTTGTTACAGGAGGGTGTTTGGCTCAAACCTGCAGGACCAATTCTACTCAGACGAAGAGTGGTCAAGTATTTGTCCTGAAGCTACAAAAACCATGGACAAGTGAGTCCGTATGGAAGAGAGGGAATTCAAGCCTGTTAAAAGTAATTGAATTTTTAGTGTGTATATTCATTCTACCCTGGAAAAAGAGGAGTTAAGGACATGTGTAAGATAAGTGTTTGTAAATTTCTGACCACAGATGAATGTTTTATCGCCACTGTCTATACACGATGTCTTTGCCAATCTGATAATGGAGTGCTGTTAGTATACATAAACTACAGACCCTTTACTAATACTTTCATAACCACAAAAATGTCCAGCTCACTTTTCACAGTGTGTCTATTTGCCGAGTAATTGTACAGATATTAGTAAAGGTTGTTGGATTATTTAAAAACCTATTACAGAGTTGCTGTAACGTGGGAATGTCAGTCCCAGGAGGATCTGTTACACTTTATTGGACAATAATTACGAGTGCTGAGTAGTTGCAGCGCTTCCATGATGAGCAGTGAGGATGCTTAGAGATACGGTTACAAAAGATCCAAATTAGCACGTGTGTTCCAGCCAGCCTCGGCGCACACGAAAGACTCGAGCATTTAAAGCACCGGCGGCTAACCGTTTATGTCTCTGTGTGTCTCAGGCCCAGGTGAGGACGGAGGAGCCAGTTACCACTGCACTTAGTGAAAGCATTCCCAAGTTTTACTTCCCACAGGGCCGGCCCCAAGCCAACCTCAACATCGACTGCCTCATTTCCAAAATTGAGAAAATATTTTCACAATTTCCAAATGAAAGGGCCACCATTGAAGACATGGGGCCAGTCGCCAAGGTGAGCACGCGAGCTGCAGCATCATGGTATAGCTGCCACCCAGAAAATTATTTTCTTTTCGTGCCATTTGGCTCCTGACTTATCGAATGTTTGCTGATTTTTAAAACCCCATGGAAAATATTATTTCCTTGTGACTGAGGAATGTGGTCAGTAGCCTGAGGAAACCTTGAGGGCAATGACAGCTTGGTTTACTCAAGGAAATGTTTAAATGATCTATTACTGCTTTTCTTTCCAATAAGGTTCTGAATCAAAACTCACATTCCTGTTTGTAAAGTGTACTTTTATTTCATGTGTATACTCTTCATCCTTGCCACACATTCATGTTTTTCCATCTCCTTAGGCTTGTGAGTGTCCCCTCTACTGGAAAGTGCCATTGTTCTGCTCAGCTGGAGGCGACAGGACGGGTTTCGTGTCCGTTCACAAGTTTGTGGCCATTTGGCGAAAGTAAGACAATAGCTGTTTTTATTCTAACCAAACCATTGGTGTATTCAGTCACAGCCAAAGGCTCGCACAAATCTCTGAACAATGATGGCCACTCGCTCTGGAACATTGACGCGCTCTGCTATTGTGACTATTTTCTTTTTAATTCCAAACAAAATTCATTGCTTTTATAAACGTCACAAGGGAATTAAGCTGTGTACAGTATAGTATACAAATGAAAACATCCATTCAGTGTCTCTGTGGAAAGTGAAAGAATTGTCATGGGACTTTTACAATAGTAGCTGTGTGCTGGATGCTGTTGCGTGCAATAGGCATGGCCTTGTATTAATGTGTGAGCCTCCAGAGATCTGGACAGACGTGGCCTTTGACCCGAGCCTATGACTGAACCATTCTTAGATGAGAGGCCACGTCAGACGGTTTCACTATTATCCCCACCATAACGCTCGCCGCTGCACCCAGCACCAATTCAGAATCCTAATTTCAGAATGTATTATACCTGCACTTGAAATTTTTTGTGGAATTTAAAACTTGAAAGAAGGATTTAAAGAAAGGCTGCCAAAGAGGGAACAGCCTCCCAACCATCTGTTCTCTCTTTTCTTCCCCAGAACTCTGCAGACCTGTCACGATGATGCTTCTAAATTTGTGCACCTCTTGGCCAAGCCTGGCTGTAATTACCTGGAACAAGACGACTTTATTCCGTTCCTGCAGGTACCGACTGCAGCACACCCAGGGAGAGGGTTGGAGTTGGTAGTGCGGGGTGGCAAAATTGCAGTGGGTTGGGTAGAGTTGGTGGGTTTCTCTACTGAGGCTGGGCTTTTTGGTGTGTCAGAGGACTAATTCAGGGATGTAAGTGGACTAAAGGAAGAAGCAGGTGAAAATGTTTTTGTTAAAGCCATATTACGAGAATAATCTCAGAAAACGTGGAGTCGTGGTACATTTTTAAAGACTGATTTAATTTAGCGCTAACTGAACCAGCTACAGCTATTCTCCTTCCAGGTGGCAGGCGGTTTGTGCGTTTTGGTCCAGCTCCACACCTGATTTATTTTCCAGTGTGCAGGTTTTCTTCCTGAACAGCCCATTAGCATACAAGCAGAGATTCCTCGTGACACACGCTGATTAATTCGTATGGTCCCGCTCAGCGAATCGCCTTTGACTGTTTTGATGAATGAAAGATGGATTGCAGTGGAGTAGATTTGACTGTCCCCGTCTGTTTTCTGTGGTCTGTGATTTATGTGTTTTCTATGATTTAATTTCTCACAGCACGAGTAAAAGAGGTGCGACAGCTGCCCTGAAATAAGGCCTTTTAATTTCATTGCCACCTTCGCGTTTATGCAAACAATTCTCTCCTTTACTGGAGGGCAGCTGGGTGGTAAAGAAAGGATACGGATGTATCAACGAGTTTATTAACATTGCAGAACACCCTCCTGACTTTACGGCATGAGAGGACATCACTGCTTTTTACAAATTTGCGTCACTGCGTGGTTTCTCTCAACAAGGCCTGGGAAACGTTCAGCTTAAATGACAATGTATAAAACAGATGGTTGGACAAAATGATGTGCATCAGAATGAAACGACATCTGACTTTTCTATTACGTCGTTTTCAAACCACTAATCTGATAGCCATGAAAGGAAAGACAGATGTCTGTTGGAAACGGGCATTAAACATCATAGAGATGAGCGTGTTGTTTTTGTGGTTTGAAGACAAAATAATCAGACGGTTCTTTCTATTCTCAGGATGTGGTGAACTCACATGCTGGTTTGGCCTTTCTAAAAGAAGCACCGGACTTTCACTCACGATACATCACCACGGTATAGTTGCATGCAGAAACCCTAGGCAGTACAAAACCCACTTTGTTTTTCTATTTGTAAAATTACACCCTTGCTTGTTCTTCAGGTGATTCAAAGGATATTCTACAACGTGAGCCGGTCGTGGACGGGAAAAATAACATGCTCTGAGCTCAGGAAAAGTAACTTTCTTCAGGTAGATCTTTGCATTTCTACAGAGCCACTAAGGCGGGGGTAAGCAGTTCTTGTCCTCAAGGGGCCGCTATCCAGCAAATTTTAGTTTTTTTGCTCCAACACTCCTGATTCAGTAGTGGAATCCCCTGTTCAGCATCTCATCCAGCTCTGCAGAATCCTGTTGAAGCAGCAATCTGGAGTTTTCACCCTTTCAGTGGTTATGTATGATCTTTTAGAAATCTGTAAAAGTGACTTACCCTGTACTTTTTTTTATTAATTTATTTTGCTAAGCCCGTTTGACATCCCGTAGAGCCCTGTGCAGTTTGAATTGAGCACTGCTCAGCCTCACCGAATAGCATTACACATTTGCTGACATATAGAGCAAACGGAAGTGTGGAAGTACTTAGACAGATGCAGAGATGGTGACTTTTCTTATTGACGAGTAAGGTGTGTGTGCGTGTGCATGTGTGTGTGCGATTGAGAGAGAGAGAGAGAATATTACTAAACAGTATGCTCTGTTGGCTGGCAAGAGGTGTGCATTTATGGATGAGAGGCGTTGCTTAGACACGGAGTAGGGAGAGGAGCTTAAAGAGCAAGTCACCCCCTACAAGAAACTTACTTCACTCCCTCTTCATGTTTGAAAAATGCAACAAATGCTGTTGCCTAGCAGACCGAGACGGCGGAGCCGCTAACAAATACACACACACACAGGCTCACAACGGCATTGTGACATCATAATGTACCAGTTATCATGGCATACCTCTTAGCCAACAGCGATGGCAGATTTAAATTAAAATACAGTGCAGTTTTTACCTGACGATGGCGCAACACTGACAGTTTTAGTTAGAATATTTAAATTTTAACTAAGATGCACGGAAGTACCAAATTATTGACCACACGTGTCTGTAGCACGATTACACACATTTATATAGTTTATCAGCAAAAAAAAAGTTGATTTGGGGGTGACTTGCTCTTTAAGATCAGAATCAACTTTACTATCGTTGCCCCAGCATCCTGAAGCATAGAAGTGTGTCTCCGTGGCACAGCCCGTCCAAGGTTAAACACACCAACATGTAGAACAGACACAGGCAGCCAACGAGAGCAGCCATCTGGATGCACCGCATTTTTGCACCTCTAGATGGCGTCCTCTAAGAAAAAACTCTGGCTTTCTGCTTTAGTCACCCACTGGTTAAAATCAGGTGTGTTGAACCAAGGAAACTTCTAAAACATGGTGGATAGCAGAGCTCGAGTTTGGTTTCATGTGTGCCCTAGAGAGTACTGGTAGACTGTCTGTGAGCCTTTCCTGGTTGGTCACTAAAAATAGATGGTGCTGACGAGAAAACATTTTTTTTTCCCTCACATCCCTTAGCTGGATCACTCCCTTCCCCAAGGGCCGATATCAAGCATATTTTAGTGGTTTCTCTGCTCCAGCATGTTTGATTCAGTGGTTGAATCACCTGGGCAGCAGCTCATTAAACTCTGTAGAAGCCTGTTAATCACCAGCTGATTGAAATCAAGTGTGTTGAAGCAGGGTTAAAACTGAAACGTGCTGCTGTTTTAGTTGTTTCCCTGCTCCAACACAGTTGCTTCCCCCCTTCAGAAGCTTATGACGCTCTGTAGAAGCCTGTTAATCACCTGCTGATTAAAATCAGGTGTGGTGAAGCAGGGAAACGGCTGAAACATGCTGGATCCCGGCCCTCATGGAAGGGAGTTGTCTACCCCTGCTTTAGGGGCTCTGTCCGTTTCCTCATCTTCCTCTCGACTACTTTTTCTTTGGTGTTATTTTAAATGCATAAACATTAAAGACTGTTTGCATTTATGCTTTGCTGGTGTCTTTAAATAAGTAGTTCTGTTCTTTCTAAACTTCTTGGGGCAGAATGTGGCGTTGCTGGAGAAGGAGGAAGACGTGAACCAGCTGACAGAATTCTTCTCTTACGAGCATTTTTATGTGATCTACTGCAAGTTCTGGGAACTGGACACCAATCATGACCTCTACATTGACCAGAAAGACCTGGCACGGCACAGTGACCAAGGTGCACGAGTTCACATCACGTTCACATCATTTTAGCTACTTTATTCTTATTTGCAGTAGGACAATTAAACCTTCCTTACACCAGAACCACCTCGGAGCATCGTTGCATGGCTGACACAAAGTAGAGCAATAAACGTTATCTAGACCAGATCTGCTCCTCGCATACAGCCAGGAGAAAGATTTATCTCTGACACGTCCTGCCCTGGCTCCACACCACATGTTCCTGGTTGATGGTTTGTGAGTGAGGCGAGGGAAATGAGACACAAGATCAATAGGAGAGCACCATATATACTCTACTCCCAATGATGCCACGTCTGAAACAATTTCTACCACTATGTGGTCAGAACGATGACCAGAGGATTTATGGTGTTGTCAAGAGAACTCCACCAGCGAGTATGAGAATGGATTACATGTGTTGGCATGGCTCGTAACTTCATCTTTTTTGTGTGTATTCCAGCTATTTCACAGAAAATGATTGAGAGAATTTTCTCTGGAACAGTAACAAGGTAGGTTTACATTTTCAAGAAGGTTTATTCTCCACTTCTAGATGTAATCGTGGTTTCTGTTGTTCTGTCAGAGAGAGGCGGGCATTTAAGGAAGGAAGACTGAGTTATGCTGATTTTGTTTGGTTCCTCATCTCAGAGGAGGACAAGAAGACCGACACCAGGTATCTTAACTTCATCTGTGCTTCACCTTCACTGTTTTTGTTTAGACTGTCCTTGACGTGCTCTCTCGGTCCAGCATAGAGTACTGGTTCCGCTGTATGGATCTGGACGGGGACGGCGTGCTCAGCATGTACGAGCTGGAGTATTTCTATGAGGAACAGTGTCAAAAACTGGAGGCCATGGCCATCGAGCCCCTTCCCTTTGAGGACTGCCTCTGCCAAATGCTTGACCTCGTCAAGCCCGAGGTGGAAGGTCAGAGCTGTTTCACATTTACACACACCGCTCAGAGTAGGACTGGTTCCACTTTGTGGCAGACGAACAGGCACGTTTTCAGGCCGGGTCATCGATCACTGGCTGAGGGCCAACCGGGCTGCCTGCAGCCAGCTGCTAGTGTCACCCACACCGTCGGCTAATCCCCTCCCTACACTTCACTTTTCCACTGGGTTATTTAGAAGTTTAGTATAGATGTGAGTGGGAATCTGAGCCTGAAGCAAACGACTCGTGTGCATCGCGACTGGAATGTGATCTGTGCCTAAAACAGCCCATCATGTACATGTTTAAAGTTCTGTTCTGGACACAGGTCAGTTCACTGCATGTATTTTATTCATTGATTCAGCAGAAATGTGCAGAAAAGGTCTTAATCCTGCTAACAAAACCCTTTAAATCAACTTTTGTTTTATTTGCAGCCAGTTTTTCAAAATTCAACCGTTATGATTGGAATGGATCAGAGCCGCCTAAGTAACAGGCCCCTGACCTCTGGGAAGTTCAGGTTCATTTAAGGGCAGTGAACGCACCAAATGAGTGGATTTTAGCTGATGAATAAATGCTTTATACAAGTTTACGTTAACAATGAGACAATAAACCGTTTTAAACGTCTGTTTTTCTAAATCAAAGTGGAGAAAGCTGCTATTTCCCATCGTAGTGGACTCTACACAGTCATCGACGGCTCATTTCAACTTGTCTCATTCTAATCTTATGTAGGTAAGATCACTCTGCGGGACCTGAAGAGGTGTAAGATGGCGCACATCTTCTATGACACGTTCTTCAACATTGAGAAGTACCTGGACCACGAGCAGAGGGACCCTTTCTCTGTGATCAGGGTGTGTGAGGTCTGACCAGACGCCGCCATATGTCGGATATCGGACAGATCACGTGACTCGTGTTGTTTTTGTGTTGCTTTAAGGAGGCTGAGACAGACGGCCAGGAGGTGTCCGACTGGGAAAAATATGCCGCCGAGGAGTATGACGTGCTGGTGTCTGAAGAGGTGGCCAACGATGTTTGTAATGATGTGTAAGTTTGATTTGAATCTGTGCTTTGTCAAAATCGGCTGCAGCTACAGTTCTGGGCCCAGATTCATGAGAATATTAAAATATTAACTGAGAAATAACTTTATTGAGAAGTTTGCATTATTTCCCTTTTTTGAGAAGCATAAATGTCTGATCGGTCTGAGGATAGGCGATTAGGCATTTAGGTGCTTTCATTGACATTATTTTATTATATTTATTAAAATAATGTTAACACTTAGCTAATTAAACATTTAACAAATAGCTGAGACTTTTTACTCGATATTGGGATTATGCACTTGGACAAAGAGGCAGATTTCAGATGTGTGACAGAGACATCCCACAGACGGAGAGTCAGTGATTGTTGACGGGCGTGTTTGGTGATTGTAGGAACACCACTGACCTCTAAAGGCAGGCTGCTCCCCAGAGCAGGTAAGACACTCAGGGTCAGGATTTTCCTCAGTCTCCCCCTCTTCCTCTTTGAGTGAATGGTTCCTGGTTCTTCTGTTCCCCCTGGAATGTGCATGGAAACGGTTTGTAATCCAGTCGTAGAGCTGGGAGTTAGCTTTCGAACCAGTTTCAGATTTTTTTTATTTTTTTATGAAAATAAAACTTCTATGCATAACTTTCCCTGCCTTCATGTGGTGTTCCTGTGTCTTTTCCAGCCACACAGGCTTTTCTAAATGTACTTGGGTTTTATTCTGCTGTCTTGTCAGGAGTGGGGTTCCTGAATTGTTTTTTTTTTTTTTTTTTTTTACTTAAGAAAAACATATTTATTTAATGACGGCAGTAAAGCGCTTCTATGACTTAGAAGAGGTTGTCTTCTGCTGCCAATTTCTAGTTTTATTAAACTCCTGGTAAGAGGGCAAATGTGTTTTCTGTCTGTGGTTATCAACAGGTTCTGGTTTAACCTTAAAGATGTTGGACTTTTGTATTTTTAAAAAGGGTTTGAACTCGTTTTGTTATTTTTATCACGTTTCTTCTAACACAGGGTGTCAAGTTTACCAGGGAACCAAAATTTAAACCTTGGTCCAAGTTGACGGCGAGTCTCTGTTGAGGGGGTGTGGTGAGTTTTCCCCGCCCTGGTACTGACCACCCGGTTCTCCGTGTGTCCTGTGTAGGTACGATCATGCTCTGAGCCCTTTAGGGCAGCACATCTCCAGTGAGCTGGGTCTGACGAAGAGACACTTTTTTGAGATTCCCGGTCCACACTGCGACTTGGACGAATACGAGTATGAAGATGACTTTGAATGACGGCACGGCGCGCTTCACTCCTCGCTGTTCCAAATCGTGTGTGGCTGTGATTTATGGCAGAACGGCGTCGTGCAGAGACGCCAAAACCAAACAACGATCTGAAGAAACAAACTCAGTCCGGTTTTCTGCGTACACAAAACGAGTCACATTTGATTTATAATTTAGAAAAAACAATTAATTCTACAGCGACACTGTTTGTTTTTATCTCATGATCTTCTCATCAGAAAAGTTAGTTTAATTCAGGAATCAAACTTCTGGGCCGAGACATTCCACTGATCATATCACAGATTGATTTTTATGAGGCTGTAAGATTTTCTGTAAACGCCAAACAAGCCACGACGAAAGCATAGCCACACCTGGACACATCTGTATTCAGAATTAGGATTTTAATGGATGTCAGAGTTGAGGTTTTAAATTATTAAATGCATTTCTGTACATGTTTATTTTGAGTTTGCAGTGTTTGTAAATGACATGGAGTTTTTATGTAATAAAGAACTTTAACTGAATGTGTTTTGGCCTAAAAAACTGAACATTTTACTTTAAATGAATAAAGCAGCTTTGGTTAATGAAATTGTAAAGGATGTTTTTGTTTCTGTGAATCCAAAGAATTATTTTAGACACGAGTTTTTTATTTAAAGTGATTAAATAAAATGCATAAATAGAACTTTATCAGAAATGTCTACAAAAAAGCTCAAATAAAAGCCACATCATTTAAATTACATCACTATAAATTCAACATGTTAGTGTTATTTTAACATTCAAGTGGAGCTTGCAGCTCTAACTTTATGAAAGTTTTTCCACGAGTAATAAGTCTGATATCTTCTGCCACAGAACCCGGTGGTTTCTCAAGAACAGCTTGTTCTAACCAGATCATGTTTCATATGAAAAACCAAGAAAGTCACCGATATGATCCTGAGAACTAACATGCTCCTACATCTGCTGGTGTGGGTCGTTTTGACCTCTGCTCTGACATTTCTCAGGTTTTACTCATCCACTTGCTAAAAAAAAAAGAACGCTCTTGAACTTGAATTGGCTGATTACTTCAAAAGATTTCTCCTAAAAGATAATTTACTAAAATATGATTTGTTTTAATGTGTCATAATTGAATTAAACCACTGGATACTTTAGCTTAAGCGATGAAAGTCAGGAGAGGAAACGGTCCGTAAGGTGTAGAGCCCTGCACTGAAGCCCGACGACTGTGTAATTATCTCGGACACGGGCCGGGCCGGGCGCCTTTATTTTTAATCGAATTCATTTTTTTAAAAAACACTTGAACGCAGCAGCACCTGCCTGCTTCTCACGCATCGTTAGCTCAGTTAAGGTCTGTGTGTTTTATAAATGCGCCTATATAAACGAATTCTCAAACTGCTGATTGAAACTTGTGCCCCTATTCTAATATGGCATTTTATGTCCACTTTGATATGTCAGAAACCATTCGTTTATTCTCATGAAAACGGCAGCATTCTATTTTCCTGTGAATAAATTCGCTCTGCAGTTAAAAAAAATAGAGCATTCATTGCTGGTTTTTTCTAACTGCAGAGCGCATTTTCAGAGAGGCAGATTAAATTTACAAACGCTTTATTAATTGGGGGCGTTTATTTCATCTGCCGCTCTGGAAATGCGCTCTGCAGTTAGAAAATTAGAATGCTGCTTTTTTCCTACTTGCACAAGAGCGCATTTTCAGAGCAGATTAAATGTACAAACGCATCCAATTAATGTAGTGTTCGTAAATTTCATCTGCCGCTCGGAAAATACGCTCTGTTAGAAAAAAAAGCTGCATTGAATGCTGTTTTTCTTTCTTTTTTTTTTACTGCAGAACGCTTCTCACAGATAATTAGAATGCTGACCATTCTATCACGCTAAAACATTATGAAAGGTTAAAAAAAAAAATCGGGCTCGGGTCGGGCCAGAGAATCCTGAAAACCTTTTCAGACCAGGTCGGGCTGGGGCTCCACCTCCTCGGGCCGGGCCGGACACGGGCTCAGATTTTAGGCCCGTGCAGGGCTCTAGTAAGGTGCAGATTTTGAGGTCTTGTCCTCACAGCTCAACCTCCACAGTGCCATCTTCTGGCTCGTTGTGGATCACGAGGACAGATGTCTCCGAGTTGAAGCTTTTCTCCTGAAGCTCCAGAGGAACAGCCAACGGATCCATGTCACGTAACTTCTGCTGACTGAGGAGATCACATGAGAGTGTGAGATGAGGACTAATGTGTGAAGAAAAGGTGTTTTAGAAGGAACTCACTTAGGACAGGTGCTCGGTTTGGGAACTTTACTAACTTTATCAATCGGGCGAATCTGACAGGGGGACTTGCTTCCTGAAGAAGACGGGAACATTCCTGATGATGATGACACTTGATGGCAACAAGAACATGATTCTGTACTTGTTTGCAGTGGCGTACCTTCTAGTTTTTGTTTGGAGAAGGGAGAGCGACTGTGCAGGTTGGGCCTCCTGTCAGAGCCAACATGTGATCCAGCATCCTCCGTTTCAGCCACAGCCAGTAAAGATGCCCGGTAGTAGATGAGCGGTTGCCAGCACTCCTCCCTGAGGTCAATTATGTGCTCTGCAGTGTGCTGTAGGAGGTAGGAGAACCTGCACGGAAACACAAAAAGAGTTTGACAAGTGTCAAAGTTCGTGTTTCTCCAAGCTGGCGTGTTGCTCGCGGCACTTACACCGTCTTCTTGTCTGGTTTGAGCAGTTTGCTGGAGAACTCGCTGAGGATGGCCAGGTAGGAGAGAAACGGTGGCGTAGCTCCGTCTGGAGTCTGACTGAACTCTTGGAACACAAACTCTATGCTGGTCCTACACATGTTTAAACAACTTCATAAATAAATACACTAGACATAAATCCAGACCGCGCGAAGGCTCTTGCTGACCTGTGAATCATGACAACACACTCACGAAACTTGACCACGTCACCGAAGGTGAGGGCGAATCGCCGGGCCAGCTCTTTGATGCTGGTGAACGTCTGGATTCTTGATTGGGCCCTGCTGCTGCTCTGCTCCTGTTTAAGCCTCACAAACAGCTGAGAGCAGAGAAAAATACATCAGTAACTCTGCAGAGATCAAACGCTTCATGTATACAAATGGACTTTTACCTGCTGCAAGCACAGCACCAGAGTACGAGCACTCTCCATCTTATTTATCTGCCTGGTCCTAAACATCGTCTCCTTGATGATGTCACCAAAGTCGTTATTATACTGGGGACAAAAGGAGTTCATTATACAGATTATACAGCCATCTATAATGCATACATTACTGTAATAATTTTGTGAAAAATCTTAAAGAAAATGCTTCTGAAGATGTAAAGTCTCGCTTTTTAAGCAAAACAGACACAAAATATTCAAAATTTTTGTTTCTACATCATGAAAGATGGTGTAAACTATTTTTTTATCCAGACATATTTATTATTCTTTTTAATGTAGCCCTGTGTTAGTGGTATATGATAACAAAGGAGCGAATTAGCATAGATTAGCAAAAACGAGCCAATTAGGCATTAGTGGCTAGCAGTAGTAGCACCAAGCTAGCTAATTAGCTTAGCACTAAAACTAGGCCAAACCATTGGTTTGTTGGTTTTAAGGTTCAGAGTACTTTCATGTGTTTCAGAGCTTTTAATGTCTAAACATATTTATTAATTTGCAGCTTTTACTGACATTTTGAGCCTAATTGATGATGATTTTTTTGTGATCCAATTTGGGGAGAAAAATCTAAAATTATATTGTTTTTATAATCTATCTCTGCAAATGTTTTAAATTAATTAAGTTTTATATTAAAAAAAAGAAAAACAACTTCAGTTTTCTAGAGGTGAATAAATTATATATTCACATAAAAATTATATTTATTTTTTAGTCCTCTACATTAATTTGTACAATGCATTTTTTCTTGAATTATTTTATTTATCTTTATCTTTCAGATTAAAGAGGCTGATGAAATTTTTAAAAATTATTTTTTTAAGCAATAATTAGTTTGGATTATTAGTGACACTGCTTTTGGAAAAAAAATATAAAACATTTTTTTACAGTTTTTTCATATTATTTTAAAGTAGTTTTTTTAAAAACTATTAATGAGGATAAAATCACTGTTTATTCATCTTTACCTTCATGTAGTGCGTGTAGACCTCAGCCGCCGTGCTCATCTCCAGCACCCCATGCACAATCAGTTTGCAGAAGGCTGCCAGCATATTTCTTTTTCTATGAAGGTCCTCCAGTCTCTCCATTTCAGAGTTTTCACTCACTGGGAGAGTGCGACGGAGTCAGAGATTGGATGTGAGGCGATGGAGAGTAAAAGAAGCAGGAAGAGTGATTAATCACAAAAAGAAAAGAAGAAAGCGGAATGAAAGGACGGGGTGTTTTTAGTTTCAGGACGATGGCTTTAGCAGGTGGAAATCAAAGATAACATCAGACTGTAGTTATGGTTGTGACACCATGTGGCTTCAATCTTTCGCAGGACTAATAAAATGGACTCAGAGGTGAGCCAGAGTTAATGGAATTTTCTCACGGAAAGAGATTGTCCCGATTTTATGATTTAACTCCGTGCCCCTGCCCTCAGAGTGATCTCTGCTCCAGCAGCTAATACAAAACGCCGTTCATAGAACGAAAAAATGTTACCAGGAACATCTAATAAAACAATCGCTTTTTATTACACGTTCAAAAACCAATAATCCTGTATTATATTTGCTTGAACATTTAAGAGATTCCCACCAGGAGGGTTATTGAATTTCTCTGGACGCTCCCATATTTGGATGCAAAATGTCTGCGAAAGTCGAAGCGATTGCAAAGATAATAAAGTGCTTTACCTGCAGCAAATGAGTTCCTGAGTTTACCTGCAGGACTCTACAAAGAGAACACCCCTTTGGGTTTCCCACATGTCAGCCTTGTTTTCCTCATTATGAATCAGACGGGAGCACGCTGCTGTCATCAGTTTACACGCTGCATCACTTTGCATAACAAAGTCGAACACGCTGCCACACAAATTAGTCAATGCTGCTTAAGTCTGGAGGTATTAACGGGGCTTCCTTTGTGATTGGGGGTCAATTGTCAGGTCAGGTTGGAAATCAGAACACATTTTACAGTCAGCAGGCAGCTCGGCGGTGACTTAATAAGCCAAACGTGTGGCCGTGCATTTAATGTCTGCATGATTTTAAAGCTGCTGAGGTGCAGTGCAACCGCACAGAGACAGCGCCACCTGCTGAGCAGCACACTCAGAACTGATGTGGTCTGTTTGCATGAATAGACTTCTACTTCTACGCAGGTCTCAGATAAATATTCCACCTTTTTCCAGCTCTGGGAGAAGAAAATTAATAAAATCATCTGTGGAAATAAAGCAGAGATTGGCTGTATGGAGGCTGAGATCTCACCCCTGTTCTGGCCGTCAGAGTCCGGGTCCACAAACACATGTGCACATACGAAGGTCAACAGCGCCCTCTGCAGTCTGGGACTGGGCGTGTACAGCAGTGGGCTGTAGGAGGTGGGATCCCACACCTGGATCTGGTAGGAATGAGCCAGCAGGACATCACAAACACCCAGAAAAGCCTAACATATAAGAAAGAGGGTTTAGAGAATGCAGGAGGAAGAGGATGGGAGGACATGTGTCTCCTGTTGTACCTGATGTCTCACACTGAGCTGAGAGTGAGACAGGCAGCGATGACTCTGCTCACAGAAGACCCGCAGCTGGAGCCTCTGAGCTACAGCCTTCTCCTGAAGACGAGAAAATGGGCTGAGTCAACCGCACTCAAACCTAAATCATTAATGGTGTTTTTACAAAAGCTCCGAGCTTCAGTCAGAGGAATCAGTGGTGACTCACTCTGCAGGTCAACGTTTCGCTGCTCGTGTTCAGCGACCAGATCATAGAGAAGGACAAGCACTGGAGCACCTCCTCCAGCACCTGCAGACCAAACCCGGGGTTTAAACACAGACAAGCATGACCCAACCTAAAGAGTCAGTGATGGTACCTCAGCTGGAGCTCCTCCATGGCTGCTCTCCTCCGTCAGGAGAGGAGCCAGCAGATCGAATACACTCCACCGACTGAGGTCATGACAGCTTCCACAAGGACAGAAACACCCATCAACACACACACACACACTTTATTCACACATCAGTGTGTTTTAAAACCGCCAAAGCTTACTTGTGAAAAGCTCTGAGTTTCTTCACTGTTGCAACAATTTCTCTGGTTTTCTCCTCGTCAGCAGAGAACCCATCACCCTGAGAAAGAGCAGAGGAACGACTCGGAGTGTTTTACTTTATAACGTACACCAGAGACGGAATGCAAACACTGATGTCAAACCAGAGCTCACTAAAGGCAAAGCAGATACCGGAACACACACTGGGGGGGGACGCTGGAGCTTTTGAGAAGTAATTATGGCTGCACAATATATCGTAAATATATCGTTATCGTGATATCAGCATGCACAATATGCATATCGCAAAGAACAGATAAATATCGCAATGAATGGTTAGCTGAAATGTTCGCTACACATAATGCATTCTGTCAGTCAAACAGAAGCATGATGTTATTTTTTAAAAATCAAATAGAGCTCTTCACCCATTTGGCCAATTGGGTGGGTTCTCATAGGTCAGCAATGGTTAGCAAACACCTGAGTTAGCTTTGTTCTGCTCTTTCTGCTGATTCTGCTTTTCCCAGGATCCATTGATTCCCTTTTCTGGTTCATTTTATTTTTCCCTTTCCTCACATCTTTTGCTTTTCTCATTTTTATGATTTTTTTTTTATTTCTTTGCTTTTGATTATTTTTGTTCCTGAGTTAGATTTTTATTTATCGCAAGTAATACCATTATCGCAATATTAATCACTGTTATCGAATATCGCAGGTTTTCCTAATATTGTGCAGCCCTAGAAGTAATTAAAAATTGCGCTCACATTTTCAACGTTAACACGCATTTCTTTTCACAATGGTAGTTTTTGCATCTTTACTGTTCCCCTGATTCACCCCATTCTCCTCTCCCCCTGTGCAGCGGCCGCAAACTCACCGGGGCGCCGGCAGCCTCTCAGAGTCCCTGCTGCTCTAAACATTGAAAGAATAATTTCATTTTCTGTTCCTCACTTCTGTGGCAAGGAAATACCTTCATTGGTGTCTGTTTGCTGCAGCAGCCAGGTACAAAGACGAACTTGTTTTTTTTATTTGACTATTTTTCTGTCCTGTTTAACCCCTGAAGATCTATTATCTTCCTGCATCTCCTCTCAATCCTTAAGAGAACCAGCTACCTGGCTTCATATTTTTTCACCTCATGAGTGAACTGCAGTTTAAAAAGATCTACCGACCGCAAAAACGGTGGAGTGCACGCCACACACAGACCTCACCAGTAGGTGAAGTCACCGGAGGACAAAACGGGTGATGCACTCCGCTCTGCAGCAGCGAAACACATCAGGTACAAATAAAAGACAGAAAGCATAAAAGGATGAGCCGACATGAACGATTTTGAGGTGCCCACGCTTTGAGAATGTTACTGTGCAGGATGCATCTTTCTGGAGCGCATCGATGATCAGAGCTCTGCGCCTCTCAGCTCAAAGTAATCCCCGCAGAGTCCACATAGATAATGTAATATAAGTAGAACCAGGATCTGTTTCGGGCTCCCCCTGGGTGTGTAAGCTGAGGGCTTCCAGGGGAGCCTGTCATCCTTTTGGATGAGCCGGGCTCCCTTTAGCTCACCTGTAATTCCAACCCTGCGTAGAGCACAAGTTGGTTGCGTGAGCTGCCAGAACCTGGCAGACAGTTGCCGGAAAGGTCCTTTCAAAATAAGACAGTTCCCAGATCTTGTTCTGGCAAGATCTAGCTCAAATTAACCACTGACGTACACCAAACGCAGATCACACAGTTAAGATTCAGCAGCACTCCTCACCCTGAGTGACTCCCCCAGCAGCTCAGTCAGCTGATCTACCCAACGTTGGACCAGAGAGTCTCGTGCGGTTCTGGTCGTGCAGCACCAGGCTGCCCCTTCACCGCACAAAGAGAGGTACGAACGGGACGCCGCCTCCAGAACCGCAGGGTCCGAGCAGAGGTCCAAAACAGCTGCCATCTCCGAAATCAGACTGGAAACCAGCTGCAGGAACAACACCAAATCTGATGATTAATCTTTAACCTCATACATAAAAAGAAAAACGATGTAATAGAAGTGGAAGTGGATGCAGACCTGAGTGTTTCCTGTTTCTGGACAATCTGGGAGGAAGAACTGAGGAATCCTCATCAGGGAGGTAATAATGTCACAGCTACATGAGAACTGCACAAACATCATCCACAAATAAACAGCCAGAGTTAAACGTCTGACGGGTATGAAGGGCCTGAGTATAATGATGTGTAAATACCTTAGAGAGTAACTGAGGAAGCACCCTGAGGAGATGTTCAGTGAGCTTCAGACAGTCGTCTGTTTGGACTTTCTTTTCTTTGATGCTCATCGCCTGAAGCACGCACAGTCGTGCTTTTAGGTTCAAAAACAGATGAGCGTTGGTTAAGAAAACATTTGTTTTTGTCACAAACTGACCTTCTTAGCTCCACTCCTCCCTGGCAGCGCCGGACCCTCCGACGCCTGACGAGCCGACGCAACCAGGATCTCTACGATCACCGCTTGTTCTGCTGGTGTGAAGCCTGGATGCAAACGGACAGCGGTGTAGTCTACGATTCATGTATTTACTAAAACTCCAAATGTCCTCAGACTGTTTCCCCCACCTCCACCTGCGCTGGGTGAAGAGGAGTTCTGCAGCAGAGCAGCTGTGAGCGTGGGCCAGTCCTTCAGCAGAGATCCACCACAGTCCCACAGGCTGTCCACCAGATACACCACATGCTCATGCAGCTGAAAAGGACACCAACATTAGCAAAACCCAAAAAATAGAAGACAATCAGAAGGTTTTCTGGGAAAAGTTATGAATTTAATTTTTTTTTTTACCTCAGACTCCTGATAAAACTGCAGCAAAGCTTTAAGTCTGGCTAATGTCTGCTGTTTTTGTGCCTCCTCTTCACTCATCTCACCCTGGAGGTCAGAGGCAGGAGCTGCAGCGTTGACAATCCTGGAGGAAACAGTTTATATCCACCATGAAAGGCTGGTAAAGTGCTACGAAGGTCTTCTTACCTGGAGAAGAGCAGCTCCCCTGTGACGGCAGCGAGAGGCCGATGGGAGGAGTAAACAAACGGGAGGAGCTGCTTGTAGTCGTCTGGTGTGAGGACATCCTCACACGACCTGAGGAGTGATGAGACGATCAGTGTAAAGGATTTTAAAAAAAGGGCAAAAGCATAAATAAAACACTCACTTGGAGATGAGGACAAGCAGCTTCATGGCCTGTACCTCCACGTCGTTGTCCTTATCCAGAGTCATGGAGATCAGCCGGTCCTGGAGCATAAATCAGCAGTGTTGGGCAAGTTACTTCAAAACTGTAATGCATTATTTATTACTTTTTACCCTCATTTTAAAGTAATTCATTACAATACAATATTACTGATTTTAAAATGTATGGCATTACACTACTTTTGCATTACTTGAAGTAACTTTCACCAATACAACTTCAATATGAATCTGGTAATGTGATGCTCAGTGAGCTCATGACATATATGTGGAAGGTGATGTGGTGTCTGAGCTAGGATTGCTGTTAAAAACAGTCAGATATAATAACAGTGCTTTAAAATGATTGTTTATTAAATAAAAACAACAATAATCTGTACTCTCAGCACGCTGCCATCGTATAGTAACTGAGCAGGAAGTGAGGTGGTGGGGGCTCCAAGCCTATATTTGCCTTGGTCCCCAAATGCCTTGATACGGCCCAGGATGTGGGACTGACTTCTGATTTTATTAGAATAATTTCCGGCCCTTTCTCTCTCTAACCTTCCTGCATGCTGCATGTTTTCTCCGTCTTCCAGAAAAACTGCAAACTAGATTTCCTATTTTCTAACTAATCAGCCAAAAGGATCTACCAAACGCAAAAAAAAGCTTCATATGCGCTGTGCTCCAGCAGCAATGAGTTGAAATCACCGGCGCACAGATTATGAACTCAGCTGAAAAGTACATGAAGTACCAGAGAATATGGGCTGATATAAATGATCACAAACAAATTACTTAGTTTTGGTGGAGCGGTTTTGTGAATATAACAGCGGCCGTGCGCAGGACGCAGCTGGAGTATTTGAGCCGTTACCGCTGCGTCCTCTCTGCTCATAGAATGCCCGCAAAGCTGAGTCCATAAATGACGTCATATATGTGGATACTGGATCTTGTTTCAGGCTTCCTGCAATTTGAATTTTTAGGAAACCCATATCTTGATTCTGGGTTTAAAAATGCATTGTAATTACTGCGTTACTGACAATTGTACCGAGTAAATATTACCATTTTCTTTCCCTGTAATGCCTTACATTACCACATTACAGCAAAAAGCAATGCATTACAGTAATTAATTACTTTTGTACCGCATTACTCCCAACACTGTAAATCACAGACAGATGTGGAAGGAAATCAGAATGATTGACTAAACCTACATCTGGATGAGCATCGGCCTCTAAAACAATATAAAAACAACATTTTATCCCCATGCAGCCACACAGGTAGTCAGGGTGACATGATGTGTTACCTTGAAGCGACTGGTGAACAGATCTAATTTAGGCAGAAGGACAGGATCGCTGTACAAACCCTGCAGACCCAGCACACACTTCAAACGCACGTCTGGTACCTGAGAGAAGACACACACACACACAGGTTGCTGCAGGCTCCGATCACCAGTAGATCAGAATCTATCCCGGTTTTAGATTTACTCCCACCTTGTCGTGCATCATCCAGCCCAGGTACTTTAGGTTACTGTCATTAAGGAATGCAGAGCTGTAGAGCTTCATCCACAAACCCAACTCCTCCATGCAGATGGAGCGGATCTCTGGAAGCATATCACTGCAGAAGCACAAAAAGACAGGAAACAGGCTCAGCAGGACTCTGATTATCAGACTGCAGGGTAAAGAAATGATTGTGGAGTTTAGAAACATATGTACCGATATCTCTTAAGAAAAACTCCTTTGAAAATGGCGTCCATCATGCCTTCTATTTCGGCTCGCCTCTCCTGTAACTTTAGGAGCGTCGTAAACTCATTCCCACTCATAAAACAAGTTTTAATTATCTGCATGTAGTGAGATGTCTCACCTCTGAGATGTTCTGTATTCTCTCCAGCTGCTGCGCGCTCTTCGATCGCACCGTCTTGGTCCTCTGCACCTCGTACAGTTTCTGATTGTTTTCAACCCCAACGCTCAGGCTCAGAGCCACGCCCACCAGAGAGCTCTGCAACTTCACCGCTGATCAGACATCACAACCCAGATTACAGACTAGCTTAACCAACACCGTGAACAGAGCGGTGCGCGTCGAGCCTCTTACCTGCGAGCGTGCAGGTGTGCCTGAAAGCTCGGATGCGCGAGTCAGACAGCTCGGTGAGCAGCGAGATTAGGTTGTTCATCAGGTAGCTGTCAAACATGACGCTGTGCTGACACCGAGCCACCAGCACCGACACAAACTCACAGAACTCAGAGTGAAACCAGCGACCGGACGGTCCAGACTGCACGAGGGGATACTCGGCACTGTCCTACAGGGAGACAGGTCGGACACATGACATGCGTGATTCATCCAAACCCTTCAGAAAGCAAGTTCCTGGAGCCTCCAGTAGACGTGACAAACACGTGATGCAGTGAATAGAGAAGGTACTGACAGCATCCACGGGCCACGTGACCGTGAGGATCCACGGAAACACCAGGAACCTCTTAAACTGCAGGCCAGCACCCTGAAACACACAGAAACACGTCTCGCATCTAAAATACTTCATAAAAAACAGAACAGGTGAGAGATAATGAACATGTTGTACCTCATCGAGCTCCTCCACCATCTTCCTCCTCATAGCTCTGTCCTCCTTGCTCTGACACATCTCTGCTGTGACCACACCTAAATAAATAAATAAGCAATACCGGGGGTAAACCTAAATCCAGTTCTGTGTGTTGTGCATGTTGTATATTTTTACATTTTACACATGTATGCATGTGTGTGTACTTGCCTTTGCATCCGGAGCACTGGATAAAAAAGCTGATGAGATCCAGGAGAGAAGTATCCCTGTCTGTCAGATACGCCTCAATCCAGTCGTCTATCACCGCCTGCTCCAGCCAGGAAATGGTGTTTAAATCAGACCAAAGCCACATTTTCTCAACACATGCAGCCTGACAGCCTGTTCTTGTCGTACCTGTATGGCGCTCTTGCCCATGGTGATCACCTCAAACAGCGTGACCGTTTCCACGTGTTCCTGTCTGACACGTCTACCCCGTGTTCTGCCACCACTGCTGCAGCCAGCTTTGGCCTTTTTGCTCTTGTCATTTTCGGAGAGGCTGTGCGCTCTCTTCCGTCGTCTCTGCAGAAGATAAAGCATGTCCAGATCAGAGTCATCTTCAAATCTGATGTTTAAATTTCAAAATAAGAGTTCAAGAACCTAAATTGGAGAGCACTTTATACCTGGATTATAGAATTACTAACATTCAACAGAAGACCCAACTTAACTTGTGTTTCAAACTCCAATAAAATGCTTCCTACAAACATTTGTATTACACCTTTTGGCACTGGCTTGCACACTTCTGCAGGAAAAGTGGATAAAACCTACCGCACTCTTCTGTCTGTTCTCATTCCCAGAGTCCTCCTCTGAGTGGCTGACAGCTCCAGAGTAGGTTGCCTCTGCATGACAGTCTGAGCTGGAAACCAAACCCATTACAATTAGGACATATTCTAATTCTCATGAGTATCCAGGGTTGATCCTGATAATTGAGACTTACTTTTGCTTGGATGATCTGGATGCAGCTGCAGCTGAAGGTTCTAGTATCATGTTCTTCTCAGATCTTCACGCAGGACTTAAGTGTGTCTTTGCATCTGCAGGCATGGCATAACACGAGTTTTGGGGAGATATTATTATGGTATTTTATTACAAAATATATTTTTGTCCCCTCCAAGTGAATTAAAATACATTACTGTCTTAAACAGACATTAAAACTGTTCAGAAGGCGAACACGTTGCTCCTAACCCCTCAAACTTACCTCATTTGCGTAGATGCATCCCTCTGCGACGTTAACTAATTTTATTGTTGTAGTCTGAAGGTTCTCAGACCAACAATTCAAATATTTCCTCACATTTCCTCCGTCTTTGCCCCAGCTCTCACAGTCAAGTAGCCAGACAGCCTAACAAGACCTGATTGGTTGCTGAACCGATGTCCTCTCATGTGATTGGCTGGTTGTTGACTTCACTCAGAATTACGGCCCGCCCTTAGGGACGGTGCAAGCCAACGAGCTTTGAGCGTTGTGGCTCCACAGCTGTTCACATCTGTCCAAAACAAACTCAGGAGACACGAGCTAGTTCGGTCTCAGAGAAGTTTCAAACTCTAACTTTGTTTCATAACATCATTTTAAGACTGAAACAGCTGTCTTTGTTGGTGTTTTACGGTAAAATCCCCTCTTACCTGATTTTACGTTTATTCACCAGCAGGGGAAGCTGTTCACTCACTTTAGGGATTTATAACAGTTGCAAAGCGGATTTTGAATTTAGGAAAATACAAAATGAACAATTCCACATGAAGAAAACACTATAATAAATAAATAGACAAATAATAAATTAATAAATAAATGTAACTACAATTTTAGCTTTAATAAATATTTTAGTGTAAAACACAAAAGCACACACGTACACATGAGGAAGCTTGGGGATCCTCTGGACATACATGTTCATGTGAAAACACCCTTAAAGTAAGGAAAGCATGAAATATTGATGACAGCTCACTCCTCTGCCATTCTAGTGTTACACACTTCACACACAAGCTGTTCAAGCAGTAAAGCAACAGAGGTGCTGAAGTTCTGCCTTGTTTAGGTTCTGACTCATCACTTGTTGCTTGTGATCTACTAAGACTCGGGTTTTAATACAGTTTTATGGTAATTGTGATCTGTATGGTTACCTTGAATTAAAATTAAATCAAATGATTTGCATTTATATTTTTGAATGTTTTCCAGCCTTTTTAAATCTCTATACTTTTATTTATCGGCATCATTTTTCCACTGATTTGCATGGATTTGTGATATTGTTGCTAAATATTTACACAAGCTCTGATATGATATTCCTGCAAGAATGGGAATGTTCAGGTTAAATCGATACTTTGCAACATTTTCAAATTTTTTAATCGTTCTCTTGAGCCAGCACATTCTAAAATGATCCTACAGGGTTAATGAACTAAGACCCCACCACCCTCTGTGGCAAGAATGTCACACTTGCAACTTCAGAGTGGCAGGCTGCTGCCATCTGTTGCACCTAGAAAAAAATGAGTCGACATACCTGGTGCCCCCATGTTTTAGATTGTGAACACATCTGATTTGTTTAAAGAGCAAGTCACCCACAAATCAACTTTTTTTGCTGATAAACTATATGTATAATGTGTTTATGTTTATTCATTTAGCAGACGCTTTTATCCAAAGCAACTTGCAATTTATAACCTATAGGGTATGTCGTGATCTGTGGGGGAAAGTGGAGTACCCGGAGGAAACCCACGCATGCATGGGGAGAACATGCAACTCCACGCAGAAAGAATGCGGCCGAGTTTTGAACCTGCAACCTTTGTGTTGTGAGGCAACAGTGCTAACCACTGCGCCACCATGCAGCCCGCAAATAAATGAGTGTCTGATCCGTGATGTAGACACATGTAGTCAGTAATGTGGCACTTTAGTGTATCTTAGTTCAAATTTAAATAGTTTATCTAAAACTGTCAGTTTTGTGCCCTCTTCAGGTAAAAACTCTGCATTGCATTTGAATTTAAATCTGCCATTGCCAATGACTAAGAAGTGTCATGTGATGTCAGCTGGTACCATATGATGTCACAATGTCATTGTGAGCCTGTATTTGTGTTTTTTTGTTGGCAGCTCCACCGTCTCGGTCTGCCAGGCAACAGCATTCGTTGCAATTTTCAAACAGGAAGTGGGAGTGGAGTAAAATTCTGGTAGGGGTGACTTGCTCTTTAATTTAGCAATGAATCACTCCTCTAGACACTAATGAAGGCTGGGGAGACATTTCAACTGTTAGATTAAGGTGTTAGAAAGACAAACACACAGCTCGGAGATTAGTTTTATTTTCTATTTGACCACAGAGATTTACTAATGGACACTAGGGGGTGCTAAAAGCAAGCAAAACCACTTAGTATCGTTTTAAGAATTACCATCAGCAAAAACTGTGAGCTTTTTCCTTTACAGTAACGTTGTTTTAAGATGTCCTGTTCTTTGTGGTGATCAAAACTTAACCCTTACTTTTCCAAACTAAGGCCATTCAAGGAGCCATCAGATATTAGATGTTCTTGATCTTCCCATATAACCCTGCTTCTTCCCATCATAATAAAACACTGCTCCATGTTGCATTCAGGTTTATTATTTCTCTTTAGGTTAGAAAATTACAGTTGTGGTGACAGTAGTGCAAGGAGGGACCGGACACGGTGAGATCCAGTCCCAAACTGATCACAGGCAATAACAAGAGTCACAGTCTGACACACACACAAATAAAAATCTACATCAGCTGTGAATGAAGTAACCCAACTCTACTGTTACACAGTTGGATCAAACCGTTTAGCACCTCATTTGGAATCAGTCACATCATCAGAAAGATGACTCAGGACAGGAGCAGAGACATGAAGGTGACTGCCTGATGAAGGTCCTCCATCAGCTCCTCCGGCAGTGACAAAACCACCGTTGTTAGGTTTTGAGTTATTTCTAATATCCTAGAAGGGGAACAGAGCATTAATCAGATTGCTGCTGCAGTAATCACCATCTCCTCCAACTCCACGCTTATGCTGGAACTAACCAGCTGATATAATGAGCTGCCAGCTGAGGTTCGTGCCGGCAGCCTTCTTCTGCCACCAGAGACTGCTTCATCTGTTTGAAGTTGGCCTCGATATCCTTCTTTATGTCTGAGAAGACCTGAATTCCCCTGAAAGAGCTGATGACTTGCTGCAAAGAGAAGGAAAAACAGACACTGAAGAGCACACAGTAGCGTTTAAGATGATGAGGAAATGTTCATTAAAAGAAAAGGCAATTCCCTCTCCTTACATATAAAACTGAGAGCTGGTGGGCTATGTACTTGTGACTTCCAAGGTGTCTGATGTCTTCTTCCAGCTGCTGACTCAGAACCAGCAGCTGGTTCAGTTTGGCAACATGGAGGAAGTATTCTGCAGCAGAGACATCCACTAATGTCAGTTTGTGAGCCCATCAGACTTCATTAAACTGTAGAAATAATAATAATAAATAATAGTAATTCAAAAATGTGAACAAATTTTACATTATTCCTGAAACCTGGCATTCTGCACGCCTGCTTGAGAAGATTTTACATAATTTCTTCTGTCCAGAAAGGCCAGAGCTGCGCTGCTCTGAGTGGCTGCATGTTGGAGTAGCTCTGTTGGCTATATGTAAGTTTTGCCTTTTCTTGGGCATTTTTTCTTCTAGTTTCTCAAGAAAAATTGTATTTTTGGACATTTTACTTTTCTGTTTCTGGTGCTGTGAAGCTTGGAGGAATTTTACTGCTATGTTTTAGCTTTTCTTCACTTTTTGAGCATTTGTTATGATGTGTAACCATGGCAACAAGCTGGTTTACAATCGGGAGCAGCTGAGTAACATTGGAAAGGCTGAAATAATACCTCAACTGAAGCCACAAATTCCAAATGAGCTAAAACGCAAGAAGCATGGGTGCAGAGCGGGAGCAAAACGGAGGCAGAGAAAGAGGAATTTCAAACCATCTCCTCCATCGATCATAATGGGCAATGTGAGATCACTGGCCAACAAGATGGAGGAACCCTAAGCCCTTTCAAGGACTCAGCCAGAGTTTCGGCAGTTTCGGAACCACTGGAGGAGACAATGCAAAGAAGGATTCTCCAGAGAATCAAGAAAATGATGGACAACCCTGAGCATTCTCTTCACAAGACTGTCCGACAACGGAAGAGTGTCTTCAGTCAGAGGCTTCTTCAGTTTCGCTGCAACACTGACCGCTACTGGAGATCCTTCCTGCCAACAGCCATTGTAATATACAATAACTCTTTGATGAATTGATTATTATTATTATTCTGAGCTACTACAGGAATCAATTTCCCTCTGGGATTAATAAAGTATTTTTGAATTGAATTGAAAACTTCATATTTTGACTGGTTTCGTACCTTTTTTTAAGTTTTTCCACACGATTCACACCAAAACGCTCAGGATTTTTACTTTAGCATTCTTTAACACAGGTTTTTGTTTCTTTTGGTATAATTTATTGTTTTCTAACACTCATTTTAAAATGTAGCTCAAAAAGGCCTCATATACCTTGTTTACTTCAGTGTATTTTATAATTAAATATAACAGCTTAATGTTAATAAATTATGGGCGTAATATCGGTGTCGCACTCGTCTTTTATTGTGTAAGAAGCACTTATTTAAATTCAGTCACCGTTGACCCAGTTTTAAGGTTTCTTTTACCTTTTAAGCGGGTGCATTACATCTGTAGCTGCAGTTTTTGTTTGCAGCTGTTTTGTTTAAAGCTAATATAAGTCTAATAAAAACGCACTAAACGTTTTTGAGGCTTGAGCCGCTGGTCTCACCATCCATCAGTGGCCTCTCCAGCATATCGACAGGACTGCCTTGAATCAGAAACACCTCGACCCGAGGGAACATGGCAGACAGACCCACCATGTCCAGGTAGTCCTGCGCAGGTACATCACAAGCAGTCTAACTGACTAGAATCAAGAATAAAACATGCTTTATGTGCACCATTGTGTAGAACATGGTACCTCCAGCTGTGGCATGGGCTTTGGTAGATGTTCAAGGCACTGAAGCATCTGGTCCAGAATCTCTGATCCTTTAGAAACACAGTAAACTAACATGAAATATGCTGAAGTCATCTGAGAACAACTATTCTCCTTCATTTCTACCTTGAGCCTGGAAGCTGTCGGACTCCTCCGGTGTACAGCCTTGTCCCAGCTGCTCCTGGAACTGGGACAGAATAAATATTCATGAAGAGATGAATCTATTAATGAGACAATGGATGCAGGACTGATGAGCTAACAACATAACTGAATAAATCCAGATCAAAGTAAATGACTGCCACCAGTGCTGTTAGCTAACAGGAAGTGTGATTGGACTTGTGCATTGTTCAGGTCACCCTTACCTGCTGCATCTGGGCCCTGATAAGCAGGTCCAGTTGTCCACAAAGACACAGCATCTCCAGGCCCACCTGCTCAGGACTCTGCCGGACCGGCATCAGGGGTCTCCTCACCTGCAGCTCCACTGACCACAGCAGATGATCAGGTCATTTGAAATCAGGTGGAAAATTAGATGTTTGAAAATAACTAGCTAAGGGCTTAGAAAAGATGAAGGCACAAAGCAGATAAGTAGCTTGAAAACTTCTTGGACTTTTACTTCTGTTTAACAGCTGTCACCCTCTTGTTTTATTTTTTTATTTTTGGGGGGATATTATGACAAACACCTATTACAAATAATGATAATAATATTAATAATTGAATTTTCCTAAAGGTTAAAACAAACAAAAAAAGAATGAAAAACAATAAAACAATAATTCAATAACACAAAGTACACATTAAATACTGTATCCCTGGGAGGTCTGTTTTTATTAGCAGAAACGAAGTAATTAGAATCTGTGAACTGTCACCAATCACCTTTTGATCTCTGGCGTCTGCTTATTGGTGCTAATTGTCACCCTTCTTGTGGTTATTAGTGACATCACAACAAATGTGTTAGCTATGGTCACAACTGCATTTTCTAGAGCTCTTTTACTAAGTTAATAAACCTTCTTTATTGAAAAAATAGATATCATTGTTCTCATGTTGGATTCATAATAAAGTCATGTCATGTGTAGCACGGTTACAAGAAAAGTTTGTTTTATTTGATTTGACAATACATATTTGTTGTAATGTAAATAATTAACCACAGGACGGCCACAAAACAAAAATATTTCACGGCTTGTATTGTGATGCTTAAAGAGCAAGTCAACCCCTACCAGAGTCTAACTCCACTCCCACTTCATGTTTGAAAAATGCAACAAATGCTGTTGCCTGGCAGACCGAGAAGGCAGAGCTGCTAACAAATACACACACACACACACACACAGGCTCACAACAGCATTGTGACATCATAATGTACCAGTTTACATCATAGCATACCTCTTAGCCAATAGCGGTGGCAGATTTAAATTCAAATACAGTGCAGAGTTTTCACCTGACAACGGCACAACACTGCTAGTTTTAGGCAGAATATGGTAACTAAGATGCACTGAAGTGCCAAATTATTGACTACGTGTCTGCAGCATGGTTAGACATTTGTTTATTTAGTTTATCAGCAAAAAAAAGTTTATTTGGGGGTGACTTGCTCTTTAAGCGTGGTTCTGGTTGAATTTAAACAATCAACAAACTTTTTAGAAATACAACATTTTAACGTGTCGTACGTTGGATATTTGAAGGCTTTTAGTTTTTTTTTCCATCTTTGTTTTCTTTGCCAACACGTGTTGTAGTGTCGTAAAATTACCGCAAGAGGGCGACATTGGTCAACAGAAGTAGAAACCAAAGATAAAAACGGTACAAGATAAAGCCCTGCTTTTGGCATTTGTCATTGCTAACTTCTTAAGCTAGTTGTGCCTTGTCTACACCTCCGAATTTATTTTACATTTGTTCTTTTTTGTTATGCAAAATTATACAATTTTAAAATTTTTACTTGGTAAAAAGTCCACCAGTGTTGACCACAGACATAAAGAAACCTCTTTGTGCCTAAGGTTCTGACATTCTACCTGAAACAACTCTGGCAAACGTTTGACAGTTTGTCGCTCCTTGATGACGACGAGCAACGCCAGTACATGAGAAAACCGGGACGTTTTTGTTGGTTTTTGCCAGCAGATTAGTTTTTAATTATTATTCCAAACGTAATGAGCCAACCCTTTTTAAATCGCCCTCTTGTCGTTTTGATCACAAAAGAAATTTGATCACAAAAGAAAAATGGATTGCATTTAAATGCAAACAAAAATACATAGCTTTTTTGTTTGTTTATCTGTTCTATAATGGCTTCTGGTCAGAAAATCCAACTACCGAAATATGCACAGACCCTGCACTTTTCCGATGATATTCACCCACCAAACAACCCAAATAAAACGCAGTTTTACCTCTAAACCCTTCGTGGTAGACGCTGGGCTGACAGATCGGCTCCGACGCGCTCCCTGCCATCTCTGGTGAAATCTTCCTTATGTCTCACTGCTGCTGGAAGCCATATAAAACGCAACAATGCGCTAGCACGCACCGGATGAGACACCAGATCTTGTTTGTTTTAACCATTAATTGTTAAAATACGAATTTTGTCGGAAGTATCCATCACCTGTGTTGCGTTCGTGTGCAAAAGGTTTGGCTGGAAGAAAGAACACCGCTTGTTCGTCTAATCTCTGCGGACAGCGTTCACGCGTAGCGATGAAGTAGAGCCGCATTTAACATCTATTGGTCTTTTTCGCCCCTAAAAGGCTGCATTAACAATGACATAACGAAAGTATCGTGGTTTTCAGAACAAGAGCAGCGTTTTACTGAGCGACCCACGAACCCCTCACACCCAAACAGCATCCGTTCACAATGATGTCATCGGGGCTGAGCATGCAGCATCCCTGGATCAGGGTGAAACTTTTCCACAGATCTGATTCACAATCAACAATGTGAACACAAAACTGACTTCAAAAATGGAAATATAACCGGTCATCACAATTTTCACTTTGTATTACACATACTGTTAAAATACATTTAGATGCATTCCGTCTCTTCGCTTAAGTGATTAACATTCAATTCAATTCAAAAATACTTTATTAATCCCAGAGGGAAATTGATTCCTGTAGTAGCTCAGAATAATAATAATAATCAAGTCATCAAAGAGTTGTTGTACATTACAATGGCTGTTGGCAAGAAGGATCTCCAGTAGCGGTGTTGCAGCGAAACTGAAGAAGCCTCTGACTGAAGACACTCTTCCGTTGTCGGACAGTCTTGTGAAGAGAATGCTCAGGGTTGTCCATCATTTTCTTGATTCTCTGGAGAATCCTTCTTTGCATTATCTCCTCCAGCGGTTCCGAAACTGCCGAAACTCTGGCTGAGTCCTTGAAAGGGCTTGGAGTTCCTCCATCTTGTTGGCCAATGATCTCACATTGCCCATAATGATCGATGGAGATGGTTTGAATTTCCTCTTTCTCTGTCTCCGTTTTTCTCCCGCTCTGCACCCATGCTTCTTGCGTTTTAGCTCATTTGGGATTTGTGGCTTCAGTTGAGGTATTATTTCAGCCTTTCCAATGTTAATCAGCTGCTCCCGATTGTAAACCAGCTTGTTGCCATGGTTATGGTAAATGGCCTGTATTTGATATAGCGCCTTCTAGAGTCCTGGAACCCCCCAAGGCGCTTTACAACACAATCAGTCACTCACCCATTCACACACACATTCACACACTGGTGGGGATGAGCTACAATGTAGCCACAGCTGCCCTGGGGCGCACTGACAGAGGCGAGGCTGCCGAGCACTGGCGCCACCAGTCCCTCCGACCACCACCAGCAGGCAACGTGGGTTAAGTGTCTTGCCCAAGGACACAACGACAGCGACAGACTGAGTGGGACTCGAACCTGCAACCTTCCGATTACGGGGCGAGCACTTAACTCCTGTGCCACCATCGCCCCATATATACGCATCATAACAAATGCTCACAAAGTGAAAAAAGCTAAAATATAGCAGTAAAAATCCTCCACGCTTCACAGCACCAGAAACAGAAAAGTCAAATGTCAAAAAAATTGTTTTTCTTGAGAAACTAGAAGAAAAAATGCTCAAGAAAAGGCAAAACTTACATATAGCCAACAGAGCTACTCCAACATGCAGCCGCCCAGAGCAGCGCAGTTCCGGAAAAAGGTAATATCGTAATACTGTTTGCTTTTAAATTTAATTACTGCTTCCAGTATCACAGCCGACTTCTGGTATCTACCACAGCGTTTTAAAAACTATAATTTACATTAGACAAATTCATAATTTTGATATAAACTCAAATAACTTAGTTTTCTGTTTTGTGTAAAATGCTGCAACTGATTTATTTAGGGTTGAATGCAGAAATGTTTCCAAACATGGTCTTTGCAGCTTATTACTGTCGAAAAGCAAAATAAAACAAAATTGAATCTGCAGCTCAAGTTTAAAGTTAACGTTATCGGAAAAGTGCTGTTTGGTGCAGCAGAAGCTCAGGAGGTAGAGTGGCCTCCGTCAGTGGGCACCAGGGTGTAGGTCCTCAGAACTAGGGTGTGAATGACTGTATTGTAAAGTGCCTTGGGGGGTTCTAGGACTTCAGAAGGCGCTATATCAATACAAGCCATTTACCACGTTGGTAGGTGGATAAACAAGGCAATACTGGACTTTTGTATTAGCGTGTAGGAAAAATGGAGTTTGAGAAGTGTGCAGAAGCTACTTTTACCTGCATCTTGTTTCTTAATGCTAATGGAAGATATACAAAGCACAAACAAACTCTGACGTGGGTTTATTAAATAGCAAAGTCAGACAACGAGTCTCAAATCCTTCTATCGAGACTCAAAACGGGTCTTAATAAAATACAACTGGCTTATAAAGTTTATCACAGTTTTACAGTATAGAAAACAAAATAAAAATGCAGGTACACTGACAAATCAAAGGCAAGAAGATAACTAAATATGTGCTGAGGATCCATGCCCAGATACTACAATAATATCAGGCATATGACAGAAACAGGGATCTCGCATTGATCTAACCCCGAATCTTTGGGCAAGCAAATTTACAACAATGTACATAATTTTGTAAACAGCCATAATTATCAAACACAATCTTGCTTCCAAGTGCACTGGAGAGGAAAAAATTGAATATTTACATTGCTTTGCATTCAGTGTTGACCTTTGAGAAACAAAGAGCAAAACCTATAACCCACACCCGTCTGTGTGCTCGTCTCTTAACAGCAACTATGCATCAGGTGACGGCTATCAGCAGAAGAGAGGGCGCATGGTGGACTGGGACATCATGGACAGCTTTAATACTTAGAAGCTTGGAGGTCCTCCATCGAGGGGATGTTGTTGATCTTTTGTTTCTACTGTCGAGTGCCGGGAGGAAGATTCAGGCTGGCCATCAGCTCGTGAACAGATGCAAATATGGTACACTCACCTGGAAAAAGGTACAGAGCACAAGTCAGCCTGGGAACCGTTCCTTAAAAACAAAAAAAAAACCTGAATCCTGAGCTGGGAGCGCAGCCTCACCCGTCCTTGCAGGATGCAACTCATTGAACCTTTTGAGGATATTAGAGACCAGGAGTGCTGCAGCACCCGACGAGCTGTGCTGCCGGGGGATGTCGGCCTGCTGAGTGAGGCCTGTGGCCATGTCGTACACAATGGGAACAATAATGCTCACTGGTTCCTGGGGCGCTGGGATACGCTGGGTCAGCTGCAGCTGTGGGGCAAAGTAATGCCTGTCAGCATGTTCAAAAGATTCAACAGGTTCAGATGCAGCAAAGAGAAAAACAGCAAAAACTCACAAAGAAAAGCATCTTTGACTTGAGCACAACTGCAACGGTCCCAGGAGGGGCGATGGGGGGGGCACTGGGAGGAATGGTGAGGCAGAACTGGACGTTCCACTTGAGCTGTCCAGCCTGGTCGGGGAACTGGAGGCAGAGACGAAACATTTAAGGCTCACCTCTAAAACAAACAATATGGAAAAAGCAAAACTAGTGAAAATAAAAATCTGCTAACCAGCTCGAGCTTCATGATGCGTACGCAGTCCCTAAGAACGTTGGTGGGAGCCCCCAGAAGCTTTGTGAAGGCATTCAAAGTGTTGTATTTAAAAGGTGGACCTGCAACCTAACAACAGAAGTAGTCAGATTACAGAAAGTTCAGGAATAGAGGTGTAGCGTTATGAATATGCCATTTCTGCCCTTAACAGCTGCCCTTTGAAACAGTGACAGTGTGCATAAATTGCCAAGGTCGTGCGCTTGCTCTGATGTTTACATTCCAGCAAAGAAGACAGAAGAAGGACGAAGAACGCTTTTCATTAGTTAATCAAAGAACTTTATTTCTAATAAAGCTAATCAAAACAACTGTTGGTCAATAATAATCAGGTGACTGATCTGCATTCTTCGTCCTTCTTCTGTCTTCTTTGCTGTAATGTAAACATCAGAAGCAAGCGCACGACCGTGGCAATTTATGCACACTGTCACTGTGTCAAAGGGCAGCTGTTAAGGGCAGAAATGGCATATTCATAACACTACACAGGCGTAAGTTTCCGTTTATGGCCTCTCACTTACTCGGGTCTCAAAGAACCTCTCCAGCACCTGAAGCTCCTCCTGGGACCACGGACCTGCATTTTCCGGTGTGACTTTTAGCTGCAGCGTCTGGTAGTTCTTCGAATTCAGAGCCACGCGGCACTTGAGGATGTCCGTTTTGAACATGATCACACCCGGCTCGTTGGAGTTCACCAAAGACAGCTGGAACAGACGTGGAACAGAAGAGGCTGTTTCAGCCCTGCAGAAGCTGATGCAAGTGAATATCTGAGCAACACTCACGTTGGCCTCCAGCTGGATGATCCTCTGCAGGTGTCGCTTCATGATAACCGAACCCAGAAAGCGCTCCAGTGGTGAGCAGAGGTAGCTGCCTGCCAGGCCAGGCACAAGGCAGGGAGTGGGTGAAGGGAGCAGAAGCACGTGTAAGGCATTGTGGGTAAGAACAGTAGGAATGGAGGCCGCCCAGGGGCGCTGAGGTAGCTTTCGGGGAGGAGGCATAGTGGTGGGCACTTGGGAACCTAAATTAAAAAAAATACAGTAAATTACAGATTATAAATAAACACATCAGAAGCAAATCAATGGGTGTTTTTCCCTGTAACAGTACTTACTGGTCCCAGCACGTGGAGAATGAGGGTCAGGAATAGGGGAGTGCAGCAAAGGATTACCGGGAGACATGCCAGGGATCCTTGGACCGGGAGAAGGTCCTGAAACTTGTGGTGAGACTGGCCACTGGCCCCTGTGGCTGGGAGACACCATGGTGTATGGAGAGCTGGGGTCCAGGGGACCTTGATAGAAGAGACCCATCAGACACTTGATGAGATCCAACAACGTCACAATCAGTCGGATAAAGCCTGATTGGTACTTCTCCGTCAGCTCCGCGAGGGAGACGCGCACGCATTGACAGAGACGTTTTGCTTTCAGACTTCTCCGTAAGCTGTGGATTGTTGCTAAACAATTCTCCGCCAGGACAGCAGAGGGCGTAGCGCGGTTCTGAGGGATCCTGCCACATTTACAGTCACGTATCTTTTTACTACTGTGTTTATAATGTTTTAATGTATTTCACAGACTTTTTAACACAGACTAATTTGTCCCTCTCTCCTCTCTACCCCTTCATGCGATCGGCACCTCTAAACTTACGTTCCTCGTCTTTTCCGTCCATGAATAAAATGCTTGCTGCATATCTTTGCACTCCTTCAGTCACGGGTGAATAAACGTACATATTTTCAGACTTCTTCCGCGATGCGTTCTTCAATCTGTTCCGTGTCTGCTGGTAAATATCTCTTGACCTTTGACTTTTCTGTTGACGAATTTACAGGAAGCAGCATCCTGACCAATCACAAGCTTGCGCTCTTCGTCTCTTTCAACATAGTTGAAAACTGACGCAAGTCTCCGTCTTCCTCTGCGAGCATGTCGGAGGGCTCTTGAGTCGACGCATGATGGCGCTGCGTGTCTCTGTCCCGATGCAGACGGAGAAGTAGAAATAAGGCTCAAGTCCACCACTGTGGGCCCAGGGTTTCTGAGCTGTTACGTTTGCAAATCTCTGTTTAGTTCAGCCCTCCAAGTCCTTGCCCAGCAGAGGATTTACCACCAGGCCAGCCCTGCCACTTACCGTGGGGACTGGCAAAGCTGGTTTGGCCCATGGCTATGCCCAGGGAAGATGGAGACGGGGTGGGGCCGAAAGGAGAGGGTGCCCTCAAAGCTCCACTAGGGGAGCCAGAGGCATGGATGTTCCCTGCACACACACACACACACACACACACACACACACACATACACATCAAATGGCTCATCAGACTCTGGGATGATAACTGCTCCTTGCACGCACGCATACACACACTCACTCGTGTGAAAGCAAGCTAAAGCTGGACAGAAGGGCTGGAGCCTCTGGCTGGGCTGAGATGGAGAAGAATGGAAGGAGCATGACTAAATGCATGCTTTGTTTCCCTCTCGGCTGTGAGGTGTGCTGCATGGGCAACTCAAATGGTCTCATGATTTCATAAAATGAAAAAGGGGGGGCACACGATTGCACAAGCTCGCACTACGAAAATACATTTTGCACCGGCCACAAACACATGAGAGCAGGAAGACAGCGAGGCAGGACAGTTGGAAGTCATGACGCTGCACGGCAGCCAGATGAGATTCAAACAGTACATTCAAACGCGCACGTTTCACCCCAGACTTCCTACTACCTGGTGACTGGGTGGGCATCATGGATGGTGATGGAGTTACATTGGCGTGGTAATTTGGTGGAGGCGACGTCAGAGGAGGATAGACGCCTCCCGCGCCCCCCCTCATGGTCTGTGGTTGCTGAGAAGCTTGCAGCTGGTTCGTCAGGCTGTCCATCACATCTGCACCCACTGGCGAGGGGGGGTTGTCGTCTTCATTAACCGAACGCCTGCGAGCATCTTGACTGCTGTCCACAAACATGGTCAGAAATGTCTAGAGGGGGGAAAACAAAAACAAAACAAAACAAAGAACAATTTGTAAACATTTGTGCAGAAATATCAGCAGCAGCCACATTTATTTTTTAAATGTGGAAAATACAAAAGAAAGCTGCTTGTTGACTTCACCTTGAGTCCTGGAGCAGGGTGAAAGCCTTCTACAATCTTGCTGTTGTCAAACAAACTGTAGGCGCCGTCCCTAATGGCCACCACTCCGCGGCTGCGGCAGTAAATGTCGATGCAGTACATGTTTCGGAACGCAAGTCGGATGTGAGTGGGAGACTGGGGAAGGATGGAGAAACACTGGTAGGCGGTGTTGGTGCGCTGGGTGAGGCCAAGCATGGGCACCGTTGGTAACTTGTTGATTGCATTGAGAGGGGCCTGTGTGTCAGAAAGAACCTGTACGAAGAAAACGGGCAGCAACCATGTTTGTGAGTAAGATAGGCTTTGCTTGCCTCTGTGAGGACTTTAATCTCCTAGCTTATGACCACGTGTGTGACTGTGTACCTGCAGAAGCTGCATCACACTGGGACTCTTGTTGAACATGTCCTGTAGCTGGTGCAGGATGATGTTATGGCAGTTGGAGCAGCCCGAGTTGGGCCCCACAGTTCCCAGCGCTAAATGAAAGCGCTGGCTGCCGGAGTTCCACTGAATGGTGACAGAGCTGCCTTTGGTGGAGCCATAACACAGCACCAGCTTACGGTAGTTATACAGTCGCACCTCTGAGAATACGCTCAGGTTAGACGGCATGTCTGGAAGGAAGAAATCACAGCGTCGACGTCCTGTAAGGCAAAGTCACACAGGTCACTGGTTCTCAGGGGAGCGTTCACTTACCTGGCAGTGCACGTGAGAAGTTGAGAACACACTGGTAGAGCTGACTGATGGCTTTCCAGTCATTCAGAAACATCTCAACAACCTTCCTCCCCCCCACCGGCTCTGACAGAGGGTTTTCATAGGTCAGGTACACGTGACGCGTGGAGGCTAGAACAATAAATGAACTCATTTAGAATAAAGACAAAGAGGAATCGTGATTTTGTTGAATAATAATTTAAATAAGCATCCAATTAAAAGCACACCTTGCTCCTTGCTGTGTGTGCTGTTGAGAGGACAGTTGGCCAGCACCAACTCAGCCACCCAGGTTCTGTTGTTCCTGCCCTGCAGACGGAAAGTGCAGTCCAGGAGGGAATGCGCTAAAGCCTTCCTGGTCTCCTCTCCTACATCTTTACAGTCAGGAATTCTGCAAAAGCATGAAAGATTCTTTATAGTCGCAACATTTCAGTTTTCATGCTTTTACAATAAAAACACATGTGACATTTGTGTTCATCACCTCAGCAGCCGTATCGCATGACTGCTGCCATCTCCTTCCACTTGGACACCTTCATTTGGGATCTCCATGTTGGAAAGCTGATCAGAAAACAGGAAAATGTGTTCAGATAGCACAAGCCCAGAGTTCAGTTTAACAGACACGTGAAAATTATTCAGACCAACAACACGGTGCCCCACCTCTGATCTTAAGCCAATGAAAGGCATGTTGGTGTCACACATGGCTACGAGATGAGCCAGTTCTTTGTTGAACGCACACATTTCTCCAGATCTCTTCGGCTTCTTTGGTTCTGGGTCTCCCTGCTCTCCATAAACCTAAAAGCAAAGGGTTAATCTGTTTTAATATAGTTCTCTTGGCACTTTTTATTTGACCAACAATGTCCCACTTCACAAGGAAAAAAGCAGAAACCACACAAAGTTATTCCTTCTGCAGAGTCACAAACCTTTGTAGTACAAGACAGGAATAATTCTAAAATGTTGAAAAGTTTTCCTTTATTAGCATTTCAACTAGTGTCACGGTGTGAAAATTTAACCTCACGGTTATTGTGACCAAAATTACCACGGTTTTCGGTATTATCGCTGTATTTTTTAAAACGTGCTACATTTTCACACAATTAAATAAACCCTGTATGTCAGGAAATATTGTCCTCAGTTTGTCTAAATTTTGCCTAAAATGTGTTATTTTGTAATTATGTTGTTTATTTTTTACATTTTCCCCTTTAGTCTTTAAAATACCAATATTTTCCCATAACTTCTTATTTTTGTCTGTTTGATGTCATAATTTTAAAAATATTAGATCAGATGATACTCAGTACTCCAGCAGCCTTCTAATCAGATACTTTTTTACCCTTACTTGAGTAATAAACCCTATATCAGGAAAATATTGTCCTCGGTTTGTGTCCTTCCAGTGAGCTTTGCAGATAAGGGAAAATGTCGTCAGGCAGTAATCATTGTTAAATTCATAATTATTCTCAGAGAGAGACCAACTCTTATCTGCCCCTGGGAGCCCCATAATGCATAGCGTCATTTCAACATGGGGTTGTCCGCGACGCAGTTTATATGCAGGTGGCGGCGCTGCGGCTGCTTTATATAGCGACTCGTTGCATTCTCCCTCAACCCAAATCCTCGGATCACGCATTTTAGCTAAAACACTAACGTAACTTGCCTTGCGTTGACTGTAGAGCTGTGGGTGATGGTCACGCAGATGTGTCATGAGATTTGAAGCGTTGCTGCCTTTCACAGACACTTTTTCTGCACGTGCTGCCAACAGGATAGCCGTCTTCTATCTACTGTCCCTCGGCATTCTTCAAATATCCAAAAGATGCCCGTACTTCCCACTTTGTTTTCTTTGAGGGATAATAAATGTCCTGAGCGCTGCCGTCTCCTCCTTTGACCATTATTTCAGCTTTAGCTTCAAGAAAGTTTTGGTCGTAAACAACAAAGCGCGCATGTGCCGCCGGCAACTTCAGCAGATGATACGGTGGCTGGTAAGGGTCACCGCACCTACACCACAGCCACGGCAAACCCACCGAGATAATATAGTTTTTAAAAAACAAGATGGTTATTATTTTTGTCAACTTTTTTACAGAGGTTTACTGCTACACCGGTTACCGTGACAACCCTAATTTCAACCCAGCATCACAAAAAAGCTAATTAGTGAATGAAGGAAAGTGTGTTGATGTACCTTTCTCTTTGTCCCAGGCCGAGCATCTTTCCCTGTAGTGTCTTGGGCAAGGTGTTCCAGGTTTGGCTTAAAATGCTGCAAAAGCTGTGCACACATGGGTCCATCGTCCCCCTCTAACTGGGACACGGAGAGGAAAGAGTACTTATACTGCAACGCCGTGGGACTGCTAAGGACTTCGTACATTTCCACCACCTACAAACAAAAGAAAGAAAATAAAAGGAAATGTGTTTTGTTTGTGTGAAGTTAGTTTAGCCTCCACTTTTTCAGAACACGCTGGCTTCAGAACTCACAATGTAGTACTGAGGAAGACGAGTGAGCTTAATGAAGAGTTTGTGTTTGGACAAGCTGCCGACAGGGTGAGAGGCTGAATTGGAGAGGTGGACGATATCGGTGCAAACGGTGGGAAGGTGTTTCACGGACTGTCGACATCGCTGCTCCCCCAACCAGAACCTGCAGGGGGAACCAGTTTGTCTCTTCATTTTAGAATACTTGGAAGAGACATGTACATAAAAAGTTTAAAAACAAACACTTATTAGCAGAATAAACCCTGGTTTCACTGTTGCTTTATTTTTCTGTGAGGTTTTAGAGACTCGTGTAAAAACCGTTGCTTATGGGCTCATTTGAAATAACAGTCTCATCATTAACGAACACATCTGAGAGAAAACTGACAAACGGAAATAACAATTTACATTTTCCTGACTAGATCGAAAACATCAAATATGATGGTGAAAAAAAACATTTGTGGCATTTACTTTTTAAAGGGGAATGAGGCAGTTTTGGCTGGCTTTTAGCACCTTAATCTAACAGTTGAAATGTCTCCCCAGCTTTTATTAGTCTACAGGATTGATTCATCACTAAATTAAACAAATCAGCTGTTTTCATGATCTAAAACGTGAAGGAAACCTGCTGGAACCAGACTGCAGCGTCAGGTATGTCAGCTCCATTATTTTCTAAGACCAACAGACGAGACTAGAGATGGGTACCGAATTCGGTACTTTTTAAGGCACAAACCGAATTCCATAGTATCGACTGAGTACCGATTCATGTCATATGAAACGGTGCCTTGTTTCGGTACTTGTGCCATGTGCAAGAGCGTAACGTTGTCAGTCACTGTGGGCGAGCTGTAAACAAAGCTAGGAAGCGTTCTGAAGTTTGGGCCCACTTCACTAAATGCGATGGGCTATTGGGTGATGATGAAACCAGCAATAAAGATCTGAGTATGAGGCATCTTAATCTGCTCCAGCAGCTAAATAAACTGTTTAAGTTAACGTTAGCTTGATAGTTTAGTTTTTGTTTTACATAGCTAATGGTGCGTTCACTTTCTCCTCGGATATTCCAACTTCCGAGTAGGAAAAATAAACAGTTTGAAAATGAACGGCAAAAAGAATGAAGATACACAGTAAATTTAGTTCACAGCAAAGATGTTTGCTTCAGTGTAATTTGTAGTTTATAAAACTACAAGGACCCACCATCACACAGTTTGTCCAGATGAAAAAGGAGAGGAAAAGGAGTACATGGAGCTGGGTTTAGTTTGTGGAACACCACAATATTATAATACAAACTTGTACGGCATCGACGTTTGCTTTAGTTTCATTTGTACTTTATAATATATGGTCTCCTCATCAGAGTTATTCCAGAGGGCATAGAAGAGGATTAGGAGTACATGGAGCTGGGTTTGTTTTTGCATCATTTAGAAACAGTTGTTATTAAAGGTTTTCATAATGAAGAATTTTATACAACACTACGATGAAAAAATACAAACAGTTGTATGTTATTATCATGACATTTATCAAATATGGTTATACATTGGAAAAATAATATATATGTAATTAAAAAAGTGATTTAAATAATTATTAAACACTTAAAAGTATCAAAAATTGGTACCAGTATCAATTCGTAGGTACCAGGAATTGGCACAGTATCGATTCAAATGTCAAAGGTACCCATCCCTAGACGAGACGGGCAACTCCGGAGTTGCAAATTGAGTTTTCTAGCCACAGAGGGCGGTGGGGGTCATTTCATTAACCCTGTAAAAGGTCATTTCAGTACGTACAAGCTCAAGAAAATGATTTCAAAATATGACAAAATTGCAAAGTATGCCTTTAAATAGAACACACTTTCTGATCATTATCTAGTTAAGGTAAAGCAACGAGCAAGTTCAAATGAAAACTCAAGACTGTTGTCGCGTTGGTGGTTGAGGTGGTGGTGTTGTAGTCTGATGTGAAAGAGAGAATTTGAATTCTTCTATTTTCTGGATAAGGTCAGTTATTGATAGGGTTGTCACGGTATGAAAATTTAACCTCACGGTTATTGTGACCAAAATTATCACGGTTTTCGGTATTATCGCGGTATTTTTTAAACGGTGTTGCATATGTTCAGAAAGCATTGATAGTCCTGTTCTACACAAACTGAAATAGTTCTGAAAAGGTTTAACAGTGTTTATTAAACCTAAAATAACACGAAGCCTTAGCAAAAGTGCAACTTTTCACAAGTAAAGGAACAAACAGCTTATTTTTCTGGAACATGTTACAGTAGTCAGTGCAGGTTTAAATTATACAAATCCAAACATTCAAAACATAAACAATATGTAAACAAATCAAAGAAACACCACTTGTTTTCTCATATACTTGTTTTCTTCCTTATCAAAATGAAAATCTAAAACTCCAGTCCACACCTGACTTGAGCACTGTACAAGTCAACCTTAAAAAATATGTATTTAAAATAAATATCCACTTTAAACAAATTACTAAAATAACTACTACACTATGTAATCAAATCCAAATGTTCAAGTATAAATGGCATTGAATAAGTAAACAAATCCATGACAAGGAACTAATTGTATATTTCTCTTCATCATCAACAAATAAGATGCTTCATCCAGCAACAGGGTGTCCGTGACACGGTTTAAATGCTGGCAGAGGACGCTGCGGCTGCAGTATATAGTGACTCGTTGCATTCTCCCTCAACCAAAAGTCCTCGCGTCATGCATTTAAGCTAAAATGCTAATGTTAACTTACCTTGCACCGGCTGTGGAGACGTGGGTGATCGTCACGCAGATGTGCCATGAGATTTGAAGTGTTGCTGCCTTCTGCAGACACTTGTTTCCTGCACGTTCTGCAAACGGGATAGCCGTCTTCTATTAACTGTCCCTCAGCATTTTTCAGAAATCCCAAATATGCCCATACTTCCGATTTAGTCTTCTTTGAGGGCTGATGGATGTCCTGGGCGCTGCCGTCGCCTCCTTCTGCCATTATTTCAGCTTCAAAGTTTTGGTGCCGTTGCAAATTAAAAAGTGCGTGTGCGCGCAGCGGGAACTTCAGCTGAAGCGACGGTGGCTGGTAAGGGTCATCGCGCCGAAACCGCGGCCACGGTAAACCCACCGAGATAATATAGTTTTTTAAAAACTGGACGGTTATTTTTATTGTCAACTTTTTTACCGGGGTTTACCGCTATACCGGTTACCGTGACAACCCTAGTTATTGACATCATTCAAAATATGATGAAGTCAACAAAAGTAGTCCCACAGCAGAGAGGTGAAGTTTGTAGAAAGATGCAATTATAATCATTTTATCATCACATCTAGAATCAAATAAAATCATCAAGAGCCTGAAGATTACCTCCTCGAGTCCATCTCCTGAATTATTCAACCAGTTATTGCTATAAGAAGAAACTCATTCATCACTTTTATGCACTATTATGTGTCTGCTCTTATGTCAGCTGTGTTTATACATTTTTTATCACATTTATTTGACCTACTTGAGTTGCTGAAGCCAAGTTAGTATGCGCTTCATATCATCGTTGACGTTCTTTTCAATGTCATCCAGTATGGACTGATCTACAGAGACAAGGAAAAACAGAATATGGTGCAATAAAATCAGAAGAGTGGAAGAAAAAGCAGAAGGGTGTTTTTTTTGTAGAACGCCATTCTAGATAGAAATCACAAGGCGCTTCACGAGCTCAATATGATTTTAAAAGAATGGAAAAATTGAAAAAGATAAAATAAAAATTAGGATGAAAACTACAAAAAAAACAAGAGTCCAAAAAAATAAATAGAAATGACAGGCACGCTGGCAAAGAAGCAGCTCTATAGCCGTCATAAATAAACATAAACACAAGCGAAGATGTTGACGTACCTAATCCATACAGCATGGGTTGAAACATGCCCGAGTGAAGGTCAACAAAGATGTGCAGGCACTCTGAACGGCCACAGGGCTCCAGTATTGGAATAACCAGGGTTGGCAGAGCCGTCTCAATAAATGCTGGAAGGAAAACAAATCAGTGGGTTTATTATTGTATATGATACAGATGTGTTATGGGGGACATGCATGATTCACAGGATAAAACTGAATTCAAGTTAAGGATTAATAGGAATAAATAGGATTAGAATGATGTGACGGCTGCAGCCGATGGAACAGATCGGCAATTTTACTAGTTTTGCAAAACACTTATAATGTTACTTGTTTTCTGCAATGAACGAGAAGATGAAATGCGTACAGTTGTCACTGGGGTTGCTGGTTTTTAAAACGGTCTTGAGTTCCTGCAGCTTCTGATGAGCCCGGGCGTGAACGCTGTCAATCAGAAGCTTTTCCACTGACAGGTGGTCGATCTAAACAACGGCGGAGAACAGTGCAGTTGTTTCATCTGTTATTTTATTTTATATTACATTAAAATTTAGCATTGTACACTTCACCTTCATAGCTCTCTCCATTAATTTGGAGTCGCAGGCAGGCAGAGGAGGCTCGTGAGATATTTGTAATGGCTTGGATCCATCTGATTCATCAATCCTGATCGTTACTTTATGAACAGATGCCGTGCCCGTCTTTCTACCCAAAACTTGTTGGCTAAAGAATAGAAGAAAGCAATTTTATACATTTCAGTTTTTTTTTTTATTCTGCTTTGTAGCTTTTTTTGTTGCACGAACAAAAAAAGGTTGCTTTTTTCTCCTAATGTGTGAGGACATTCAGCAGCTCCTTACTTCCAGACAGAGAGGGTGAGGTATTTCGCAGGCATGTATCTCTCCTCCTGCACCAGGTCTCCCCAGCGCTCTCTGATCAGCATTAGTGTCTGGGAGTGGAGCACCTCTAGCTGCAGCGACAGACAGAAGGAGTCTGAAAAACAATGCTGTTAAAGAAAACGCAGTGTGGGAAAATTCGGATCAAGGTGGACAGAGGTCGAGTATTTCACTCATCCTCCCATTAACATTCAAAATGCGCACACACGCTCATCCTCGAGCCAGGTTCACCAGTTGAAGGCCCATTTGTGCTCCACACAGACTGCTCTTTGACAGGATGGGTGAAAGGCAACACAGAGATGTACTGATTAGCATTGTGATTAGCACAGTTGTGCTCTGCTCGCATGCTTGATTAAGCTCCTGACGATGGCGAGAATACCAACAGTTGATCCTCCCGGCATGAAAGCCAGAGACGTGTATCAGAACTGTCTGATGCGACAAACATGCATTCATTTATTTGATATAAACAAGATATGTTTGCATCTGGCAGAAAATTAAAATGAGATGCCTTTCCATGGAAAGACAACACATACAGATGCTGAAGTGTGTGTGTGTAAGGAGTTAGAGAACACCTCGCATGACATGAGTTTAAAGTAAGAACAGTACCGCCCTGTCTCTTTTTGTCAAAGGCTGTTTTGTTATTTAAGATATAAGAAGGGGGTAAAGAGAGATGCATTACTGCAGCTGTGTTTCTCATTGGAATTCTGTACCTGTCTGCTTGATCAGCCAATACTCTATATGCTCACACACACACACACACACACACTCCTGCCTAACTGCAGAAGCTCAGAGAAGACCGGGATGAAAGCCAAATTATTACAAGCGAGTCATAAACAAGACACCCATGTGGGAGTTAATAAACGAACACCAAGAAAGGATACGCAAGCAGTTGTACATGTCCTGCAGAGGCTTCTCATCTGCACAAAGGCGTGCCTGGACCAACTCATGGATGAAGTTCACCTGTAGGCTGTGCACCAGGGCTCGGCCATCTGTTAACAGGATGGGGGGAAAGGCAATTGAAAAAGAGTGACAGTCAGATACAGAAAACAGTTTCCTTTGCTTTGTACATAATTCTCATTATGATGTGAAGGGAGGCAGTTTTTACCTCCAGTTTCTTTGTCCTCAACTAGAATCTCCAACTTCAACAGCCTCCAAGGAATATCAGGATCATCCCCCATGACAGTTAAGGTGGCCTCAAACTCTCCTTCTACACGAAACTTCACACGGCCGTTAGCTAGAGAATCAGGCGCACACACAGACACAGTCACATAGGACCTTCTTGAAACAAACAGGTAAATAAATGATAAAAAGAAAAGACAGTTGGAGAAAACGATTAATAATTACTATTTTACCAGTAGCTTGATTCCTGAGTGGCTTCAGTTCAGAGGCTCATGTCTAATATGACTGATGTGCTAAAGGCTAGTCAACCATTTTCATTGCTAATGTCTTGATCAGCTCAGATAGCCAATGTTTTATTCAAATTAGAATCAACTTTATTGTCAGTGCCCCAGCGTCCTGAAGCATAGAAATGTGTCTCTGCAGTACTGCCTGACCGAGGTTACACACACAAAACATGTAGAACAAAACAGATAGAGGCAGACTACAACAGCTGCCATTTAAGACGCTCATATGTGATTTCAAATGTGATTTTATAAACCTATTTACTGCTTTCCTATTTATGTTACACGATCATTTATCTAGAAAACTATGGTTTTATACAAGCAGCAGCAGTAAAATGCACGTCTGATCTCTGAATTGTGTGTACTGAAACTCTAATTTCCCTCTGGGATTAATAAAGTATCTTTGATTTGATTTGATTTGATTCTGATGGAACAAACACTAGCAGTAATTTACTTTTCTACCGAATTAATTATATCATTCAAAATACAACTGTGACTGAACGCTGGGACTGGTAATATCCAGCAATATGCAACCTAGAAAGGAGTTATTTATCACTCCTAAACAGAAACATATTTAAAAAGGACTGAAATATCAGTGTGACAGCGTGAGCATCCTGTCACTGTATCCTGATTGATCATGCACCCTGGCTACTTGGCCATTGGATGTCCCTTTGGCTGACCGGTAAGCACGCGTGACTCTCACCCGGGAGTCTGGGGATCGAATCCCGCCTGGGCCCTCGTTTCTCCACCTTGCCACATCAGTATATATTTAAATGTACCAAAAAAAAAATCACTTACCAACAGTCAGATTTGCCAGCTGGGGTGGTAAATCTGTAGTGACCAGCCGGTGACGTAAAATCTGGTTAAGCTGGCTCAAAGTGGTCTGCTTTTCAGCTTTCGTAATGGGATCTGGGGGAATGATCTTATCCTACATAAAGACAGAAACCATCCTATTATTATACCAAAAAAATGGAAGGAACAGCAAATATACGGCAGCAGAGACGGTTAAAGACGTACTCGTATGCATGTCGGTAAACGTGGGTATGATCCAGTGGTCAGCACATCAATGGCAAAGGGAATGGCAAAACTGGGTAAACGAGCATGTACAAGAGCATCCCTAGCTAGTAATGCCAGTCTGTCAGCTGTGTCCACAAACAAGATGGCTTGTTGATCCAGAAAGCTGGAGATCATCTGTTCAGAAAAATTCACAAGAAAAAAAATATTGATTTAGCTCTGATGGTACAGCATAACATGCGATTTATAATGTAAATAAACAAAAAGCACACAACATACCGCACACTTCTCAACTTTCCCTGCATTGCTCGCCCACTTTACCAGAGCTAGAAGTCGTACAAAAAGCTGCCTGGTACGACTTGCAAACTGGACAATCTCGATTTTCCTGAAAAAAAAAAAAAAAATTAGATTTAAAAAGACACGATTGTTGGCCAGAACTGTCGTCAAATAAAAAAAACAAATATGCATACCTCTCCATGTCCGTTTTTCTGGGGAGTCTGAAAAATAAACATTGATTCTGAATTAATCAAACTCAGCAGAAAACAAACATTTAAGTTTCCTAACAAGTTAAACAGGTTCCTTCTTAATGACTTTATTACTAATGTTTTATTATTATTTTACTGAGAATATGAACAGCGGACCACCAAAGCAGAAACAAAACCCTGACAGCAAAACTGAAAAGTGACAGTAATCACTTCCACTGAACATATCAAATAAATAATAAAATTATTATTTTGACTACCTTTTTTTTCTATTTAAAGATATTAAAACAACACCGTTCACCTTTGTAATGGTCAAAATCAACTTGCTGCTGGTTAAAAAGATCACTCTCGAGGTTCGATATGGAAACGATCCAAAGGCACACCTTAGGTGATTAATGTATGAACACCTGTCTGGTAGTGCAAGCATCTTACTCTTTAACAATTTCAGATACTTACCTTTTAAAAATACAAGACAGAAACATTGCAAGTTTTTCTACTCTTATCCAGACATTACGGTAAATTCAATGCTTTTTAGGAGTCATCTTTTTGATGCTGTGACCTACTTAAATGTGCTTTGCTGCCGTCACAGAGATCAACCTGATTATCAGTGCCAGTAAGATTATTTTAGTCCCTTAAATTCAAGCATCCTCAGAGTTTGCAACTGTTAGCTTAGCTGTTAGCATGGGCCTACGCTATTAGCCGTTACTTACAGTTCTGCTAGCAGGGTAATTTCATGGTAAGTCCTCTGGAGAAGAAATTCAATAAGCAGACTCAGTCGCACACCCTGCGTAGCCGGGGCACCTGGTGGTGGCGGCTGCGGACCCGAAAAAACCGGACCCCCAAGAGGGACGAGCTGCCCATCTGACCCGATCTGCACTGGAGCCATTTTAGCTGCTCGGCTACACACTCAGCAACACAACGGCAAAACCGGTGAGTTATCAAGGTTAACTCCTTATACAAATATCCTCCTTGTGTTCTCACAACATTTCCTCCATGACTAAAGAATCTTGACGCGAAGCTGGTGGACTCCGGAAAGAAAATGCAGCAAGTGAATCAAACTTGACAACTCGTTGTGGAGACGAGTCAGTGGCGCTCCGCCGCCATCTTTGCTGTCGGGAGTGATTATGGTCGTGAGAGAGAGAAAACCTGGATAGGATTTTTGAAGAGACTTGGGATTCTCCGCGAATTTTCTAGTTTTTCAGCACAATGTTTGGCTGTAGAATAAAAAAAAAACTTGCTGTCAACTACACTCGTATGTACACTCGCAGGCCATGCTTGACCGCTTGTACCGGTTATCACTAAATTGTATTTTCATTTTGGTAACAAGTAGATTAATTGTATTATATATTATATATATATATGTATGTATGTATGTATGTATGTATGTATGTATGTATGTATGTATGTATGTATGTATGTATGTATGTATGTATGTATGTTTGTAAAACAGCCCATATCAGAGGGCTTGATACCCCATACTCCCGAACTACACCCCATGAGACACAATTGAAGGCCTTCTCCAAATCCACAAAACACATGTAGATTGGTTGGGCAAACTCCCACGCACCCTCCAGGACCCCCCTAAACATATTGGGCTAGTCCAGTGTTCCACGGCCAGGATGAAAACCACATTGCTCCTCCTGAATCTGAGGTTTGACTGTCCACAGGACCCTCTTCTCCAGAACCCCTGAATAAACTTTACCAGGGCACTCAGAACTGTGGCCTCCCTGTAGTTGGAACACAGTGGTCCCCCTTTTAAATAAGAATACCAACCACCCCGGTCTGCCAATCCAGTGAAACTGCCCCAATGTCCATGCAATATTGCAGATTCATGTTGGCCAGCACAACTCTACAATATCCAAAGCCTTAAGGAACTCTGGGCCAATCTCATCCACCCCCGGGGCTTTGCCACCAAGGAGTTTTTTGACCACCTCACTGAGCTCAGCACCAGAGATTTGACTGCCCAACTCAAAGTCCCCGGACTCTTTTTCCTCACTGGAAGATGTGCCTGTGGATTTGAGGAGGTCTTTGAAATACTCCAACCACCGATCCACAATGTCCCAAGCAGAGGTCAGCACAATGTCTCCAGTATAAACAGTGTTGGTAGCACACAGGCTTTCCCCTCCTGAGGCGCCAGATGGTGGACCAGAATTTCCTCTAAGCCATACGGAAGTCTTGCTCCATGGTCTCACCGTACTGTCATTGCCCACATGAGCATTGAAGTCCCACATCAGATCGATGGAGTCACCGAAAGGAGCGTTCTCCAGCACTTCCTCCAAGGACTCTAAAAAGGGTAGTCTGAACTGTAGTTTGGTGCATAAGCACAGACAACAGTCAGGACCTTTCCTCCCACACGTAGGCAGAGGGTGTCACACCCTGTCCTGTCTCCCTGTTTTGGTTCAGCCTTGTGTCTCGTTGATTGCTCCCACCTGCCTCTCGTTTCCCAATCACCTTAGCTCCCTGCCCTCGTGTATTTAAACCCCTTCTGTGTCTTGTGTCGGATCATTGTTTCTTTGTCAGCATGTCTCCTAATGAATCATTGTTGAACGTTCCTACCTGTCTGCCTGTCTTCCTCGCCCCGTTTGGATCCTCACCTCTTCTCCGCTTCATTCGCCGGTGCGTGTGACAGAATGATCCGACCCGAACCCGTTGAAGGATCCAGCGGGGAGATTCTACCCTGGGAGTGCCTGCTCCGATTCCTCTCCTCCGATCACCGGCCAGCCTCTCTTCCTCCAGCCTCGCCTCGCCGAAGACGCCGTCGCCGACCTTCGGCCGCAGCGTTCCTCCCCGCCCTTCCAGAGCCGAAGGCGAGTTTGGACCAGGAGCAGCTTCCAGATCGCTCCAGTTTCGTTGGCACGAGCCTGGCTGTCTGTTCCCCCAGAGTTGGTCCACGGCGTGGGGAGAAACGCCAAGCTCCACCGCAGCCCTGTGTCCCGGGACGGAGCTGCGGACTCGCCGCTGCCCCTGCCCGACGCAGCAGCTTGGACCCGCCCCCGGCCAGATCAGCAGTCCCGTCACCGGTCCAATCGGCGCCCCCGTCATCTGCAGGCGGAGGAGCAATGCCTGCAGCCCAGCTGACAGAGCTCGTCGATCTCCAGGCGGAACTTGGCTGGATCCGCCAGCTCGTCAGCCTCCAGGAGTCCCACCTGGACACTCTATCTTCCTCGAACCGCCAGGAGAGGGCCTCGGTCCAGCCGGCAGCTCCCCCATCTCAGAGCCAGAAGAACGAGCCCGAGATCCACCCAGCAGAGCTTGCCGGTCTCCGGGCTGAGCTGGCCCAGCTCCATCGGACCCTCAGCCTCCAGGAGCTTCAGCTGGACGGTCTGTCCTCCATTCAGCCTGTCCAGGCACTCCCTGCCGCAGCAGCTCTGCCTCCGGCCCAGAAGCAGACGGTACCGGCCCGGAAGCAGGCGGTCCCGACCCAGAAGCAGACGGTTCCGGTTCCGGTCCAGAGGCCGGCGGTCCAGTGGTCGACGGTCCAGAAGTTGAAGAACCAGAAGTCGATGCTCCCGGACCAGAAGCCGACGCCCCCGGACCAGAAGCAGACGGTTCCGGCCCAGAAGCAGACGGTTTCGGTACCGGCCCAGAAGCAGACGGTTTCGGTTCCAGTCCAGATGCCGGCGGTCCAGAGTTCAACGGTCCAGAAGTCGAAGGGCCAGAAGTCGACGCCCCCGGACCGGAAGCCAACGCCCCCAGGACCAGAAGCCGACACCCCCGGACCAGAAGCATATGGTTCCGGTTCCGGTCCAGAGGCCGGCAGTCCAGAGGTCGACGGTCCAGAAGTCGAAGGGCCAGAAAACTACGCCCCCGGACCAGAAGCAGACGGTTCCGGTTCCGGTCCAGAGGCCAGTGGTCCAGAGGTCGACGGTCCAGAAGTCGAAGGACCAGAAGTCGACGCCCCCGGACCAGAAGCCGACACCCCCGGACCAGAAGTCGACGCCTCCAGACCAGAAGTCGATGGTGGTCGACGCCCTGTCCTTTCCTGTGGTCGACGCCTCTTCAAGTTCTGAAGTCAACGCCTCTTCGTGTTCTGAAGTCGACGCCTCTTCCAGTTCTGAAGTCGACGCCTCTTCCAGTTCTGAAGTCGATGCCTCTTCGTGTTCTGAAGTTGACGCCTCTTCGTGTTCTGAAGTCGACGCCTCTCCGTGTTCTGAAGTCAACGCCTCTTCGTGTTCTGCAGTCGATGCCTCTTTGTGTTCTGAAGTCGACGCCTCCTCGTGTTCTGAAGTCGACGCCTCCTCGTGTTCTGAAGTCGAAGCCTCCTCGTGTTCTGAAGTCGACACCTCCTCGTGTTCTGAAGTCGACGCCTCCTCGTGTTCTGAAGTCGACGTCTCTTCCTGTCCAAGGGTCGACGCCTCTTCCTGTCCAAGGGTCGACGCCTCCTCTGAAGTCGACGCCTCATCTGAAGTCGACGCCTCATCTGAAGTTGACGCCTCATCTGAAGTCGACGCCTCATCCGAGGTTGACACCTCATCCGAGGTTGACGCCTCATCCGAGGTCAACGCCTCATCTGAGGTTGACGCCTCATCCGAGGTCGACGCCCTCTCCACTCCAGAGGTCGACGCTCGTTCCACTCCAGAGGGCGACGCTCGTTCCACTCCAGAGAGCGTCGCTCGTTCCACTCGAGAGGGTGACGCTCATTCCACTCCAGAGGGCGACGCTCCCTCGTGCCCAGAGGCTGACGTCCCCTCTGGTCCGCCGTCTCCAGTCCCGTGGTCGACGCTGTCTCCGGTTCCAGTGGTGGTTCTGGAGGTTGCACCGTATCCGGTCCAGCCCTTCCACGAGGCTCCGATCCAGCCCGTCTGAGAGACTTTGTCCCTGGCCCATCCTGCAGAGACTTTGTCACCGGCCCAGCCTGCAGAGCTCCTCTACCGTAAACGCAGGCCCCCAAGAGCCCGTCGTCGCCGCCTTCTCTGCCACAGGCCCCCAAGGGCCCGTCGCCTCCTCCTCTGCCGCAGGCCTCCAAGGGCCCGTCGCCTCCTCCTCCTCTGCCCAGGGCGCAGGCACCCAGACTCTGCTGGTCCCCCCCCCCCCCCCCCCCCCCCGTTGGTCCCTCTTGGCCCTCCCTCTAGGTCCCCCTCCTCCCGCCCTGCTCCTTGTTCCTGTGGGCATCTGGGATCCACCCTTTTGGGAGGGGGGGGGGGGGGGGTACTGTCCCACCCTGTCCTGTCTCCCTGTTTTGGTTCAGCCTTGTGTCTCATTGATTGCTCCCACCTGCCTCTGGTTTCCCAATCATCTTAGCTCCCTGCCCTCGTGTATTTAAACCCCTTCTGTTCTGTGTCTTGTGTCGGATCATTGTTTCTTTGTCAGCGTGTCTCCTAATAAATCATTGTTGAACGTTCCTACCTGTCTGCCTGTCTTCCTCGCCCCGTTTGGATCCTCACCTCTTCTCCGCTTCATTCGCCGGTGCGTGTGACAGAGGGAGGCTACCCTCTCATTCACCGGGGTAACCCCCAGCGTACAGGCACCAAAATGGGGGACAACTAGTATGCCCACCCCTCCTCAGCACCTCTCAGTGGGGGTAACTCCAGATTTGTAGAGTGTCTACCCCCTCTCAAAAAAACTGGTTCCGAAGCCAGAGCCATGCGTCAAGGTGAGTCTGACTATATCTAGTTGGAATCTCTCAACCTTGCACACCAACTCAGACTCCTTCCCTACCAGAGGGGTGACATTCCACATACCGAGAGCCAGCTTCTATAGCCGAGGATCAGATCACCAAGTTCCCTGCCTTTGTCTATCACCCATCACACATCGCACCCAACCCCTTTGGCCTCTTCCACAAGTGGTGAGCCCATAAGAAGAGGGACCCACATTTCCTCTTTGGACTCCATGGGTGAAAGCCCGGCCACCAGGCACTCACCGACATGCCCCACCTTCAGGCTTGGCTACAGAGGGGGGCACCGGTGTCCCGCGTCCAAGCAAAGGAACACAATTTTCATTTGTAGTATTCATCATAAGAGGTATATAAAACAGCTACATAGTAAAATACAGAAAAACATTCAAAGGCTAAATAGTTCAAAAACAATAAAACAACAATGAAGATCAAAACATTATAACATGAGAAGAAAAACTAAGAAATAGATCTAAGATAAACCTTAAGCCTAGCTTTTCAAAGAGGGCAATGATGTGGACTGTTTTATTTCTAGTGGCAGTTGGTTCCAAAGCCAAGGACCCAGAAATGAAAAGGCACAATCACCCCTGAACTTACGCTTCAACCGCAAAACCACCAGAAGGTCACTCAGATCCTAATGTGGGGATCTTGCAGGGACATAACAGGTCAGCAGTGAGGCAAATATGGTGGGACAGATCCTGACAAAGAATTAAAAACAAAGACCAGGATCTTGAAAAGGATACCACATTTCACTAGTAACCAATTCTAAGCAGCGAGGAGAGGACTTGTGCGCCATAGAAACCTGGCAACAGAATTTTGGGCAAACTGCAGTCGAGTCAATAAGGACTGGCTCAAGACAGCATACAGGGAGCTGCAATAATCTAGTCTAGAGATGACAAAAGCATTGGTCACAGTTTTCAACTCTTGTTTTCTGAGGATTGACTTAACTTAGATAAGCGCCTCAACTGGTGTAAACATGAACGAACTACAGAATTTACCTGAAAATCAAATCATAGAGCAGAATCTAATTTAACACCCAAATCTGTAATCACAGACTTCTCATAGGGGAGCAGCGATAAAAGGTCCAATCTTTGGGGCTTGTGGTCATTTGAGGTATTATTATTTCGGTTTTGCCCTCATTCAGAGTCAAGAAATTGGACCCCATTCACTGAGTAACATTCTGTAAACAATTCACCAGCTGCAGTATGCTACTCCTGGCGCCTTGCTGAATTGGCAAATAAAGTTGACAATCATCAGCATAAAGATGGAAGCTAATATTACGTTTTTAGACAACAGTGCTCACCCTGTAATCAGAAGGTTGCAGGTTCAATCCTTGCTCAGTTTGTCGCTGTCGTTGTGTCCTTGGGCAAGACATTTAACCCACCTTGCCTACTGGTGGTGTTTGGAGAGACCGGTGGTGCCTGTGAATGGCAGACTCACCTCGGTCAGTGTGCCCCAGGGCAGCTGTGGCTACAATGTAACTTATCACCACCAAGGTGTTAATGTGTGTGTGAATGGGTGAATGACTGTTTGTGTTGTAAAGCACCTTGGGGGGTTCCAGGACTCTAGAAGGCATCATTATATCATTATACAGGCCGTTTATAACAGTCCCAGTGGTAACAGATAGAGCGAGCACAGCAGGGAGCCCAACACAGAGCCCTGGGGAACCCTCCACCTAGTTCAGCATCCATTCAAGAATGAGAACCAATGGAAACATATCCATATAGGAGAGTGGTAGGCAACCCTGGTCCTAGAGAGCCACAGTCCTGCATGTTTTCCAGCCGTGCATGAACTTGTAGCTTCTAATTGACTGAACACACCTGATCCAGGTAATCAACAGCAGGAACAACAAAGATAGTTGTAAAACAAGCAGGACTATGGCTCTCTTGGACCAGGGTTGCCTACCCCTGATATAGGACCTTATCCACTCCAACGCAGAACCTGAGAGCCTCACACAGTGTTCCAAGTGATTCAGCAATACCTGGCGGTCATCAGTATCAAATGCTTCTGTCAAGTCCAGCAGCAGCAGAACCACTGCCTCACCAGTCCTTGATTGTTGTTGTTATTAGAGGGAGCATGTTCCTGGAGTGGGTTGAATTGCATAAGGGCATCTCCTTCAAATTCTGCATAGACACAGTCTTGAGGTGGGAACTTCAGGGTCCTATCTTTGCTTTTTACAGATGATGTTCAAGGGTTTTCAAATCTGCAGTAGTAAGGTGGTTTGCAGAATTTTTAATGAGCTTTTAATGACCCAGGTGGCAATCAGTTCCTCCATATTTGAGGCCATGGTTCCCAACCAAAACAAAAGTTGAATGCCCCCTCTAGGATGGTGAATAGTTTCTTCCTGAAGTGGAAGAGTTGAAGTGTTTTGTTCGCATATGACGGATGGAGTGAGAGATAGATTAATCAGGACTTCATATTTGTAGCGTACAAAACAAGGCCGAAAATGCAACGTAGGACACTCTTGGTCACTGATTGGCTATGAGGCGGAGTCTCTGCTTTCTGCAGAATATTTTACAAAACTGTCTTTTCTAGGTCTCTTCTTTTTAAAGTTTGGCAAAAAAAAAATTCATCTCTGTCAATTCTGTTTTAAACTAGGTTAATTCCTGTTGCATGTATTGATTTTATTATGTTTTTGTTTGTTTTATTTACTAATTTTATTCTGAAATCTGATGAATATCAGCCCCGCCAAATTTGAGATCATGGTCTTGAGCCAGAAAATACTAGAATGCCTTCTCCAGGTCAGGGTCATGCCCCAAGTGAAGCAGTTTAAGTATCTCTGGGTTTAGTTCACACGTGAGGGAAAAATGGAGTTAGATATTGATAGATGGATTGGTGGCACATCTACAGTGATGCAGGTGCTATAACGGTCTTTCACGATGAACAGAGAGCTAAGTCGAAAGGCAGAGCGCTCGATTAACCGGTCAGTCTACTTTCCTACCCTCATCTATGGTCACAAGCTTTGGGTAGTGACTTAACCCTCTCAGACTCAAAGTAATTTTTGATAAAAGGACGAACAACTAAGTCCTTCAGGGGTACGTCTGAGTTAAAAAATGCTCATGAAATACGTTTGTGGAGTAACCAGGTAGGTAGGTTTTAACTGCTGCAAATCTGCAACGCCTGCCTCCAGAGGGTTAAAGAACTACATCAGGTATACAAGCGGCTCAAATCACTTTTCTCCTCAAGGTTTTCTGGGTTTTGAGAAATTCGGACATCAGAGGAGATCTGCTGCTCTTCCACATGGACAGGAGACAGACACCTCCCTGGTGAAGTGTTCTGGGCACGTCCAACCGAGAGGACACCTTAGAGAAGAACAAGGACATGAAGTGACTATATGTTCCTTGGAATGGGAATGCTTTAAATTTATTTTGTTCATATGTTCTGTGTAATCCTTCCATTATTTTGGATTAATTTCTAAACACAGCATAGTAGATTTGTTTCCCCCCCCCTTTTTTTACTGACAAGTTTTCAGCTAACGCTGTAGCCTTCCTCAGACCAGTCTCAAATTCCTGGTGAGTGCTCTGAGAAAGGCTACAGTGTTAGCCAAACTTGTCAGCAAAAAAAGTAAAAACAAATCAACTACACTGTTGGTAGCATTAAGGTGCTTTAAAGGAATGAAATGAAAAAGCTGCATACTAGCAGAATGTACTACATCACTTTGTTGCATTGTTTTGTTTTTGTGTCGCGTACTGATCAGCTTGTACTACCGGTACTTTTCTCTCCTGTATAAATCAGCTTGCGCTACTTTTAAACTCTGGCTGCCTACGACGAGTCCACCTCCTAGAGCTGTTGTAATGATTGCAGGACATGCTATAGTGTAAAAAGGTCATACTTCTTCCTACAATCCTATTGTGAGAAGAAGAGAGAAATTAAGGAACTAAGGACTCATCCCTGAGGGATTCCTGAGATAATTTTGATGGGAGGATGACATTGCCCTGCTGAAGCATTTTCTGCAGGTAAAAACACCACCAAAAAGCTTGTTTACACCTTCAACAAAAGTGTTGAAGGCGTAAACATAAGGTTAATGTAGACATAAGCTTGGTCTAGTTGACATAAGGCTGTACACATTGATTGAGGTCACTTCTTTCAATCAGGGTAAAAAAAACATTTTACACATCTGTCTCTCAATGTAAAATTGTGCATATTTTTAGGAAAATATGACACACAATCACCCAGTGCGATAGGAGGCGATATAATGAAGTCAACGAGGCTGCTCCTCTGTTTTTGTCTAGTTTAGGTCAAAGCCGGGATCGGATTTTTTCTGGAACCGGAGTCTCTTTTCGGAATTGAGAGGGGGTTTTATGCCCTTTCCATTCAGCGGTTGCTGTGCTAGCAGAGCTCGTTTGGGTTGTGTGATGCAAACCAGCTCATAGACATCGCAGAGTGTTGGAAGTTCACACGGTCGCCAGTCCTATTTTACTGAAGAAACATTTGTCTCCGACTGCGCTTCCGCCATGTTGAGCTGATTCAAGTTGTGAGTGACTGCTGGGACCGAGGTGACAACAAGCCCCAGAAACCGGATAGATAGAGTTAGGGGGCTGTTACCGCGCCGGTGACGCAGGAAAAACACTCAGAAGCAGAGGAAAAAACGTAGGAATTGGATCTTTCTAGTAACAGAATTGTGTCCTGCAAGACTGTCACTGACAAGAGGCCACGTTTATGTAATATATACGACGACACCACCGTCGAAAGCTGGACGTAGTTCGTGAATAGAGGGGAAGTCATATCAAATTCCTGGTGAGTTGTTAGCCTACTAGTGAAGGTAGCATTACTGTATTTGGTGTTACTTGTCTTTCTCAGTTCTTGTTTTGTTTTTCTCTGTTTTTTGCATTGTCAACTTAATTAAATTTCCATTTACGGTCAGAATAGTACATGAGTTCTGTTAGCTTGCCCTGCTACAATCACTGAAGCTAACGGGTTAGCTACCTGCAAAAGGACCTGTCTACACACTGAGAGACAATTTCCTTATAACATTCCGTGTTTACAAGTTAACGGCATTTGTTATTATTCAGTATACTTTAAAATACTTCATCATAAATTTAATTAGAAAACAACACGAGTTGAAGGTTTATCAACTAACTGACCTTCGTTTTATTATTCGTTTCTTTTAGCTTAGTTATAACTTGAGGTATCAGAACACCCAGTTAAATTTCAGGAAATAGACGACACCTCTGTCACTAATAGTTACTTATTTTAGGACCGGGACATGACTGCATAACAAGTTAAAGTAGGGATTTAATTCTGTATTTTTAAGACTTATTTTTGTGTCATAACAGGATGTAGTTTATATAATTGCAATTTCTATGTTTGCTCTCAAGCTAACAGTTGGCTAGCATTACCAGTTTACATTTGCTCGTTAGCACGACCGTTCATTGCTCGTTGCAAATGGCGTTCATGGCACACAATCACCAACAACTTTGTGTAAAGTGATGTTTAATCGATAATAATCTCCGTCATGTAGCAGCTTCGCTGTGTAATTAAGCTCGTCAAATGTTTGCAGGGCGAATATAACTGTAGGCCCGAAGGAGCACTGAGGCCTGCGTTTATCAGCGCAGTGGGCTTTGGATGACAAGGCCTACTCCGCCTCACTGCTCGGCTTTCTGGGTGGATCGACCTGCAGCCGAACCCAACCATACAGCAGGCGTTCAAAACCAAAACCACCAGCTGTTGATGCTTGTTTACAATGCTACTTCCTTGTAAATGCATCTCGATTGTGTGGCGTTAAAGAAAGTTATAGACTGACAATGTATTGTTGTCCGACCGATTTAACCATCAACGAGATGTCTGTAAATAACTTGGAGGCTAGCATTTCAAAGCCGGTATTGCACCTCACTCTATGACTCAAATCTTGTGAGAATTTCATGTGTGTCGGGTTGCGTAAATTATTTATTACACGTCGCGAGATCATTTGTATGGTAGTGGAATGGAAAATATTGACTAGAAATTATACTAGTATACCTATGAGTAAATATAGTTGTTAGAATAACTTGTTTGTTATAATACAATTAACAAGACGGATTCATGCATCATATTTGATCAACAAAACAATGTTTTTGTTTTCTCTTATTTAAGCAGGACTCAGTTGATAAATTTTCCCTAGCAAATCAACTTTTCAATACAGTCATTTACTGTAGCTTGGCTTTTATGGAATAGCATGAGCATTTTCTGAGTTAAACCTATTTATTTGAAACATTGAAAAGGGGTTCAGCTATTGTCATCCTGCTTGGTGTGGTTGACAGCAGTCATGGTAGCATCAGATTTGTTGGAATTACCCTAATTAATTTGGTGTAATGAACAATATTTCTAGGAAAACATAAAACGTATAATCCTTTATAGAAAAAATTTCCATTATAGAAAAAAACATGTAGTCCATAATAGAAAAATGATTGTAGCAAATATAGATTTGTTGATTTATTTATCTAAATTTCCAATAAACCAAAAAAAGAGAAGGCATCATTTAAGGTACAGGAAAGGCCACAAATTGACAGTTGGTTGTGGCTCATAAAAACTTGCAGTAATAAAAGATTATTTCTACTTTATTTAGGGATAGACAATATATCGGCATCAATATCGGGATCGGTCGATGTTGGTCATTTTATAACATCTGTATCGGTTCGATAAATAAAACAGGGCCGATATTAACAACCAATATTTTTTCCATCTCGTTTCCATTTGTTTGCCTGTTTCAGAGGGTGAGTGGGTGATGTGTAATTGTTTAGTCATGTGAACAGTAAATAAAATCATCTCAGAACTGTAAATGTGTGTGTTGTGTGTACATAATAATGTAAATTCAGCTTTAATGATTATCATTACGTACAAAATATTCTGATTTTAGAAGAATTAATGACAGTATATCGGTATCGGCAAATATTGGTTATCGGCCAGAACAGTGATCTTAATATCGGTAGCGGCCCAGAAATTTCATATCGGTGCATTACTAACTTTATAGTTAGTGCTTTGTTCAGTTAAATTTTTCTAAACAAACACTGGACAGGTGTTTGCTGTTTTATGTTTTTGGTGACTTCCAGTTTCCATTTATTGATATCGTTAATTGATTGTTTTTAATAATGTTAGATGGCATATTGTTTTATTTTGGAATTTATTGCTAACCACAGTTTTGCATATAAAAATACAAAATACTGGTATAAAGTTCCAATTATGGCATGACATCAAAATAATAAAATGAAAAAGCTTTAAGTCTGAATTGTCAACATGCTGGGGAAGTCAAATGTGTTGTCATTTTTTTTGGACATGAGGCCAAACTGCAAATATTTGTTCAAAACTGGAGGACATGCAAGTGCAGCTTCATACACAATAACAGTTTAGAAATTGTGTTGAGTGCTCGCTGGCTTTATTAGTTAAGGCAGTGCACACTAGGTGGTGTGGAGGAAAACAGTTGTATTTCACTTGAACAAGTCAAGAACCTGAAGCAAGAATCGTAAAAATTATGAATTAACTTAAAATAATGGTGTCTACTTCACTGACTGTTTGCAAGAACTCTAAAGCTGATGCATTTTTATATTAATCAGTCGCTTAATCAAAACAGCCTCTTTATAAAACAATAATGCCAATTTTCTGCAAAGGTGAGGCGGCATCTGGGAGCCTTGGCTCGTTTATAAGTGTCCAGACCATGGTGATAATATTGCACAATTGCGTCCTTTTTACAAAAGATAACGCAGTGGTGGTAAAAGGGGTGTATGGGGGCAGTCTCTGCACTGTCAGGCTTCCCTTTAACTTGAACATAACTTGCTTTTCATTGCAGCGTGGGAGGGGGGGGGGGGGGGGTTTGCACATGTTCCGCTGCTGTTTCTCACCAGTATCAGCTGATGGAGGGCTCTAGTTTCGTTGCGCCGTTCGTGTCAGCGGACACTAGTGTCGGGGAGGGGGGCGGGGCACAACGCTTAGCCTGGCGGGTGGCCAAGCAAAGCCTGGCGGGCTGCCAGGCTTATAAAGTGCTGAGGGAAACCCTGGGGAATATTCTACCCCTAAAAGAAATTTTGTCTGTTAGATTTCCCAGTGTTAGATAAGTGAGAAAAATGATTTCTTAGCTAACAAGCTCAGTCATTCTCCTGATCTGAAAAGCAGTTTATTTTTGCTTTAGCTTAGCATAAAATAATGTGAGTACAAGGAAGGTTCTAGCATAGAATGACTGTGCTTGTTGGCTACAAAATCCTTTTTCTCACTTATCTAACTCTAGGAAATCTAACAGACAAAATTTTACTTCTGTGTGGACTATCCCTTTAAGTTTGGTGTTTAATGTTTGCACAATTTTTAATGTATAGTTTAGATTTTATTTTTTACTACAATGCGGTAGTGTTCTTTACTTTGTGATTTTTTTTCTTGAAGATTCTACCTCGACCAGCCACCATTTTGCACCATTATTCTGGGTACTGTTTGATTTCCTTTATTTTAAACACTTATAAAAAATTGAATTTGTTTTTTTTTCTATTGTTATATTTTCTATAGTTCTGAAACAGTTTGAACATTGTTAATGTTTTGAGTTTGTTTTCTATTTGAAGTTCAATAAATATTAAGAAATGTATTGACTTATTTAATTTATATTGCACACAGTGAGTGTTCAGTTGTCTTGCTCAATGTGCTGCTAAAACGTGTGTGTGTGTGTTTGTATATATATATATATATATATATATATATATATATATATATATATATATCTCAGCCTTAATAATCGGCTTTAGATATCGACAATCTGCAACTAAATTCTTTAAAAATCGTCATTGGCCTTAAAAAAACCCCATATTGGTCGGCCTCTACTTTTATTTGTAGTGGTCTATAGTAGGAATGAATGCCTTGTAACTCGTACTCTAGGGAAAAAAGCTCTGGTGCAACAGTTTCAGGAACTACAAAGTAGCCACATCAGAGGAGAGCTTCAGACGCCAGGATTTGAAGTCTTATTTCCTAATATTGGGACATCTCATCTCTGGTTGGATAACAGCAATGCGACTCTACCACTGACTCAGTTTACTCTGCAGCACTGATGTTTTATCTCCACAAATAAGACAAGCATGAAGGAGTTCTGCCATGTGTTGGAGTTGCTAATGCTAACTGTTAGTTTCTACTAGCCTATATGTTCTCTGCTGTTTGCTGGATGACGCTAAAACAAGAACATTGTCAAGATGAATTTGGTGATAGTGTGTGTCGTAGATCTGTCAGGCTTTTCAAATCCTAGCAGTTCACCGTCGATTTCTTAAAAGCTAATGCGGGAAAAAGGGTTAAAAGATTATTTTCATGTTCAGCCGGTATGTCTCAGTGTGACTGATTATAATTGGAAATAATTATTAAGAAATGGTTTCAGTGTTCCTCACCTTTAAAATATTTCAGTGCAAGACAGGTGGATAGTTTACAATTATCTACAGATTAATATTGTAATATTCCGAGACCCATTGATACTTTGATCTTTTGATGTCTCTTGACAGCAAATCCCATAGACCTTTTGTTAAAAAAATAATTTCTTTAATATAAATTATTTTAAGATTCTTATGAATATAAAGCCAGTGTTAACGGGCAGCAGTGTCATACTTAATTGGCCCCAAACTTTGTGTTTTTTCATAGCACACTTTTACATTTACTGCTAAACAAAACTCAGCTGGATCACAAAACACTTTATTCTAACTAATCAGTTATGATTTGAAAAGAAAGTTTATGCAAACCATATCACCCAAATGTTTTTGTGTTAAACAACATCTTAAGTTTACAGAACCCCTGTATAGCTTCTCGTTGACCTGGTATAACTCACGGTTATGGGTGTGCAGTCATCCTGCTATGAGTGCATATTGATGACTTTACAGTTAACATCCTACTGGACTGTGATCATGTTCAGCTTGAGGTTTTGTTGTAGCATGTTTCAGAACTTTAATTGTGTTCTCAAATTACAGCAATAATGCTGATCATCAATGATAAAAGCTGTTGTAAACTACTAAAACTAAGTAAACCAGGACCTTTCTGCATTTATGGAGGCTACGTGGTCTGAGGCCTTGGTCAGCACACATTTACCTTTAAATATCAGCTATCTTGAGGGCTTTTTAGATCCCATCTTAAATATTCTTGAATGCTAACAAACTCACCATCTTCTTAGTGAAATCAATGTAACCTTAAATCACAATGTTCCTCAGCAGAGTATGGGCAAGCAGCTGATTATATATGGTTATCATGGTTGAGGATAATAAAGTCATAGTACACAATGAAACAACCTTTTCATTATTCCTGTCTTTCTTTTGCTTCTCCAGGTTATGCAATGGTCTCAGCAGCACTCCCAGACCTCCAGGTGCTTGTGTCCCTCTCTCGTGTGTTCAGGCTCTTCTCCCTCTGCTATACAGCTGAGGTGGCTGTGATTTCCCTCCTGGCCAGCGCTCCCTAAGAGGCCAAGATTGCCAAGATCTGCCCTGTGGCGAGCATGACAGCCACCACGCGTGGCTCTCCGGTGGGGGGCAATGATAGTCAGGGCCAAGGCCAGGCACCTGATGCTCAGAGCCAACCCCCGCTGCCACAGAACCATGTGAGTATCAGTTTTCTATCCAGTTTAGTTGTTTTTTGTTGGTCATCATACTATAGCAAAGCAGTGATATGGTTCATTTTTGTTCATTTTAAGTAAGTGTTACTTCTACCCATTTACACAAGATGCCAGTAAGAATTGAAAAGATGAGAAGAAGGGAGGCAGTGAATCAATGAATGAACAGGCTCTCTAGAGTGATTGTGTAAGTGTGTGTGTCATTGTGCGTGTGCACATGTAGGCCTGTGGTGGTTAAAGATGAGCTGTAGTGAGACGTGAGAGGCAAGCTGGCTATGTAGGTCAGGCAAGCAGAAGGAGTCTTCACTACACTCCCCCACATTTTACATGTCTGTTACATAGTCCTCCTATACTCAGATACCTAGCTTCTCATTCCAACTCTCATGTCATTTAATGTAGGACAAAGAGAATACACCCAAGTGTCTGAATGCATATTTATGGATTTATATCTTAATTTCTTTTGAGTGTTTCATTCCAGTACTTTTGATGTGCATAAAAACATAGCACGTTGCATAATAATTCTGATTTTAGACACTTTGGTCCTCAGTTTTCCAACTATCATTGGAGCTAGAGTTGTTGCTAGCAACATGTCACTGTTCATTTGCTTGGCATTAATTGAGCTCCACTTGAATCTAGCATTTGTTTAAAGTAGGGCTGCACAATATATCGAAAAATTATCGTCATCGCGATAACAGGACGTGCGATAGGCCCATCGCAAAGCACGTCAAAAACGGCAATAAATGTTTGGTTCTAACATTTCGATCCGTGTCATACATCAACTTTTTGTAAACCAGCTCTGTTTTTTACGTGGAAGTATTATTTGACCAATCAAATGTAGCCCTTCTGATATGCGGCCAATCAGATGGGTCCGTTCACGTAATACGCCCACCCCCTACGTAGACCCTTACCCCAAAATTCCACTATCTCCGCTCCGCCCCCGCTTTCCGCTGCCGCTCGCTTCCCTCATTCGTCATGCTGGCTCAGATTAACGAACGCACTTTGTGCTGAGGTTTCTGGAATCAGCGCTGCTTTCAAACGTAAATGTGAGTCCGCTCGGTGTCGTTAAGCAGCTGATAATAACCGGGCTGACTCCGACACATGCCAGTGAACCAACCCACTGTTGGCCCCAGGCTCCGGTTAGCTTCCAGCTAAAGGCTACAGCACTCTCCTCCCAGTCCCACCCTGCTAAAGAGGGCCTGGAAAAGTTCCCCCACACATCAAAGTGATTTTTCATTTATGAGCTTTTATAACCTTGTTCATCAGGATAGTTGATTTGCTGCTGCACATAAACTGTCAGTCAGAAGCTCTGCTAGCCGGTTATCATAGAGGAGCTAGTTCAATTTGTTAACTTGTTATCAGAATCATAGTTGCAGTTTCATCATCTGAGCTGCTTTTTAAGATCTAGGTAAACTTGTTCAATTTGGGGTTAAAAACAAACGTTTTCACAAATTTTCCATGTAGTTTTTTTTGCCAGTTCCTCTTCTGAAAGGTAGACAATTGTTTTTCTCTTTCCCTCAGAAAATCTTAATATTCTCCTAGTTTGGCCCAGCACAGATCACTTCCCAATTACAGCAACAGCCTTATATCATAACCACATAAGTGGAGAAAATGTTCAGTAGCAATGAGAGAATTTGCTGTTGCATGTAAGTGATGTTAACTATTATTTAACATTTAAACTTATTTTCAGATTTTTTTATTTCTTCAAAAAACCCTGGTAAGGGATGTTTTTCTGTATTTGGAGCATCAGAAAAAGTTTTATGTTGGAGGTGATGTTTTAAAGTCACTGAGAAACTGCATGCATGCAGTTTGTTGTTTTGCTGCTAATACAGTAGCAGGTGCAGCTGCATATTTTTGCAATAAAAATGTTATGTTGTAATGGAATTCATGCATTAGTTTTTGTTTGCTTTGAACCCAGAGCAGACGTCACACGCCAGACGACATCAACACTGCATACTTTAGTATTTGTTCATTTATCGCGATTAATATCGATATCGCAATATTAAGCACTGTTATCGAATATCGCAGGTTTTCCTAATATCGTGCAGCCCTAGTTTAAAGGTTAAATAAAAGTAACTGATTTTATAGCAGATAAGATGCACCAGAACCTGATCAGTAGGGAGGCTTCAAAGTCACTACTAAGGGATGCACCGATCAGGTTTTTCGCTGCCGATCACCGATACCAATATCAAAGAATGCTGATCACTGATACCGATCACCGATACCAATCACGTGGATTGGCCAGAAATGTTCTACAACATTATAATGAGTGCTACAAACTACATAATCTGGGAATAAAGGAAATGTAACCTAATCTAAAATGGTCTGTATTAGGTAGGGCTGGGGGTAAACGATTATTTTTAAAACGATTATTCTGACGATTATTTTATCGAATAGTCGACTATTCTAATGACTATTTAGAAAATTAATCTAATGATTATTTTTCTATTGCACAATTAACAAAAACCAGAAAATCTCAAATAAATTCCTCAAAAAAATTGATAAATTCTTACTGTAAGAGAATAAACACTACAGGCCTTCCATTTTGTATAACACTGCGTTTATTGTGTTGGTTGGTTATGTTCTGGTGACGTGTAGAACTTGGGAGTGCAGGCTGCTGCCTGAGAGGTGGTAGAAGATGGAGTGTCTCCATGCTGCTTTGTTTTGGTCACTTATGTGCGTGAGGCGAGTGGTCTTACGGGTTAAACCAAACTCAGGTGATATTTTACACTAAACCGAAAACCCACAACACTCTAAATGTAATGAAAGGGAGATCTACACCACAAAAAAGATGAACTCTAAACCAAAACGTAACAGCTTATCCCAACGCAAGAAGCTGTTAGCGAAGATGCTAACAGTAGCTTTACCAACATTAAGTTCAAGTTACCAAGTTTAAATAAACCAAAAACACCCGGCAGCAAACAGACCAGCATGGAGGAGAGACTGCTACCACCAAAACAGCTCTCCTCATGTCTGAAAGAAGCTCCTTAATGAAGGGAGAAGCGCTCCCGGTGATTTTCTACATCTGCGGTAGGCACGAAGCAGCGCATTTGACCCCGGAAGTTGTTGTCCGTTGCCGGGAGACGAAGGGGCAAAACAGGAAAATAATCTAGTAGTGGACGGACGTTGTTCCGGGTCTTCGGTATTTGGCGGAGATGTTAGTGAAGGCGGAGAAGAGGGCGAACTAGAGGAAAAACAGGCAGATTCCTCCTCTATTTACAAACTCCTGGGGATGCAACAAGTGGGCGCGGTGCGTCGACTTCCGGATCTGACGTCGACAAATTTTTAGAATCGAGCCGTCGACTTCGTCGAGGCTTCGCCGAGGCTTCGCTACAGCCCTAGTATTAGGGTTGTCACAGTGTGAAAATTTAACCTCACGGTTATTGTGACCAAAATTACCACGGTTTTCGGTATTATCGCGGTATTTTTTTAAACGTGCTACATTTTCACACAATTAAATAAACCCTGTATGTCAGGAAATATTGTCCTCAGTTTGTCTAAATTTTGCCTAAAATGTGTTATTTTGTAATTATGTTGTTTATTTGTTTACATTTTTTCCCTTTAGTCTTTAAAATACCAATATTTGCCCATAACTTCTTATTTTATGTCTGTTTGATGTCATCTTTTTAAAAATATTAGATCAGATGATACTCTGTACTCAAGTAGCCTTCTAATCAGATACTTTTTTTTTTACCCTTACTTGAGTAATAAACCCTATATCAGGAAAATATCATCCTCGGTTTGTGTCCTTCCAGTGAGCTTTGCAGATGTGGGAAAATGTCATCAGGCAGTAATCATTGTTAAATTCATAATTATTCTCGGAGAGAGACCAACTCTTATCTGCCCCTGGGAGCCCCGTAATGCATAGCGTCATTTCAACATGGGGGTGTCCGCGACACGGTTTATATGCAGGTAGCGGCGCTGCGGCTGCTTTATATAGCGACTCGTTGCTTTCTCCCTCAACCCAAATCCTCGGATCACGCATTTTAGCTAAAACGCTAACGTTAGCTTGCCTTGCGTTGACTGTAGAGTTGCGGGTGATGGTCACGCAGATGTGTCATGAGATTTGAAGCATTGCTGCCTTTCACAGACACGATTTCTGCACGTGCCGCAAACAGGATAGCTGTCTTCTATCTACTGTCCCTCGGCATTCTTCAAATATCCAAAAGATGCCCGTACTTCCGACTTTGTCTTCTTTGAGGGATAAAAAATGTCTTCCTGAGCGCTGCTGTCTCCTCCTTTGACCATTATTTCAGCTTTAGCTTCAAGAAAGTTTTGGTTGTAAACAAAGCGCGCATGTGCCTCTGGCAACTTCAGCAGATGATACGGTGGCTGGTAAGGGTCACTGCGCCTACACCGCAGCCACGGTAATCCACCGAGATAATATAGTTTTTTAAAAAACAAGACGGTTATTATTATTGTCAACTTTTTTTACCGGGGTTTACCGCTACACCGGTTACCGTGACAACCTTACCTGATTGGTCTGCTTTGATGCATTTTGAAAACTCAGATCAAAACCGATAGGGGCGCTATCGGCCGGTTGGGATCAAATGCCGATCCATCGGTGCATCCCTACTGGACAATATAGAAAAAAGCATATCAATAAAAAAAATCATTCATCATCCATCCATCCATCCATTTTTGTCTGCTTATCCGCAAAAAAATCATATTGATTGATATCAATAATTATAAAGAAATGTAGAAAATATATTTTAAGTGCAGCCCTGGCCATTTGTGTCATTACTTTATGATAAAACAAGTTGGTTGTCAGACTTTGTTTTTAATCGATTCTCTGCAAAAAATTTCAACCAATCATTGACTTCTTCGTCAGATATGTAAAAACCAAAATATCGCTTTGCTGGTGAACCACTGTAACCTTTTTACTTGATGATTTCCTCCACCTGTCCTTGCTGTCCGTTTTGGTTTGAGAGTAGGGCTTGGTGGCAGAGCGTGCCTTGGTCTGTATTTTTGATTGGATGGAATTAAGTATTGACTCTGGTATTAAGCTACTCGATAGGCTCTAATAGAGAAAAGAAAGAAAACATTTAATTGAAGTGTTTATTGAACCATTGTTTTCTGTCGCGCCATTCGTATATCGATCGATATATGTCGTTATTGAATTATTGTCCAGCCCTACTACTAACGCCCTAAGTTGTTGCCATTGTTAGCTACTCTCAGGGTAGTGTTAGCTGCAGCTGTGTTGGAACAATGTGCGTTTTAGTCTGGGGCTTGAAGCTTTAAGCCAAAAACCTCTTGGCATTTCAGTTGTTGAGCTAAGAGCTTATATAAGATCCTGGACCTTTGCCCTTAAACTTAGCTACAATTTATGGATCTTTTTAAACAATTCACAAGACACTATGAAAAAGTCCTTGTCTGTGCAGAGGATGTACCAGAAAGTGTGAATGACTGGTGAGAATATGGTTGTGACTGAGACATTTTAAAAGAAAAACAGTAGTATTTGCTTTAAGTTTTGCAAATTTCATGTTTCTGTGTTCCATACAGTGACATGCAGCTGTTGTAGTGCCATTGCTGTTGTGTTGCAGTATTGCTTTTATTAGCAAACACACTTATTTAGGAGGACGGCAGACATGTGCTGGTAAAAATGTAGCTGCTCCTCTATATTTCATCATAAATTGCCCTTGCCAAAATAACCAAAGTCCATTCTGGTGTTTATGGTTCATTTAGCAGCTTATTAACATGACAGAAGTTTAATGCACAAATGAAAAAAATAGAAAAATTCTGTAATCAATTCAACCCTGCTGCTGTCCGCTAAAGAGCCCCTGTTAGGAAACTGGACTCCTGAGTTTAATTGGCAAATGGCACTCAGATGTAGCCCCTCAGCCCATAAGTCTTTTGTTCTTCGTCAGATTTGATTTTTAAACATCTTTCAGTTCAAACAGGTAGATTCAGATTTTCTTCACTTGCTGCAAGTCAACAAAGATATGTTGTTGTGAATTAGCCACTTAGCTTTAGTGTATATTTACTTCCTGGGGGGGGGGGGGGGGGGGGGGGGCAGTTTAAAGTGTTTCATTGGCCAGTTGGAAAGTTTTCAGTCCTGCATGATCCCCTGCTTAGAACGTGTAAGGCTAAATGTGCGTGACTATTATTAACAACAAATACAAACTCTTAGGCTTGGTTTATGCTTGACACATTTACTTTCGGCTTGGTGATGTGGCTCGCGGATGGAACGCGCTTCACAACTTACAGCGTTTATGGTTCATGCGGCTTGTCTCTGCGGTGAGCCAATATTCTCCCAAACTGAACGGGGCAGCATGGAGCTCTACGGCTTGCATCCAACACTACACCACAGTAGAAGTAAAAATTACTGTTGTTTACAACATGGCATTCCAGCATTTTTTAACAGCATCCTCGTCTTTTCCGACAGTGTGAGCTATTTCTCTCCAAGAATTATTAACAACATGTTGATCACGGCGATCTTTGAGAGCTGAATCATACAAATGTCTGTATTTATGAACCTCTGCTATACTAGTTCTTGCTGGTCCGCCATATTTTTCCGCGTCCGACTGTCCACATGGTTAGAAAATTTCCTAGGTGCGCGGTGCGGAAATTTTGGGCCGTGCGGAGACGCGGTGGAGGGGCGTGGTTGTTAAAATGACGCAATTTTGCTGCGCGGAGCCGTGCGAACCTCGCGGACGTGTCAAGCATAAACCAAGCTTTAGTCTGCTCTCACAGGAATCTGGTTTTCTGTGTTGTTTAATCACTTTCTTCAATAACTCCAGTCCATAGTTTGACTAATTGCCTTATCCCCCCCCAGACATCATCTCCTAACTCATCTAATGAGAACTCTCCAGTGAGCCCCCCAGATGAGCAGAGCCAGGGGGATGCCCCCCCTCAGCTGGAAGAGGAAGAGCCTGCTTTTCCTCACACTGACCTTGCCAAGCTTGATGACATGATCAACAGGTATTTACTTGCTTTCTGACTTACAAGCTGCTTTTAGAGTCATACCTGAGCCATTGTACCTTTCTACAGTAATGATTAAATATTAAAACCTCCCAGACACTCTGGTTACCCTCTCTTATTTTCCTCTGAGCTCTTCTTTATGCCTTTTATATTATCATGAATCTACAGGTTTCACTGTAAGCACACATTTGAGTTGTTCTAGGCTGAGGAAATTGATAACTTCATGAATCTACCTGTTTTTAATTTCAAGAATTGTATGTAGATTAAACATTTCTACACATATACACTGAGTCTTTCACATTGCTCAGAGTTAAAATGATCATCAGTGATGCATCTTGTAGAAATTTGGCTAAACGCAATTAAAGCAATAAATGTACTTTTTCATTTGTATGCTGGTGTTTTTACTGATTCACTCTTTTTGATGCTCTAGGCCTCGGTGGGTTGTTCCAGTTTTGCCAAAAGGAGAGCTAGAAGTCCTCTTGGAAGCTGCTATAGACCTGAGTAAAAAAGGCAAGAAAGCTTTGTTTTTCAGTCAGTTTACTTTGGCATTTACCTTTAACGGTCTGTAGCTTATTTATTTATGTATTTATATTTAAATTGATAGCACCTTTTGCATTTTAAATTACTCTGTGTTTATATATATATATATATATATATATATATATATATATATATATATATATAAAATGTGTGTGTGTGTGTGTGTGTGTGTGTAAAATGACCAAACTTTTCAAAATGAGGGCCACAAGTCAAATGTCCTCACGGGTGACGAGATGTGATTTTTTTTCCCTAAGCAACTTGATGAACTTAATTTTGTGAGGCTTTTTCAAAGTGCTTGTTTGTCATTGAGTGGATCTTTTTTCTTGCAGGACTGGATGTAAAATGTGAGGCATGCCAGAGGTTTTTCCGGGATGGTTTAACAATTTCTTTCACAAAAATCCTGACGGATGAGGCAGTCAGTGGCTGGAAGTTTGAAATACATGTGAGTTCTTATCCAAGACTTGTTCTTAGGATGTTTGTTGAAATGAAGGAATCACTAAAAAAGAGTCTATATCATGTTCAGAATTAGAGATGCACCGATATGTAATTTTTGGGCCGATATCCGATGTTAATATCACTCTTATGGCCAATAACCGATATTTGCAGATATCGATATACTGATATTATTTTAAAATCCCCAGATTTGATATAGAATGAAAATGATTAAAGCTGAATTTACATTATGTGCACACACCACACACATTTACACTTCTGAGATGATTACAATCACTGTCACATGACTAAACAAATACACATCACCCCCCGCACCCTCTGAAACAGATATAAACAAATGAATACAAGATGGAGAAAATATCGGTTGTTAATATCGGCCCAGTTTTATTTATTGGACCGATACAGGTATGTAAAAAAAAATGACTAACATTGGCCGATACCGAAATTGATACCGATATATCGAGCATCCCTATTCTGAAAAAAATCAGGGTATCTGCGGAGTCTTGAAAAGTATTAAAAGGTGATAAATCAATTTTGGAAAAATTAAGACCCTTAAAGTATTAAGTCTTATCACGGCTTTATAAATTCTTAAATTTAGAGATTTTTTTCTGAATTAGATAGCCAACAGTTTGTTTTATTTTTTAATGAACGCAGGGAGCATAAAAAGATTTAAAAAAATACAACGCTGTTGTGGGTGCGTTAGTAATTTTTCTCTCAGAGCACCAGGGCAGATGGGGTGGAAGCTCAAAATTGCAAGGAACGCTCTGGTGTTCCTGGTGCATATTACGAACGCACCTAAATGTTAAGACGGAAGAGAATGTTGGTGAACGTGAACGTACAACGAGAATGGGAAAGTGCAAGTTTGCAGCATCCTGGCTGGATATCCCGGATTTCAAAGAATGGCTGCAGCCAGTCGAGGGGAACGTGAGGGAGGCATACTGTACGATATGCAAGAAGAAAATAAGTTTTGTGTCAATGGGCATCAACTCCTTAAAGTCGCACATGTGTTGTGCTAGCCACAAGGCTGCTGCTAGCCGCCGAGAGCGGCAGATGTCCATCGCTAGCTTCTGTAGAAGTTGGGTTGAACCACCACAACATAGTCCCAACGTCGCGCCACCATCGACAGTCGCACCTAAAGCCACAGCTACAAGAGTGGCTCTGGGCAGCACAGCAACGCTGCATGCTGAGGTGTTATGGTGTCGCCACACAGCGGAAAAACACCATTCCCTGAACTCAAATGAAAACTAAATTGATTTATTAAAGTCTTAAATTTGGTGAGTATTGACGTGATTTTAAAATACGTTCGTCTCATACTTGCAAACTTGATGCTTTTCAGCAAAAATTGCCGTTAATGAAACCAAATGCGTTCACGTGAATCAAAGAGTTCCCAAAGGGGGGTTTGAGTTCAAGTGTTGGTCAGAAACCGCTTTCCCAGTAATTAGACAGGTCCATCCTAACCCTAACCTAAAGAAGATTCTAACAGACAAGGTGCTGCGGTTGTTGTTTCAGGTGCATACAGGCTCAACCCTTTGGGCACGTCTTCCCTACATGTTATATAAGAGATTTGAAATCAAGAAGAAAAACTTGCAACACAGTATGAATATGTTCTTAATGAAATGTTATTAGTGGAAAATAAACATAAATAGATCTAAAGATGTTACTGGTACTTTTACTATCATTCTGTTGTGTAAAGTCAGCACAAATATTCAGTGAAAACTTAAAAAAGCTGCCTAAACCTTCATTATTTTATAGTGGGCCTGTCTATATTTATAAAGTCAGTTGATGGTTTAAAGTAACTGTAGCTAAAGTTACTCAGAGCCACTGTAGAAGGTCCAGCCTGAGTTAAGCTGTGGTAACTGGAGAGGAACTGAGAAACGGCATTAAACCTTTTGCTGTTTGCATGTTCAAGTTTAAGTCAAATAGAATATATAAGACATCAATTATATAATAATTGTATGTATATTTAACTGTCATGTTCTAGATAAAAGGCAGAATAGATAAAAAAAAAGAAACATTTTAACTTTATCTGGTTACACTGAAGCTTCACGTCCCACAGTGAGCAGTCTCTGTCCCACATTTGGTGAGTTGGGATCTGGTAATCCTACTTAAGAATGATTACAGTAATTTGGAATATTTTCAGATGTTTTTATGTTTGGTGTTTTGTGAATTAGTTTCATAATTAGTTAATTATTGTATGATGATCCCTAATCATTATCTGATTAGTTATTTCAGTTTATTATATTTAGCTCTCTTGAACAGTAGGACTGGTAGAAAATAACTTGCATTTAACAAAAACATTTTTTTAATGTTCTCAATAAAATAAAAGTATATAAATGTCAGAGGTCACTACAAAACCCACTGTAGAATCGATGCACATCTGCAGCACGTGAGGACCTTGTTTGGGGGAATTATTTTAGTTGTCACTTTTTTCTCAGCCTCGGAGTTCGTGGCTTTGAAAAATAGATGCATTTAAACAAAAAAAATGTTTTTTCTTCTATGCGCGCAGTTTGCATTTTAGTACCACATGGCTTTACGTATTATTGCTACAGCCTCGCTGTCCCGGATGTGACGTAACCCAACATGAAGTGGAAAACGAAGCGATGCAGTATTTAAAAACAATATATGAGTGTTTAACAATTAGTTCTTTGCGATAGTCTTAATTTTATTTTTACAAGGTCTTAAAAGGTCTTGAAAAAGTCTTAAATTAAATTTTGAGATTCCTGCATATACCCTGAAAATTCTAGTTTTAAGACTAATGGCAATGCAGCAGATATTAATAAATTGTCATTTGAACAGTTATGATTTCCATAATATAACGATGATGATAATAAGCATAATGGTTTATTAAACAGATCATACGTCATTGCTTCAGGGTAGCCAAAGATGTTATAAAAGCTCAACAAAGATCTATGTTCTGTGCTGTAATTAGGCATGACTAATAATATTCATTTTATGGAAATTGACCTTGAAATTTAGTTTGTTGGGTGGTAGTTTAAGAGCAAAACTAAGCAGGGAAAGTTGGCAATAATCAGACTTTTTTAGAACAGGTGAGTCTGGCTTGTTTTCTACTAGGATTGTTTTTTGGAACGGTTTCACTATAAACAAGGGTCTGACTGGTTTGGTGGAGGGGTTTCATTAGAGAAAGCTATGGGTCATTTCTTTTACTCCAAACAATGTTGACTTGTGTTTTAAAATCATACATATCAATCACTGCTGTTATGTACACACTTCTTGCAGCTTTATAAGCACTTTTGTGACCGAAGTCTGCGAAAGCTTTATGGGTCTTCTGTGATGCGTCGGTCCCATATTGATTACATATATCTGGTTTCTTTACATGTGAAGTAATCAGCAGCCACAACACTCCAGTGACTGGAATTTATGCCATTGGCAGCTTTTGTTTTGTGGAAATGGGATGTTAACATTTGATGTTTTGATCAAGTGAGGTACAGAGTCAAATCAACAAAATATATGAGGATAATCGGAGGCTTGTTTATTTAACGAGTCTCAGTCCGCTGGAATAAAAAACGGTTGAAGGACTTTTTGAAAAAGGACTATCATTTTTGAGACGGAAGACGATAATAACCAGTGAAGGAAAAAAAGTCAGAATTCTGACTTTTTTCTGATATGAAAATTGGAAATCTTTTTCTCCTCTCCTATTAATCTGTTATAAGAGATTTGATGTATTTTAAATCTTTTTCATTTCTGTTGTGTTTTAAAGTCAAGAAACTAAAACATTTTGAATAGTATTTATTTTTTCTATGGGATGTTGGTATCATCGACATATATACTGGACAATTCGTTTCCATAGGCTCCAATTATAAGTTTTTGTGCCAAAATGGGAGGTGGCCACCACCACCATTTTGACCATGTCACAGGTTCCATCAAGCCCAGACAATTCCAAAACAGGGAAAAGTGGAGCTGACCCAAGCTAACCCAAAGCTAACTCGGAGGTGGGAGCTAAGCTAACAGAGGTAGCCACCTAGCTACAACCGGAGTTAACTGTGCACAACACCAGAGCTTCTGAGTCAGAGATACACCGGGCTGACCGCTGGGTAAAACCGGGTAGAACACAGAGGTCTCCCGAGAGCTCCACAAGCCGACAGCCACGCAGCAGACAGGCGCCGCTGCGATCAGAGATGCGCCGAGCTGCTGCTGAGGGGAGGGGACCATACTAATAGTCGGAATCCAGCTCCAACATGTTATATTTCAACCCATTTTCTAAAATGCAGCGTTACGTTAAATGCACTGGGTTTTACCCTATTACATTTAAATTTCATGGTTAAACGGTACATGTTAAAATCTATACTCAGCTAGTGCAAGAGCGGCAGTGACCTAAAATCATCGACATGAATACATAAATATAATTTTACTTACCGAAAAAAATGAAGCGGAGACTCCTTGGACGCTCTATTAGTGCAATTAATACCACAGCAAGTCATTTTGTCCAACAATTGCACAAATAATATCCAAAAAGAACACACAAACGCTACAACTAGTGGTCTAAGTTGAGAGACTGAAAATGGTGGAACAGGCGAGACCGAGGCTCAGACTGAGGCCTTTCCCCGGAGCTAGCTCTGCGGTTACGTGGATCTGATGCACAATAATTATTCAGAATTTTAGGCTTTTAATATACTTAAACAGAAGAGTGACAAAAATTCACCCCCCTCAGAATTGTCATGAGTGTAAACTAGATCTATTAAACCTAAAACATGTTTTGGAACCAGGCTGTAAACATGTTTATTTCTGCTGTAAAATTGGTGTTTTTAATGAGGATTTGCTCGCTTCTGACACCAGCCCCCAGTGGATGAGAGTGGAACTGCTATTTTTTCCACTTCCGTGTTCACTTTATTTTCAGACCTGATTTATGGAGGCTTGGTTGATATTTCCAAAAATTGGTGTAAAATCAAATGGATCTAAAATATTACTGGTTCTTTTAATGTCATTCTGCTGTGGAAATGCTATACAACTATTTTATGAGAAAAAACTTAAAAGCTGCTTTAACAAGCATTTTATCATATTTATAACAAAAAAATTAGCTTTAAAAATTGTTTAGCCAAGGTCATTCAAAGCCATTGTGAAAGTTCTTGAGTGCCGCATGTTGCAAACCCCTTGTTTAATGTGTATAAACAGTCCATTAAAAACATGCTTCATAGCAAAAAACCTACTGAAAGTGTTATTGTGAAGACTTTGAATTTTAACTTGACAAAAAGCTGAAAAATGCGCTGTCGCATCAGCCTAATGGCTTGTTTTTATGTTTGTAGCCATTTGCATATTTTGGATCATAACAAGTTTGCAACCTACATTAAATCTTCTTGGGCTGTTAAACATACATTTGGAAGAAGGTGACGAATAGACTGAGAAGAAAACTTAAATAAGTTATCAGCTTGTCTAAGGCTACTTTCATACTTCTGGTGAGTTGCTGCAGGGCAACATACCTGTTCACATTGGAGTCCTATGTTGGTTGCATTTAACTTATAATGTGGACAATCACTCATAAAGAAATTTGGAATTGGGCATTAAGACCTGCAGTGTGAACATTGCCTAATTAACTGTTGTCATGCGTTTTAATTTTATTCTGCATTCATTTTCCTTAAACTAATTATTCAAATGTGTCCATCACAAATCAACATCTGGACAAAAACTGGATGAATCTAAAAATTTTACAAATTTATCACTGTACAAAACTACTTGTTCCCCTGTCTTCTGTGGCTGCATTCCACCAGCAGTTTACATCACCACAGCAGTTTAAAGCGTAATGCAAAAAGGAATTTGCAGTAACTATGAGAATTATGTGATTGTTAAGACTAGCCTTCTCTTTGTGTAGTTTAATATATCATTCACCCTTGTTTTGTTTCACAGAGGTGCATCATTAATAACACACATCGGTTGATTGAGCTGTGTGTGGCGAAGCTCTCTCAGGACTGGTTCCCATTACTGGAGCTACTGGCGATGGCCACCAACCCCCACTGCAAGTTCCACATCTACAATGGCACACGGCCCTCTGAGACCGTCCCTGCAGGAGCACAGCTAGCTGATGACGAGCTCTTTGCTCGTCCACCAGACCCAAGATCTCCTAAAGTGAGTTACTGTCAGTCACTGTCGCAGCACCGTGGTCCACAAGGCGACACCTCTTTTTGGCGCATTTTTCAAACAAGCGTTGTTGTAGGGGGGACTTGCTTGTTAACATTAATTGCCTCAGTGGTGGCTGTTAAAATGAACTTGTGCAACTTTATAAAACTTTTCAATGGTGATTTGTTTCTTGTCTTCATAGGGCTGGTTGGTTGACTTAATAAACAAATTTGGCACGCTAAACGGGTTTCAAATTTTGCACGACCGCTTCATGAGCGGCCAAGCACTGAACGTCCAGATCATCGCTGCACTTATCAAGTAAGATGAATGAAAGTGACTACAATCCACAGCATGTCCTTGAGTGGTCCAACATAATGGCCATTTTTAGGTGTTTTTTTTTTTCTTTAAACTCAGTTGTTGTACTGTGTGTTGCAGACCTTTTGGCCAGTGTTATGAGTTTCTCACATTGCACACAGTCAAGAAGTACTTCCTTCCAGTCATTGAGATGGTCCCCCAGTTCCTAGAGAATCTCACAGATGATGAGCTAAAGAAAGAGGCCAAGAATGAAGCCAAAAATGATGCACTGTCCATGATAATCAAGTCTTTAAAGAACCTGGCTTCCCGTGTACCAGGGCAGGAGGAGACTGTGAAGAATTTAGAAATTTTTAGGTTAAAAATGATTCTTAGGTGAGTGCTTTTAAATTTGTCATTAAGATTTGCAGTGCCTTACTTTTGTACGTTGATAAACTAACTAAATGTTTTCCATTACCAGGTTATTACAAATTTCTTCTTTTAATGGCAAGATGAATGCACTAAATGAAGTTAACAAAGTGATCTCCAGTGTGTCCTACTACACCCACCGGCATAACCCAGAGGAAGAAGAATGGCTCACTGCTGAGCGCATGGCGGTAACCACACTTCTTAATGTTTGTGTTTTAATTTAAAGAGTTCTTTGTAAAACAGTTTCTCATTAGCTTTGCTTTTATCCTGTCCTAGGAGTGGATACAGCAGAACCACATCCTGTCCATTGTGCTGAGGGACAGTTTGCATCAGCCGCAGTATGTTGAGAAACTGGAAAAGATCCTTCGATTTGTTATAAAAGAGAAGGCCCTCACCATGCAAGATTTGGACAACATCTGGGCTGCTCAGGTGCTCTGCTATTAACCACATTCTAGAAAATATATGAAGTGGTATGGCCCATATTCTTTTTAAATCTAGGCAAGTTAGAAAAGTGATGACGAAGTCAGCTGGAACGTTTGTGGTGTTTTTAGAAGTATCTTGCTTTCTTTAAGGCTGTGGGACACTCATTTAATCAGTAGTTTAATCGGTGGTTTCTAGTAGGAATTAATTCCTTGTAATGCCATGGTCAGGGTGGGGGGGGGGGGGGGGGGTGCATGCTCAGCTGTGCTTGTTTCTGGAACTAGCTGAATGCCACTTCAGAGGAGAGATTGACACGGCAGCATTTGTAGTCTTATTTCCTCATATTTAGACATCTCGTGCACAGCAAGGCTGGCTTTTACAGTTAAAATATTATCCACTGGGGGAAGTGTGTGTGTGAGACAGACAGAGACAGAGACAGACACACAGACAGACACTATTGGATACCTTTAATTATTTCTAGTTCGTTTTTTCTTGTAAAATTGAAGTTGCAACCAAACACTTCTCTCCATGAAAACATTGATTAATTTTTTATTCAGTCTGCTCGGCAGCGCCACTTTTAGTATGTTTAAAGTAATGACCTGAAATCATCACAATCCCACAATAATTGAATGCATTGAGATCATTTAGCTAGTTGTTTGTATTTGTAGCTGAATGAAGCCCCTTTATCAGCCAAGTTCTGATGATAACCCAGTCTTTGTACATATGTAGGCTGGCAAGCATGAAGCCATTGTGAAGAACGTTCACGACCTTTTGGCCAAACTGGCGTGGGACTTCTCACCTGAGCAGCTTGACCATCTTTTTGACTGCTTTAAGGTCAGCGGTTTTCAGCAGTAAGGTTTTGTAGTACGTATTTATATATTTTATACTTATTAGTTCCTCTTTTCCTGAATAGGCAAGCTGGACCAATGCCAGCAAAAAGCAACGCGAGAAACTGCTTGAACTTATCCGTCGCTTGGCTGAGGATGACAAGGATGGTGTGATGGCCCACAAAGTCCTCAACCTGCTGTGGAACCTGGCGCACAGCGATGATGTGCCTGTAGACATCATGGACCAGGCTCTCAGCGCTCACATCAAGATCTTAGACTACAGTTGCTCACAGGTACATGCTAGGGGGTTTCTGGTTAACTTGTGCTGTAGGCTTAAGCTGGGCGGACACTGCGACTTTTTCACTCGTAGCACTCAGCTTCAGCTCAAACTGTACGACTTCCTCGCAGGGCAGATCTCACGAGTCATGTGCTCACACTGTACGACCCAGTTCTCGGATCTGACCCGACTGCTCACACTGTACGACCCAGTTCTCGGATCTGACCCGACTGCTCACATTGTACGTCTGGTAGCAACACGTCGGACCTAAAAATATGCTAAAAATAGCAGTTTTACACAACACGTCAGACTTTTTTGTCTTGCCTGTTGTATTTCGGGAGTGCTGCAGGAGGACACACGGGTTGGATGAGTAAAACGAAATAAAGAAAGTAAATCTGTGTTTTGTGATCAGTTTAATTTGACATGAACACGACAAACACGCTTTCTTGACAATCTTTGTGAGTAAAAAAAAACGTGTAGAAATAAAAACGAACAGCGTGTGTTATTAGGGAAATAGCGGGCGAGCGGTGTTGATGCATGATTGCGCATACCCCGTGAGCGGTTCTGATACTTTTTGGGTCGCAGCTGCTCGCAGCGCCGCTTCAACAGTGCGATACCTTCACGAGGGACGAGCAAAATATTAAACACGCCAGAAGTCCGTGTGAGCTCACGATTGCTGATCGGTAGCTGGTCACGTGGTGTTAATAGCCTCTTGTAACCCCCTGCATACTACACGACGCTCGGCGCAAAACTCGCCCCGATCTCTTGGATTCTCGCACGAGTAGAAAATCGGCTCAAAAAAGTGAAAAAGTCGCACAGTGTACGCCCGGCTTTATTGGACTTCTAAAACAGTTTTATTTTATTTTTTTTTTAAATCTCACTCACAGGATAGAGACACACAGAAGATTCAGTGGATAGATCGCTTCATAGAAGAACTACGGACTAATGACAAATGGGTGATCCCTGCCTTGAAGCAAATCAGGGAAATCTGTAGCCTCTTTGGAGAAGCTCCTCAAAACCTTAGGTAAGAAGTCAGCTGAAATCTAACTTTTTTATGAACAAATCAAAGACTAAACTAATTCATGCAAGTATGACTTGTCCGTTTTAGTTCACAAGAGTTTTTAATAAACACACTTTTTATGAACTAATATTATGTTTGGTGCAACATACTCTTACACGTACAAGTAAAAACAGTTAATAAATATTTTTTATCTGAAGAGTTGAAGGGCATATCAGTCTTGCGTTTATTTCTGCGAAGAATAAAACGCTTCTCAGTTTAATGCTAACACTTGAATGTATGACTGCTACTAATTTTAATTCTAACAAATAATTCTGTGCAAATACAATCTGTATTTCAGTCAAATCAAGTTTTATCCCACACATAACCGTTGATCCGAAAACAGCCCACGAAGTTATAACTTCCCTTAAACTATACGTTTTGTTATTGGTATGACTTGGCTCCCCCAAAGAGGGTTAAAACATTTTAACCTTTGAAATATAAATTTTTATTTAAAGACCAAGTTAACTAATTTTTCTATAAATTTGCTGCGCTCTCTAGTATAAAGTAATTCCTCGCTAGTCGATCTCGATGGAGAAAAAACCCTCCTATTTCAGGAAGTTAAAGTTGGACAGAAGAGCAAGGGGCATAACAAGGCAGGATTTGGAATCTTTTGTCCTGATGTTTTGCCATCTTGCCTCTGATTGGCTAAACGCCTCACAACCACTGACTCAGTTTGCTTTGTTCGTGTTTGATTTTCACAAAAAACACAAGCCTGAAGGAGTTCAGCTGTGTTGTGGAGTCGCTAATGCTAACGGTTTGCTAACGCTAACATTGGCTTTTACTAGCAAAGACGACAACTACAGCCTTCCCCGTTGTGAGCCAAGGTGGTTGAGTCCTTGACTGCTCGTTTTCCCCGTTTATTTTTGATCACTGGCTAATGCAGGAAATTGGAGTAGAATATTATTTACACGTTTATCCTGAATGTGAACCTCAGAGTGACTGACCATGTTTCAAAAATAACCAGTAAAAAAACAGATTCTCAGTGAACTTGGTCTTTAAAGAAAAAAGTTAACATGGCTCTTTATCTTTTTGAATGTTCAATTCAACACTTACTGGAAGTCATCATGAACATCAGTGGTCTCTTGGAGCCAGAGACGATTTTTGGATTCAACATTCCCTAAATTATATTAAAATCTGTGCTTTTCTACAAACATTAAGCCTGAATTCAAAGCTCCCTCTGACATGAAGGCATTTTAGGCTTTTTGTCAGGCAGCTGTAGTAACCAGAAAATTTGATCTCCTTAATAATCAATCTAAACTTTAACATTAAGTTATGAATTAATAAAATTGTTTTGATTTGAAATACATTTTTTAGCTATTGTAGAAAATATGTAGCATACATGCCTGTTGTTTTTCCAGAAAGAAAATTCCAATTAACATACACACGAACTTAGTGAGGTAAGTTCAGTGTCAATTTCAGGGTTCTACCTATTCCTTTGTTGCGTCGAGTCTAACTTTCTCTTTGATACATTTATAATATAAATTATGTCAAACGTAAATCTCTGCCACAAATCAGCTTAAGCAGATCTTTTTTGGGTTGCATCTCAAATGACTTTTCTTCTGCACATATAAAACTCACTAAAGACTGACTGCTGGCAATGCTAACATTACCATTAAGCTGTAAATAAAGAGAAGTATGAGTCATAGACTGGATCTGCACAAGTTCTGCATTGAAATCATATTGTGTATTCCATTTGAATAATCTTTTATGAATGTCTACAAACGTTTTTAGCTCTTTTTCAGGATTAAATTCATTCTTATCTGAAAACTCAACAGTGTTATACATTCCTGCAGGGTTGTGCAGAGGTCTGGATATGTTTAAAGCAAACACTAAAGAACATTTAGCTTCTGATTGATGTTAAAGTTGGACATGGGAACTTCTGCATTTGCAACCCAGATGTGGTAAAATGTCCAAGTATCATATAACATCTCATTCACGTGTTGGACGTTTTTGTTCTCAGGTTTCCCGGTTAAAGTGTATGTTCAGAATTTTGTGAAAAAACTTAAGAATTTTTAATGAACAGAGTTAGCACAACTTAATGAAAAGTCCTTTGAGATGTGGACGCAATACTTCTTATGCAGATTCTTTTACCTCATATCATTCAGTGCAAAATATCAAGGTGATATCCTGCCCTGGACCCGTTCAGATTAGGTTTCAGATTTTAGAAACCTTTTTTCCCTTCATTGCATTTCCTATGTTACCATATTTATTTGATTTTGACAATACAACTTCACTATCTAGAGAAAACCTGAAGCTCCTGATTTTGAAGATGTTGCATAATATTCTCATGTAGTGAAGGTCAATACTGCCTCATATAGGCAGTATTTATTTACAAGTCCAAGTAATTTTGGGTAGACAAGGCAGGAAATGACCTTTATTGATATGACTTTCTGCTGGTTATTCTTTGACTTGCGAACACACACACACACACACACACACACACACACACACACACACACACACACACACACACACACACACACACACACACAGAGCTGCTTTCTTATTTTTCCCTTACAGTAAAAAAAAAAGAGAAATCCGTGATGGAATGTTTTATTTATGAAGTGTCACTAACGGTTTGTAAACTCTGTGTTATTCTTAATGCTTCTTTTTTTCTGTTCTCACCCGTTTTTGTGATTTTTGTATCTCTTTGATCCTCCACTCCTTCTCCTGTTCTGTTTTTAGTCAAACCCAGAGGAGTCCTCATGTATTTTACCGCCATGACCTAATCAACCAGCTGCAGCATAACCACGCTCTCGTCACTCTGGTAGCTGAAAATCTCTCAGCCTACATGGAGACCATGAGGCAGCTACCCAAAGGTAGGCTAAAGGATTTTATTTTATTTTTGAGACATTTTTTCGTCTAAAAATCTGACCTCTGATCTTTTCCAGAAGAACAGGCAGAGTTTGACCCCCAGACAGTCAGACCAGGAAGCCGCTATAGTCACGTTCAAGAAGTGCAGGAGCGACTTAACTTCCTGAGGTGCGTCACTGTAGCTGTTTTGAATCAAATGGGAGAACACATAGGAATGCAAAAGAGATCAGGCAGAATTCATTCTTATGGTTAATGAGATGTGATAAACTCCCTGTTCTTTTATCAGGTACGATCTTGCCTGTTCAGATGTGTGTTTCTAACAAACATAACATTTACTCTACGTTCCTTCAGGTCCACTGTTGATTTTACTTTTGTATTTTTAGGTTCCTGTTAAAAGATGGCCAGCTGTGGCTGTGTGCCCCTCAGGCTAAGCAGATCTGGAAGTGTCTGGCTGAGAATGCTGTGTTTCTGTGTGACCGAGAGGCCTGCTTTAAATGGTATCACTTGATTTCTGATCTCTCCTTGCCTTTGGCTTCTCTTGAATTTGGATGTGTTCATTTTTATTTTCTCCTCATAGGTACTCAAAGCTGATGGGCGATGAGCCAGATCTAGACCCAGACATCAACAAGGACTTCTTTGAGAACAACGTTCTACAGTTAGATCCATCTCTGCTGACGGAAAATGGCATGAAGTGCTTTGAGAGGTTCTTCAAGGCTGTCAACTGCAGGGAGGGGAAGCTGGTAGCAAAGCGCAGGGCCTACATGATGGATGACCTGGAACTAATCGGCTTGGACTATCTTTGGAGGGTGAGGATAGTTGTTGCAGTAGTTGTACAGATAAATGTTGGTGCATCATTTTAAAGCCTGAGTCATACCGATAGTTTGGTTGGTCACTTAAAAGAATCTTTAAAAACACCGCAAGTTAAGGCTGATTTATACTTTTCCGTCTGTGTGGGTATGGAGACATGCAACACCATTATGCATCGGCGCAAGGGCTCTCAGACAAGCTCATAGAGGCTGACAGAGACCTGCCCAAATTTTTAAACTAAACTGCAGGCAGCAGAGTAGGAGCGACATGGTGTGATCAGCTCTGAAAAGCATCGATCAGAATTTGCAGATCACGTTTATTTTTCACGGAGGTTGGTCGTGGATTCCTCCTCCGGTCGGCATACTAGGAATTGTAATAAAAAAACTTTGAACGATTCCGCGAAAAACTGACAGTTGGTCTTGGTTCCAATCGATGCTCAATGCCCAACCCTAACCATGCTTGAACTCTAAAGGTTAATTTGGCTTCAATAATCTGTGACGTTTTACTCTCCTATGTTTTTATTTGTCTGCCAATTATTTCCCATACCGTAGTGTTCAGTACAGACGACTTTCTGTTAGTTGGGTGATGTGACCTAAAATCAATATCACATTATATTGATTATTTACCTCAATAACGGCAACTTTTTGTTTATCAAATTTATTGACATGGGAAACACTATCGGTAAAAAGTCTGAAATTTTGATAAAGATAAATTCTCTTATTTATTCCCCAGCCCAACCTACTGTTCTTTCTTGAGACATTCCTAGACAACAGATGTATTGTGAAATGCTCACAATATAGGTTTGACAGAATCCTTTTTGGCCAAATTAACTCTTATACATCCCATCCTCATTCAGGTGGTGATTCAAGGAAGCGACGACATTGCAAATCGAGCTATAGACCTATTAAAAGAGATCTACACCAACCTTGGACCAAAACTACAAGTCAACCAGGTATTGGAACTGTTACATCTTACCTTTGGTTTAACAAGTATTCGAGTATTTTATGTCTAAAAGTTGGCTAGTTGTCTTCACCTATTTATTTTTTGATTCAGGTTGAGATTCACGAAGACTTCATCCAGTCTTGTTTTGACCGTCTGAAGGCGTCCTATGACACACTTTGTGTCTTGGATGGAGACAAAGACAGCATTAATTGTGCAAGGCAGGAAGCCATCCGCATGGTGCGAGTTCTCACCGTGCTCAAAGAGTACATCAATGAGTGTGACAGTGATTACCACGAGGAGAGAACTATACTGCCTATGTCAAGGTACAGTTGGGATAATCAATGAAAGATGTGTGTGTCCCTAAATAAACTTTAGACTCAAGAGTGGTCTCTGTCCCGCAGAGCTTTCCGGGGGAAGCACATCACATTGATTGTACGATTCCCCAACCAAGGGCGTCAGGTTGATGATTTGGACATCTGGTCACATACCAATGACACTATTGGCTCAGTCCGGCGCGGCATCCTAAACAGAATAAAGGCTAATGCTGCACACACCAAGATCGAGCTCTTCATTGGTGGGGAAGCTGTTGATCCAGCCGATGACAGGAAGCTGATTGGGCAGCTCAATTTGAAGGACAAAACGGTGTGTGTGTGTGTGTGTGTGTGTGTGTGTGTGTGTGTGTGTGTGTGTGTGTGTGTGTGTGTGTGTGTGTGTGTGTGTGTGTGTGTGTGTGTGTGTGTGTGTGTGTGTGTGTGTGTGTGTGTGTGTGTGTGTGTGTGTGTGTGTGTGTGTGTGTGTGTGTGTGTGTGTTCAGTGACACAGTGGTTAGTTCCAAGGATTAGTTCAAAGTTAACTTGTTGTTAATATATTGTGCAGCTGATCACGGCCAAGCTGACCCAGATTAGTGCTAACATGCCCTCAAGTCCAGAAAGCTCTTCCGACTCATCCACGGGTTCTCCTGGTAACCATGGAAACCACTACAGTGATGGGCCTAACCCTGAAGTCGAGGGCTGTCTTCCTGGTGTGGTAAGTTTCATAGACATTTTATTATTGCTTGTAACAGCTTGATATTTAGTCTCTAAAATAAAGTTCATGAAATGATGAAACGGCTGTGTCATCGTGTGCGGATGGAACATCTGCTCTGATTTACAGATTATGTCGCTGCATCCGCGCTACATCTCCTTCCTGTGGCAGATAGCCGACCTGGGCTGCAATCTTAGCATGCCTCAGCTTAGAGATGGTGCTCGAGTTCTCATGAAACTTATGCCTCCAGGTATAGTTTCACGCCTATTTTTTCAAAAATGTTGTTGTCCTTGTACTTGCTCCAGCATAAATTCACCCACAGTTTTGTCTCAGCGGTCATGTTTGTGCGGTCTGTGTACTCAGATAACACCACGGTGGAGAATCTGAGAGCTGTGTGTCTGGATCATGCCAAACTTGGTGAGAACAGTCTGAGTCCTTCACTGGACTCACGTTTCTTCGGCCCTTCACCCTCACAAGTGCTCTACCTCATTGAGGTAAGACCTAATTTGCCTCTTTTTACCAAAGATGTAAAATCCTAATGTGCCTGATCATGTTTATTACTTTTTTATAACCACTAGCTCATGGTATATATAAATGGCAAATGGCCTGTATTTGATGTAGCGCCTTCTAGAGTCCTAGACCCCAGCCCCCAGCAGATGAGGGTGGAACTGCAATTTTTGGTACTTCTGGGTTAGTCAATTTTTGAGCCGCATTGTGGGGGCTTGGTTCAGACCTGGTTTAGAGCGCACGTGCACTTCCTCATTGCGTGCGCTGACGGCTCGTGCTCTTCTAATGGGCTCGACACACGGGAGGCAACTTCGCCTCTCCTCCATTCATTTTCAATGAGACAGTTGCGACAAAGCGATAATCGCGGGTCTCCCTCCTACTAAAGCTGGGCGTACACCGGGAGTGCTGCAGGAGGACACACAGGGATTTATGGGGGTTGGATGAGGAAAACGAAATAAAGAAAGTAAATCTGTGTTTTGTGATCAGTTTAATTTGACATGAACAAGACAAACACGCTTTCTTGACAATCTTTGTGAGTAAAAAAACGTGTAGAAATTAGGGTTGTCACGATACTAAAATTTCAAACTCGATTCGATACTTGAAAAAAACTCGATACTCGATTTCGATACTATTTAAAAACACCCATTTATCGAACAAGTTTATTCAAAAAATAACATTCCTCAATTTATATTACAAAAATTAAATGTTAAGAATTAAGTGTATTAAGTGCTTAAACCTTTCAAGTATCAGCATTTTTTAAAACGTGCATACAAAAACTGGTGAAAGTTAACACTTTAAATCATGAATTGTCTCACTATGTATACACTATTTGCAGAGTGATGTTTTGCTGCTTAAACTCTGTTTAAGGTGCATTTTTGTCATAAGATGTAATGCCATATGTTTTGTTCTGTACTTTTGAACAACTCTGTTGGTCAATAAAGGGAGAAAACGAATTTCTCCACAGTAGGACAAAGGTACATCTACCGGTAATCTTAATAAAAACAGACTGGCGCACGGCAGTGACGTCATTAAAAGCGCCGGTTAGATTAGCCGCAGCTAGTCTGTTTACGCCTAGAAATCCCAGACCAGACCCGCTCCAAACGAACAGGGGAATCACGTTAATGATTCCTAACAAAACCTTTCGACATGAAGATGTTTTGGTGCAGATAATGTCTTATTTCGAGGCTGCACCATGGGTGCCCGTCCGCACCCGTTATATGGATATACGCTGACGGCGATTCGGCGATGGACCTACGGTAAATACCCCGGGGAATCCAAGTAGCACCAAAGTTGTCAGCGTGAGTAAACAAACGTACTGCATGCTAGAAATTAAGTCCGGGTTGCAATAAACGGGAGTTTCCTTTAAGCACATAAGCGTGAATATACAACTACGTGTCAGACTTGGTATGCTAATTAAGTTGGGCTGTGAAGCGCCTCCCAAATTCGCTGTTTATGTTTTTGTTTATTTGGCAGACAAAACTTGGATTGGAGACAACTCGCGTGGGAAATTGCAATGTAGCCATGCGTCGTCGTCTTCTGTTTGTCTGAGAGGCGGAGGCTGCTTTACGGCATCTGGCTGTCGTGCGTGTCGGTGTACTTGAAGAAGGCTGTGTATAATAGTCCATAATATCGATACCACAGGGATGGAATATCTCATTTAGATACCCCTTTTAGTATCGATTTATATCTGGGTATCGATTTTTTTGACAACACTAGTAGAAATAAAAACGAACAACGTGTGTTATTAGGGAAATAGCGGGCGAGCTGTGTCGATGCATGATTGCACATGCGCCGAGAGCGGTTCTGGTACTTTTTGGGTCGCAGCTGCTCGCAGTGCCACTTCAAGCGCTGATGCGCTGTGTTGAAGTTCAGAATGTGGTTACCGGTAGTTGGTGGATTTAACCCAGGGGTCGGCAACCCGCGGCCCTGGAGCCGCATGCGGCTCTTCCATCCATCTGATGCGGCTCTCTGTGCTTGTAAAATAATGAATGGATATTTAAATAAAAAGCTTTATATTTTACTGCATAAATTTTACATCTGTATGCCAATTCTAAATGTAAAGATTGTCTGCGTAAACCTGAACAGGTCCAACCCAGTCTTACTGTGAGACCGGGTTGACACGTCACGCTTGTGCGTAATCATATGCGCATTCTGAGCTGAAGAGGATGCGAGATTCTGGGATTCTCCTCAGACGGCTCCTGGATGTGTCGCCACATTGGAGACAAGAACAAGTGCTATTCAGCCAAAGTTTCATAATCGGGGAACATTTTCTAAGTGACAAGTCTCTCTGAGAGACAGGGTTTGGAAAACACTCGCTTCAGTCAGAGGAATCTTCCCGCATGCGCTCTGGTTCTGCGATGCGCTCCAAGCCCCTCTCCACATCTTCAGCTCGCTGTGTACCTTATGTAGTACACACTAACAGTGAGCTGCGCTGAGCAGTGTCCAGCTCAGATGTTCAGATGGGAATCTTTTCTTGAGCGATTTAGCTACATCTGCGATGTGCGTAGAATAAAATGTCAGTTCGTCTGCATGCGTCGGGGTAATTCTTTCTATTCTTTCTCCGTCAAAATAAACGGCCAAATACGGGAACTGTTCGGTCAACACAAGCCCTGCTTTTAACAGTTTTGTTTTCTTGTGAAAATTGTTGCAAAGAGATATAATTTAACTTGATTAACACCAGAGCCAGGCGCACTGCACCGTTATCTCCGTCATTGTAAATGAGGGAAAAACAAAATGATCGGATCCTTTTCTGACCTTCCCCACCTACAAAGTTTAATTACAACAATCAAACGTAACAGAGCCTGGATTTGTATTCTGAACAGTCTAAACATGTTTTAAAAAGAAACGTATGACAAAAGTTGCACCTGCTCAGTAAAACCACCAACAGGGTGAAAAATATCAAACTATTGTAGGCTGAGACGGGCTACAACTTCTGGATCCATTTTATATAAATCATTTTATTGATTATCTTTTTTATGAAAGATAACTTTGACGTACATGAGCGACCGGTACCGGCTGCTGTCACCTGTTGTGATTGGTTAAAGCAGCTCTCTGCTGTCTGAGGGTAGGCCCCGCCCACAACGCCGCGGCTGCTGTGGCTCCCAGTGTTTTCTTTACTGTGGGAAACGGGTAATAATGGCTCTTTGATGGGAACAGGTTGCCGACCCCTGATTTAACCACATAAACTTTCCACATGAACAAAATCATATGTGTGTTGTTAATAGGCCTAAGAAAATAGCGTGATTTGAATTGTGTTTTATTAACCCTCTGGGGTCCATGGACGCGTATCTGCGTCTTTTGAACAGGTCTGATTTGGGACGCTGTAGCAGCAAGACTCCGCCTCTCTGAGTTTCGGTTTCAATTCAGCTTTAAAAAGGAGATTATAAACTACACCCCTGTTTTTAAATTGTGTTAATAGGCAACGTAAAAGCAGAGTTATACTAAACTAAAAAAATGACCTATTTTTAGACAATCTGATAACTTTTCAAAACAGCAGTTTAGTAATCCGAGAGCGGGAATGTGCTTGTGAACATAAAACCCCCCACAAAAACATGAGATCCTTTTGCTGTTGCTGGAAGTCCACATATTCAATCGATAAAAAGTATCATTATGTAGCTGAGAGAGAGAGGAAGGCCGCACGAGTAACGAGATGTGTGCAAAAAGGAGCCGCTTCGCGGGGAAAGGAGTAGCACAAACGGAGTAACAACAAACAATTAGACAGATATTGACGGTAAACTTCATATTTTGGAGCGATCCGGACAGATCTATTGTCTCTGCAGTTTAGTAGGCTTTTATTAGGCTTATATAAAGGATGATGAGAAGGATAAATGTCCACCAGGCAGTTCAGATGGTACGGCTGTTTTTTGAACTGGAAGCAGAGGAAGTGGACGGAGACTCACAGCCGGAGTCTGAGGCAAACAGCGAGGATGTTGATGACGATGTGGCAGATCCACAGGTCTGTCTTCGCTCTTGTCCGCACGTTCACTCCACGCCCCTTGTCTTCTACTACGTTCGCGTCTCACAACAACACAATAGGCGCACCACACCATAGGGCGTGGCGTACATTTTGGAGAAAATTTCAGACTTTTAGGTGTGCCTTATGGTCGTGAAAATACGGTAGTTTTATAAGCTGATAATTAAACTGAAGCAAACATCTTTACTGTGAACTAAATTTACTGTTTATCTTCATTCCTTTTGCCGTCCTTTTTTATTTGATTTTTCCTACTGGGAAGTTAGATTTTCCGAGGAGAAAGCGAACGCACCATTAGCTGATAACAATGGCGGCAATGGAAGCTAACATATCAAGTTAACGTTATCTTAAGCTGTTTATTTAGCTGCTGGAGCAGATTAAAACGATGATGCCGCACGCTTAGATCATTGTCGGTGGTTTCATCATCACCCAATCACCCGTCGCATTTAGTAAAGTGAAGCCAAACTTTAGCGTGTGTTCTTTCTACCATGCTGCTCCGTTTACAACTGGCTCGCAGCGACCGACGTAACGCTCTTGCGCATTTGCAGCTGTCTAGGCAAGTTCTCGTTATGAAGGACGGGTACCGAAACGAGGCACCGTTTCAAATGACATGAATCGGTGCTCAGTCGGTACTATGGAATTCGGTCGGTACCTTAAAAAGTACCGAATTCGGTACCCATCGCTAATTCACACCATGGTGGGTATGACCTACGATGTAGCCATATCTTAGTGTCACTGTTACTGTTTGCTGGTATTAGCAAAATCAGTAAGTCATAAAGGCATTTTTTGTAATTCATACCTGATGGCGGTGTAAATGTCTGTTAAACAGTGAATCACTATGAATGGTAGCAAATCAGAGCTTCTAGCAGATGGAGGCAATACACCTTTGGCTGCGCTCAGGTTTGCTGAAGAACATGAGCACAGTTGTATAGCTATTAACAGGGTGGAATATTAATTATGAACAACTTTCAAAAAGCATTTTTAAAGCTGCTGTAGCGAATCTACAAAACAAGCTAGGTTTTTAATGCAAACTCTTGTCACCGAACACTCACCCTTCCCCTCGGGTGTCTTCCCTGATACGCTTCTGCCGGATCTGGACACCAGCAATACCAGAGGGAACGACAGAACCACTATTACTTTTTCATTTTGTTTTTATTTTTACAATATATTTATAGCTAAAATATGTTAGAAGGTTAAGAAGCTTGAAAATAATTGTTTAAAGATGTTAAACACTGGAAACCTTTTTTTTAATGAATATTTCTGATTATAATCAGTTTTGAGTTTTTATTGCAGGCTGAACATGAAAATTTCTACACCAAATGATTTAGATTTAATGTAATGTTGAAATTTTCAAGCAGTTCTTGTTTGTGTTTCAGGTTGTGTATGCTTTGCTAATGCCAGCTAGTGCCACTCTGGGCGAGGATGCGAGTGACTTTCAGTATAACTTCTTAAAGAGCGGTGGTCTGCCTTTGGTTTTGAGCATGCTGACCAGAAACAACTTCCTCCCTTCGGCGGACATGGAGACACGCCGCGGGGCTTACCTCAACGCTCTGAAGATCGCTAAGCTCCTCCTGACTGCAGTTGGCTTTGGACACGTAAAGGCTGTGGCTGAGGCCTGCCAGCCGACCGCAGAGGGAAATATTCCTGTCTCTCCGGTTAGGCTGAACTCATAACTCACGCACACACTCAAACCTGCACAGCTGGTTCTGCAGAGTCTAACTTGTGTGTCCCAACATATCTGTCAACAATTCTGTGCAGATAAATCAGGCCACTCACGACCAAGCACTGGTTCTTCAGAGTGCTCTGCAAAACATTCCCAACCCTGCTTCAGAGTGCATGCTGCGAAATGTAGCCATTCGCCTGGCCCAGCAGATTTCTGACGAGGTACAGATGTTTACAGGGATGTGCATCACAATATCATAAACTGTAATGATGAAACGCTAGAGGAATATGATGTTTAAGACCACATTTGCTGTACAACACTTAATAAAAAAATGTGTTGAAGCTTTTAAATTTTAGATAGTTGATGTTGTGATGGTTGTTTATGAAGTAAGACTAGTAATAATAGATTCTGTGGAACTGTATTTTTCATCAGAATTTCTTCCAGGCATCGAAGTACATCCCAGACATTTGTGTGATTCGAGCAGTTCAGAAAATTGTGTGGGCATCAGGCTGTGGTACAGTTCAGCTCGTCTTCAGTTCCAGTGAAGAGATCAGCAAGATATACGAGAAGGTGAAACATCTCTAAAAGTTTCTGTGCCTTTTGGCTGGATGGCTTTTAAAATTATGAGCAATGTGGCAGGAAGAGTATTCACACCTATGTCACCAAAAGGCAAAAAGTTAAGACTTAAAAATAGCTTTCAGGAATCAGCAAAATGTATGTAAGCCTAAAGTTTTTATATGGTTTTTATAGACAAATTCAGCAAAGGAGCCAGATGGAGAAGATGAGCAGGTGTGCTGCGAGGCTTTGGAAGTGATGACGCTGTGTTTTGCCCTCATGCCCACGGCTCTTGACACACTCAGTAAGGAGAAGGCTTGGCAGACCTTCATCATAGACCTGCTGCTACACTGCCACAGCAGGTTAGCTCACCAGCCTGTTTTCTAGCCTTGTGCTCAAACGTGCATGTATTGAAATTGGGGCTGAAACGAAATATCGAGTGGTTTGATTAATTAAATTCCTCGAGTAATTTTTTGCTGGTTGGAGGCGTTGTTAAATGTGCACACCACAGACTGACAACATTTTACTGGAACACAGTGTGGTAATCTAGGCATCATAGAGGAAAATAAAGAAACCAGCAAAGACACAAACCGTTGTAAAAAGCTGAAACGGTCCAAAGTTTGGGATCAAGAGTTAAAACTACCCGCAGGTTGGCTAATGCTAACGCTAGGCTCATGATCAAGTGGGGTTCCGAAAAAACATGATGGTTGTGAGACTAAGAATGACTAAACTCTACAAGTGGAAGAAAAATCCCCACCCTCCTGTTTATTCTTGGGTGTCTGCAGCAGTGTGGAGCAGATACCTGGAATCAGGTTGTTGCTACGAGTCTGCTGCTCCATACCGCTATATAATTATGGCATGCCATTGTAGTATGTAATTTACAAATGAGTCTATCTTTGAACACAATTTAGATTGGATTATTGCCAACCTTGACCTAATAAAATGGATATGCCACCATTACATTACCAGTAGAATGTTATTGGCATTTCCAGTAGCTTACTACTGAACATGTTAATGAATACATTAAGTTCTTCTGATCATATGTGGACATATTTAGATATATTATTTTGACTAGGATGTTAATACAGACCTAAAATGTTAATGAATTGTAGGCCAAATGTTTCCATGAAACATTTAATATTTAATAATATTCTGACCCTGACAATTTAGTTATTTTAGTTCATATTTTTAGCAGCAGACCACAGTCTAGTTTCACTTGAAGGGTTGTCACATAGAATATTCGAATACTAAAGTATTCGATAGCTGCAGCCCTAATTGAAACGAAGGAATCACTTTGTCGTCAATCTCTGACAGGTCTGTGCGACCGATGGCCCAGGAGCAGTTTTTCCTGATGGCAACTAGGTGCTGCATGGGCCATCGGCCCCTTCTTTTCTTCATCACCCTCCTCTTCACAGTGCTCGGGGTGAGTGGAGAAAAGGTTTATGATTTCAACAATTGTTTGCTAGATGAAGCACACACAATCCTAATGTTTTTGTGATTTTTATTTTTTTCCAGACCACGGCAAAAGAGAGAGCCAAACATGCCGGGGACTACTTCACTTTGCTCCGGCATCTGCTGAACTATGCTTACAACAGTAACATCAACTTGCCGAATGCTGAGGTGCTGCTCAACAATGAGATTGACTGGCTGAAACGAATACGGGTAGGAAACTTTCTAACCTGGTGGTTTTTATTTGTATAAATCCATAAAATGCAGCCAGTAAGTTTTACCTCAGCTAATTGATGCAGAAATAATCGAAAACAATACTCCTGCTTAGGATGAGGTTAAAAGGACAGGGGAGACGGGTGTGGAGGAAACTATACTTGAGGGCCACCTTGGAGTCACCAAAGAGCTTCTAGCCTTCCAGACACCAGAAAAGAAATATTACATCGGCTGTGAGAAGGGAGGAGCAAACCTCATAAAGGTACATCAACCAGGCCATGGCCGGAAAGATCAGAAAACATCTGCTCAGAACTCTTAGAATATTTCCTCTTTCTTCCTCTAGGAGCTGATCGATGACTTCATCTTCCCGGCATCAAACGTTTACCTGCAGTACATGAAGAGTGGAGAGTTTCCCACTGAGCAGGCCATTCCTGTGTGTAGCACACCTGCATGCATCAACGCTGGCTTTGAGCTCCTGGTGGCTCTGGCTGTCGGCTGTGTTCGCAACCTCAAACAGATAGTCGACACTCTGACTGATATGTACTACCTGGGTAGGGACACGCTTCTGTGGTGGTAAAACTAACCAGCTGGTTACCACAGGAAGTCTGAGTGTGTTTATTTCTTCTACATTCAGGTTGTGAGACGCTAACAGAGTGGGAGTACTTGCCTCCAGTGGGGCCACGGCCCAACAAAGGCTTTGTAGGTCTGAAGAATGCTGGTGCTACTTGTTACATGAACTCTGTCATTCAGCAGCTGTACATGATCCCCCCGATCCGCAACGGCATCTTGGCTATCGAGGGCACCGGCGCCGATGTGGATGATGACATGTCAGGGGATGAGAAACAGGAGAATGAGGTACAGACTGAGACAGGACCAGTGACAAATTATTCATTTGAAGGAAATTGTTAAAAATTGAATAATTTTTGTCTCCTCAGAGTAATGTAGACCCTCGAGATGAGGTGTTCAGCTACCATCACCAGTTTGACGATAAACCCTCCGGTAAGTCTGAGGACAGAAAGGAGTACAACATCGGTGTGTTGCGCCACCTGCAGGTCATCTTTGGCCACCTGGCTGCATCCAGACTTCAGTACTACGTCCCAAGAGGATTCTGGAAACAGTTCAGGTGTTTTGAAGACTTTTGTCACTTACTGAATCCACATTTCACTTAAGGAGTGGAGGAAAGATCAACCCACCTCCTGTCCATCACGTTTGTTTTAGGTTATGGGGCGAACCAGTTAATTTGAGGGAACAGCACGATGCTTTGGAGTTCTTCAACTCTTTGGTGGACAGTCTCGATGAAGCCCTCAAAGCTCTAGGTCACCCTCCCATGCTCAGTAAGGTGCTGGGAGGCTCCTTTGCTGACCAGAAGATTTGTCAAGGATGCCCCCACAGGTGAGCACAGTTATTTCTGTTTGCTTTTTTACTGGAATGAGTACATATGGATTAATAACTTTTTTTCAGGTATGAGTGTGAAGAGTCCTTCACAACACTTAATGTAGACATCAGGAACCATCAGAACCTGCTGGACTCCATGGAGCAGTATGTTAAAGGAGATCTGCTGGAAGGAGCCAATGCCTACCACTGTGAGAAATGTAATAAGAAGGTTAGCGCTCTTTTTACTTTAACAGAAACTGCTGGACCTAGTGGCTACAAGCTCCCATCCTGTTTTCTTAAACGTGTGGAATATTTAGGGGAACCAACTTTAATCTGTAACATTGGTCCTCATCAGGTGGATACAGTGAAGCGTCTGCTGATCAAGAAGCTGCCGCCGGTCCTCGCCATCCAGCTGAAGCGCTTTGACTACGACTGGGAGAGGGAGTGTGCCATTAAGTTCAATGACTATTTTGAGTTCCCCAGGGAGCTGGACATGGAGCCGTACACAGTAGCAGGTGTGGCCAAGTTGGAGGGTGATGATGTGAACCCAGAGAACCAGGTGATCCAACAGAATGAGCTGTCTGAAGCCACGCCGCCGGGCAGCTCCAAGTATCGACTGGTAGGAGTGCTGGTTCACTCAGGCCAGGCCAGCGGTGGACACTACTACTCTTATATAATCCAGAGAAATGGGGGCGACGGTGAGAAGAACCGCTGGTATAAGTTTGATGATGGCGATGTGACTGAATGTAAAATGGACGATGAGGAGGAAATGAAGAACCAGTGCTTTGGTGGAGAATACATGGGCGAAGTGTTTGATCATATGATGAAAAGGATGTCGTATCGGAGACAGAAGCGCTGGTGGAATGCTTACATCCTGTTCTACGAGCGAATGGACTCGCTGGACAAGGACAGTGAACTTGTCAAATATATCTCAGAGCTGTCCATCTCCTCCACCAAGCCACATCAAGTCAAGATGCCTAGTGTCATCGAGTGCAGCGTCCGCAAGCAGAACGTGCAGTTCATGCACAATCGAATGCAATACAGCCTGGAATATTTCCAGTTCATTAAGAAACTCCTGACCTGTAACAGTGTCTATTTAAATCCTCCCCCAGGTATGCATCATCATTGTTTCAGCTCGTTTATAATCAGATGTTAATTTTTGTTGGCATATTCAGCTGAAGTCTCACTGAGGGGAAGTGTTTTTCTCCACAGTATGGACGTAATTTTTCCAAAGTCAAGTTTTGACCCCTGCACTTTTTACCATCCAAAAACTACATTACGCTATATTAAACTGACACTGGTTGAGCTCTAGGACCAAGCGGAAAACAACCGTTTGTGTTGAAGCCTGTTTCCCATTAGAACATACTGTAAAGATACCCC